AAAATTCCTCTAGTATCACAGGAATCTTCACGGCTTACTCTAAGTTTTCCCAGAACGACAGGAAGAATCTCAAGCAAACGTACACATGTCATCTGCCAAATTAGATAAATGGAACCTTAGCAAAAAAACCAGACTCGGCTCATTTGAAGCAGATACAGCTCAAAGATGACAACCGAAGAGGACAGTAGAATGAAGAACAAGCAATAAAGGTAAAACCAAGGTTCACCACGAGAACTTTCAAATAATACCTGGCAAAGACTTTGATGGATGAAAGCCTTTCCCTCAACTAGGCACTTCCTTATCACGCCCCATGCAACTTCTGCCAGCAAGTACTGAAACTTCAGCAATTCCGGGGTAGCACACAATGGATTTCTGCCCTCACTCACAGGCAAAGCATTAAAGTTAGGTTGCCTCAAAAAACCCCCTGCAGAACTCTTCACTACGTCTGTAATGGCCACCTCCTCTTCCTTCAGCAACTTGAACAATAAAAAGAAAAAATGGTGCAGGATCTGAAAGCTTTGAAGGACAGAGCTCAAAGGGACCTGCCAAAATCAGAGAAACAAAAAAGATATAAGCAATATAATAACAGTTGCAAGTCAGAAAATTATCTCCCAGGAGAAAAATGTAGACACTCATGATAAAAAAAAAAAAAAAACTGAACCTCACAAATAGTTTGTGAGCCTAGACTTTCAGTTTCTATAGTTGAGAAGGGTGGACGATTTGAAGCCTTAGCAAAAACTAACATGAAGAATAACTATCAAACTTCAAAATGGATAGTTAAAGGACTCATTGTATGCATATCCTTCTACATGTTGAATGAAAATTAGCTGCTGTCCTACCTGCTGCAAAACATGTCTAACTCCGGAAGAAATAAATAGGAGGTGAGAAGTTTGAGAGCAGAGAAACTTCAGCCCACAAGACAGACCTCTGGTATTTGAAACGTGTTCCAGCATAGACTTTCCAAACTGCCTTACATTCTGTTAACAAAAACAACACTAGCAACATTGGTCAACTTTACACACAATTAAACCAGAGCAGAGAGTAATAAAAGTCAAGTATGCATCTCTTATGATGGAACCAAGCAACCATTAGGTCCATTACAGGTCGTCACATACGTCATCTGGGTCTGAAAGAGAAAGGATGAACGTTTCGCCCATCCCTGGTACCCAGGTCCACTGTTTTCGACATTCGTCACCCATTTGGACCAGATAACAAGTGGTCAATCTACAAAATCAAAAACCCAAAAGCCTCACTATTATAAGCGTAATAGAAACTTAGCAGCTTTCCTACCAGGCTACCACAACAGTCAAATGGAAAAGTACCTCTTCAATGTTCGTATCAATGTAAGACACATCTTTGATACTGTCACTGAGTTTTTGGACTCCTTTCCTGGCCCCCCGTCATCAGATCCTGTTGCTACCTTCCATCCAAGTGTGTCTTTGATTTCAACAGCAGAAGATGAAAGCCAAGTTTCTATATCAACTGTCATTTCATCATTCTTTTCAGATTCCACTAAACAAAAACGTGATCGAGACCAAAATACTGCTTGGGATAGCGATACTGGAAGGTTTAGAAGATTTGCATTTGTAAGAGTAGTAATCCACAGCATCGGAATGCACATCCACTCTTTACATTCCCCAAGAGTAATTTTGCTCTGCTGGGTAAAGTCACTCCAGGAACGATCACTTACATCTTCAGCAGTATGGGAAAAGGGGAGATTACTGTCATCGTCGTCATATTGCATCTCATAGCCCATATATTTACCAGTATTATTACGTAGCAGCGAAGCTAGTAAGGCTGTTGAATCAGATACAAGGATAGCTTGGACAAGATCAATGGCAGGTTGTCGCAATGAAATATGAAGTGAAGAATCTTTATACGACGCCACAAGAGATGGGCCCCTGTCAAATCAGTTGACTTCCATGAATTGTCTATGAGAAAACTTAGTGCCCTTATCTAACATCCAAAAAAATATATGCCAAAACATACAACGAACGGGAAGATACACCAAACACAACATTCAAAACATGCCAGTTATCTATCTTGACATGCTGCAAGCAGATCCCAGTGAACTTTATGTATTCTCCACATAGGACTGTCAAAATAACTGGCATCCATATAAAGCTAACATGCAAGTTGCGGGGATAAAGAAACGATAACAATTACAGAAATTTAGATATGAAACTAGAACCATGTTACTTAATATCATTCATGTCATGTAAAAAGTATTTGATAGAATTCCAAAACCAAGGATGGAAGAAAAGCCAATTTCTCAAGTAAGTAACAGACGCAACAAACAGCTGTAAAACAACAGATAGGCCCAGTTGTACTAACCACATGTGAGCACACTCAAAGGGAGGGCAAGGTGGGTTCATCTTGTATCCTCTGAGTACAATAAGAAGAGCAATCTGAAGAGAAATTTAAAAAGCTAGGTGAAGATATGAAAATAAAGGAGCTTCATTCAAAGATAAAAAATGCTACAGATGTGTCTTAGTGAGAAAGAACTAGAACTACCTTGTGGCCAATTCTTCTTGCTAAAAGGCTGAAGTTACTGCTAACTGGGACCTGATGAAGGAGAAAGTAGAGAAAGTGTCTACGTTGCTTTTCATGCTCACCATCTCGCAAAGCCTCAAGGGACTGGATAAACAGGATATGCATAATATGGCAAGGTAAGTAAAATGAAATCATGTCAATCTCATTAGAGAAATCATATATGTAAGAGAGAAACTAATGCAAGCTTGCCTGTAATAATGGCTGGAAAAGATCAAAAATGGCTTTGTGGATCTTCTCAGATTTTGTATGAAAACACTGACCCAACAATGTGTTACGCATCACACTTGGGGACAAGGTAGCCCTAAGCCAGAGCTTACAACCTTTCATCATATGGGAATGTGTCAACTAACAGAATATAGAGCTTCAAGATAAACTGGCTACTTTACAAACGACAATAGTTACCATACCAAGTGTCTTAAATAGCTCTTTTAGGCAATTAACAGCCAGCGAAAATTCAGGTGAATCACCACTTATGTGATTCAACACTGTATCGACAAAAATGGGATAAGGCTCTAATATCCCCTCTTCAAAAGCAGGGCCTTCTAAGAACTCAAGCCTTTAAGAAGCAGGAAATATTAAGGAATCAGCAACTCAAGAAAAAGACTGAAAAACAGTAAAAGGAAAAGAAAAGAAAACTATAAGGGGAGAATTAGTCACTAACTCTTACAGTGATGTCATCCCAAGCCATATAGATGAGCGGTCTAGATATATCCTCGGCCTCGGTTCCTGAGACGCAGAAGGCAGTCCCTCCATCTCCAGAATTCCAATGAATTTCTTGAGCAATGGCTGGAGGCGCTCTAACTGGGTTGCTGACCTGCCATGATAGCAGATAATATCATACATGGTAGCTATCCAAATTTTCACAAGCACTAAAGACAGTCCTGAGAACAGAGTTAGCTATGAGTTTACTTAGTTGCTGTATTAAAAAGGAAAATACCTCAACTTTCCCATGGCCCTTGCCAAGCGATAACCAATTACACGCACCCTTCTATTGAGAAAAAGGAGTGCATACACACCCTAAAAAGGATGAAATATGAGAAAACACCAAGTCAGATAGATTTAGTTTAGTAGGAAACACAAGAAGCTCTCCTCTGGGTATTAACATACCGGAAATTCTTGATTCTCAGCAAACGCAAGCTCGTGTATGTTGTCGATTGACTCAATAAATTTCTCAAACTCAGTGCATAAGGACATATCATCAAAGAAGAACGGAAACATCAAAACCTGACACCAAAACAAAGGCTCACAAGTTACTAGTTACTAGATGCCAATCACAGGATGCAAAGAAAACAGAAAAATACATATCATCAGAGTCAGTCGGTAACGCAAATGATTCATCAATGAAAATAACAATCCATAATAATTCAACTGAAAGAAAAAGCAAATGTTAAAAAATCGCAGACCACATATATACTACAAGTACCTCGTACATAACACTAACAACTTCCGCATGATGATGATCTGGATCATAGGTTCCATTTTCAACTTTAAAATTGATCTCTTGCAAGTGCCTGGTCACCCTTTCCTCATCAAGTTTTCGCAACACGTCAAGTAAGGGACCAACAGAAGAGCACTCATACTCTTTTTCATACATCTCTTGAGTCTGATGGTGCTGACAAATGCATTGGGCACAAAGCCGCATTTCTTCAGAGATTCTCTTCCACAAGACCTTGAGAGGTGAATCAACTCTATCATCTTTGAAGTAATTGTAGAATGTCTCTATAAGAGGTCCCATTACATCCCCATGCCCACACCAAATATGAGTATCTTTCGGCAAAGATATCAATAAAGTGAATGCATCCGTAAACCTAAAACAAGATAGAAAACAAAACAGTCAGGTAAAGCTGAAATCCGAGCAATGTAATAGCTGAATTTTGTCTGATTTTCGGATTTCAATCGATTCAACAGTGAACGATTCAGAGCAAACAGAGATATAGAAGGAACCATTGTTCTTTGCGCTGGTTAAGACGCCGAACTGAGGAAGGATCAGAATCGTCATTCTCCTCTTCGTCCTCCTCGATTCTCCTCCACCGGCTCAAGAGCTCTCTACTTAGGGAGACTTTACTCAACATTTTACTCTCAATTTCAACAACAGAAGGCGCAGTCAAGAGTTCCGGCGACGGGAATTAGGGTTTCGGAAGTACAGAGGAAGGAAACGAGGAGAACCAATTTGAAATGCCTTAATTCGAATTTCTGGTCTCGTTCCCCAAATTCTTCGATTTTGAGAGGAAAACCAATTTTCAAAGCCCTTACTGTTTGTTAGTGGGGAAAAAAAGCGAGCGTAGTAAAACAATGACCCGACACCGTTTTATACTGGGAAAAACAATATTGGGCCCTATTGGGCTTTCCTAGATGGAAAAAGTAAAAATACTCCCTATATTATATTATTACTTTCTCTTTAAAATTGTAAGAGAAGAACTATCTCATCTTTCTCGCGTTCTGCTGCAACTCCTCTTTCGATTTCAGGTGATTTGATTTGATTAGGGTTTGAGCTCTAGCTCAATTCATACTTCTGAAACGACTATTATGCTTCTGAATTTCTGATGTTTTTCTCTATATGGGAATCATGTAGAGTAGTATGCTTTGTAGCTATGAATTCTTTGTTGATTATTAGGTATACACTATAGATCTACTATGTCTCCTTTGGTAATTATGTGGGTTATGTGATGGCTCTTTACTTGTTTGATTGATAAGCTTGATTCGTGTTCAAGTCCTAGTTCTAGGATCTCTTGTCGATACACAATGAAAAGAAAGAAAGGCTTAGAGATTCTGGAACCTTGTCAAAGAATTTTGATTATATGTTTACTGATGATATTTGCTCTCCGTTTGCTTAGTGGGTAGGTTGTTTTTGCTTATCAATGTTTCAAGAAATCACCAATTCTCAAGCTTTCAGAATTGAAAGTTTGATTCTTGGCTTCCAATTTGTTAAAATATTAATTATGTTTTGTGGACCTGTGTTGTAACTGATCAATGTGCGGCAAAGTCTTTGTCTGTTAATGAGCCCCGTCAATGAAAAATCTTCAGACTGGAATTTCTAGAAATCTCCATTCTTTGATTCCAATATGTAAATCTAAATTTATGTTTTTGTGGTATTGTGTTCTGACTAGCAGCCAAGAGATGTCGGCATACGACAATGTTATTGGTGGGAAGCTAAAGCTAAAAGGGAAGGCTTTGGATGTGAAAGCAGGTGGCGTAAAGAAGAAGAAGAAACATAAGAGACAGGAAGAACAAGCCCTTAAAATTACTGAACATGAACTCATAGAAGGTAAGAAACAACAGCTTTCTTCTCATAACCTTGACTAATCTGTATATTAACATTCATCGACAAAGGAAAGTCAATATTTTGTTGTTTGGGTTTGAGTATAGGAGAAAGCACAGAAGCATTGGGTAAATTGATTGAAGGAGAAGAAGAAGGTGAAGAAATGGGCAGGAGTGATAAGGCGAGCGAGGATGCGAAGTTGCAGCAGCAGCACGATGATGATGATCTCTTAACGCCAGCAGAAAGGCGATACATAGAGCAGAAACAGAGATTGGATGTGCAGAAGCTAGCTAAGGAAGCGAACAAATCTCACCGTAACAGGATTGAGGATTTCAATCAGTATCTGGCTAACATGAGTGAGCACTACGATATCCCTAAAGTCGGACCTGGTTAATATTATACTTTCTTGGCTTTGTTTTACTCTGCTTATCTATTTGGCATTGTTAAACAACTACTTTGGATGTCTATTATGTTTAGTCCCTATAACTTTTCAATTATGTGATCGCCAATCTGTAATGTCAAAAACACATTTTCTTATATTTCTTCTGCATTTCTCAATCTCCTTAATAAAAAATTTGTGAGGATAATTAACCCTTTTGAACCATGTCGTAGGAAACTGGTATATTTGTGTGGAATGACAAAAATAACAAATTAGCACCAAAGCTCTTATATATATATACCCAATGAAGATCTTGAGTACTCATTTTTCATCATATGCTTGACATATTATTAGTTAAGGCAATAATAATATCATAGGCCAAATGAAATGATGATCCCTCCTGGGTATCTCTTATTGAGTTTGAGTACAAAAATCTCTATTGTTTTTGTCTGTACACCAAACAAATGAAACCATGAAGAGAGAAAGAGAGATCTAATATTTTGGCTCAAAACCTGGATTCATGGACTCAGCATTATACCATTGTGATGATGCTCGAATACCTACTAAGATTTCTGGAAACTGCTTGCTTATCTTTCAAACTTCTGAAACCTGTATGATTAAAATAACCAAAACTTTAAGTTTAGATCTCGATTTCTTTTCTAACCGAGAGAACAGCTTCAACGGTAGAAGATTTGTTTACACTAAGAGGTAGAAAAGATCTCCCAAGCGATGTTTGATGAGAGTGTAAGTAATCTTCTGACCATCAATCCACTCCAGCTGCTCTCTCAACAGCCTGTGTTATTGATCACAAATATATAAAAGGTTGATAACTCAAGATCAATACCTGATTGGCCAAGTTGTAGAAATGAATAACCATCCACACGGATTTGTAGAAAGGGCAGAATTTGTCATAGCTGTCACATTCATTCAGAAGTAAAAAGGTATTTTTACTTTAAGAAGTGATATTCCCCATGGCATCAGGAGGAAAGGCAACATGGTGTGTCACCAGAGTATTCTCAAAGACAGTCATACATTTCAAAATTTTACTTTGCAATAATAGTCTTCAAAGGACTCTGTGATATTAACAGAACAAATATCCAGCAATAGTGAGAGAAGCTAGAATCTCTAACTTGTAGTGTTATTTCCAATCTAAATTTCTAAAATTCCAACTGAAACTGAATTCCTTATTTCCGAATATTCCTGGTCCAAGCTCCACTGGTAGTGGCTATAGATTGAAGCAGAAATATATATATAAATTAGCTACAAAGTACAAACCAAACCATCTCAAAACAAAAGCCAACACAAACCTTGTGTGTTCGAAACCTACATTGTGATACACTCATGTAATTCCAATCTAATTTCGAAAATATTGATTCCAACGGAGAAAAGAAATGTCAAAACAGCATAAAGAAGCTCAAATAGTATGTAGAATTCGATCAAAAAGAAACATCGAAGGAGAGATAGAGATCGTAAGTTCGTAACCAGTGAACGAAGAAGAAGAAGAAGAAGAAGAAGAAGAAGAAGAAGAAGAAGAGATCTAAGACTTACAGAGGCAGGTAAATTATCGTGTACATGTATCCACATCCTACTCTCGTACGTTCAATTTGGTTTTAAAAGTCCCACATCGCTAACGTAAGAAACACTCGCTCTACCACGATAGATATAAAATACACTCGATATCCAACTCTCAATTCATACCTTTCTCGGCCTTTTGGCTAAGATCAAGTGTAGTATCTGTTCTTATCAGTTTAATATCTGGTATGTGGGCCATCGGCCCACACGATATTAACTCTATTTTTTAAGGGAGAGAGCCCATCAAGATAGCTTGCTATCTGGGCTTTCGTGAGTCGCCCATGCGTTGCACTACTGCACGGGCCTGGCTCATCCCACCAATTTCAGTAAAAAAATTCATAACTGTCCAATTATTATGGAAATAAGTTGTTTTGTACTCGTTATCGACTTCGATTTTAGCCTAAACCAAATTGGCCCAATGGAATATGGTTTGTTGTTTCTTATTTACCCAGGCAAAATTGATTCTGAACCAAAGTCAAAATAACCAAATTGGAACCGGACCGAAACTCGTCCCTGTTTCATCTGAAAGAAAAATGTCGGAACAAACAAAAGTTCCCGGTAAATTTGTGAGAGAAGAGATGGGGGAAATGGGAAAGGCGATAGGATTGCTGATAAGCGGGACGCTTGTGTATCACCATTGCTCTAATCGCAACGCGACTCTTCTCTCCCTTCTCTCCGACGTTCTCATCGTTCTCTTATCTTCACTCGCCATTCTCGGCCTTCTTTTTCGTCAACTCAATGTCTCGTAAGTTTCTCAAATCTCCTCCTAAAATTTTCCGATCTATTGTGACAAATTGTGAAATTCATTGTTTGGTTGTTTGATCTGTTCAAAATGCAAACTGAGTGGGCTTTTGTTGTGTTTAGTTTCACATAATCGTGTGAATTGTTGTTGTGATGCTACTTGCTAGTTTCCACGTGTTCGCTAGGCATGAAAAGGTTTTATTTTGTTTGATTTGCTTTTGGTTTCAACATAAGGAACCCCCAAGTTCTTGTTTCTGTGAATATTATCCTACTTTTGATCGGGAAGTGCTGTGTTTTGACCTTCTCTTTCTCATCATTCTATTACTTTCATTCTCTTCTGTAATCAACCATAAAAGTGTTATTGACGTGATGATACACTGTTTGAAAGATCTCTTGCATTCTTATAGGTCACATTATTTATAAAGCTCAATCTTTTGTTTTTTGAATGTAACAGATTTTGATCTTCATAACCATGAGCTTTGGGGAAAATGTTGTGTTTTTACTGTGTATTTCTCATCATTCTATCATTTTCATCCCTCTTCTCTGATCAATGCATAACTCATCAACCTTATAAGTATAATTGATTTTGATGATTCACTGTTTGAAAGACTCTTGCAGTCTTTATAAGGCCACATGATTTAACAAAGTATTAAATTTTTTGGGAAGGGTACCTGTGGATCCATTAGAGTGGCAAATATCACAGGACACAGCCTGTAACATTGTTGCGCGCTTAGCTAATACTGTTGGAGCAGCTGAATCCGTTCTGCGGGTTGCAGCAACAGGACATGACAAGAGGCTCTTTGTTAAGGCAAGTGCATTATGGTTTCTTTCCTTTTTTGGATTAGAAGAGCTAGTTTTCTTCGATCACCGGGGTGCCTGCATGAATGGGAAAAGTATATAACACCAATGCAACGCAGTTCTCTGATTTTATACTTGGTGGCAGAATTCTAAACTGAAATTTTGTTATCTTCGCCTGTTTCTGTCTCCCAGGTTGTGATATGTCTTTACTTCTTGGCAGCTCTAGGACGAATCATATCGGGTGTGACCATTGCCTATGCAGGTAAAAGCATAATGGTTCACTCTTAACCATAATGTGGAATGATGCTTTCGATATTTATTTAGGACACTTTTCTTCTTCTTCTTCTTCCTGGTATAAAATGTATATCAACGAATCTGCAGATACTGTTTCTGACTTTGTTAATTCTTCTATCTACAACAGGACTATGTTTGTTCTGCCTCTCCATGCTTTTTCAGAGCTCAACTGGAAACACTGTATTGAACCGAAACGGAGAGATTTTGGATTGAGAAACAGTTTCAGAGTTCTGATACACAATTTGTCCTAAACGTTCTATTCTTTGTCCTTGTCCCACTTTTACATGTTCATCATAGCTTTTGGATAGTTGTAATAATGCTTGCAGTTCCTAAATGTAGAAATATTAATCGTAGTTAAATCTGATTTAATTATCGATCTTAACTAAGAGGATGATTACAAAATTTCAGTGAAAGTTTTATTATGTTCATTAGATTCTCCAAGTTGTAAGAAATGAGTGGATTATTGACTAGCAAACTACAATACTTGAACAGCAGAACCTAAAACCGGAGTGTACCGATATCTAAAAGAACCGAACCGAGTCCGGTATAGTCATCCCTTATTGCCCCCGCCGTAAATTCGAGTGTTCCTCCTAAATCTTCTAACCCAGCCAAAACCCTTTCGCCGTTTCTTGCTTTCATTAACCTTGCCGGCGGTTTTCCCTTTCCAAGTCGCAAACTTTGTCATCGATCTCAACTGGGTTTCCCAGAACAGTTCTCACTTTCCGGAGAAAACCCGTTTCATGGTTAGGATCTTAGCGTCACGAGTAAGATGCTATGGAGATGCAATTGGGTGAAGCAGAGGAAGAGAATCCTTAACACACTCAGTTTCTCTTCAATTCACGGTCAATATTCTCCGGAAAATACTGCTGGGCCTCGTAGTATTGGTTCGAAGCCACTCACGCACGATAATGTGTATTCTTGTTTACGAGAATCTCCATCTGATCTAAAAACTTTGAATTTCTTCTTCTGGTGCGCGAGGCAGAACAATTACTTCCACGATGATCGAGCATTTGATCATATGGTTGGCGTTGTTGAGAAACTAACTCGTGAATACTATAGCATTGATCGAATCATAGAGGAGTTGAAAGTATATGGTTGTGAGATTAAGCCTCGGGTTTTTTTGTTATTGCTGGAAATCTTTTGGCGTGGCCATATCTATGATAAGGCTATTGAGGTTTACACTGGCATGAGTAGTTTTGGATATGTGCCCAACACTCGTGCCATGAATATGATGATGGATGTCAATTTCAAAGTCAATCTTGTTAATGGAGCTCTGGAAATTTTTGAAGGAATCCGTTTTCGAAATTTCTTTAGTTTTGATATTGCATTGAGTCATTTTTGCAGTAGAGGGGATTTGGTTGGTGTGAAGATAGTTTTGAAGAGAATGATTGGAGAAGGTTTTTATCCTAACACTGAGAGATTTGGGCAGATTCTTAGGCTGTGCTGTAGAACAGGCTGCGTCGCTGAAGCGTTTCAAGTAGTTGGATTGATGATATGTAGTGGAATCTCTGTGTCTGTTAATGTCTGGAGTATGTTGGTTAGTGGTTTTTTTCGTTCAGGAGAACCGCAAAAGGCGGTTGATCTGTTCAATAAGATGATTCAGATCGGTTGCTTTCCTAATCTTGTGACGTATACTAGTTTGATCAAAGGGTTTGTGGATTTAGGAATGGTTGAAGAAGCGTTTACCGTGCTAAGTAAAGTGCAATCTGAAGGTTTAGCTCCAGATATTGTTCTTTGCAATTTGATGATACACACATTCACAAGACTCGGAAGATTCGAAGAAGCTCGCAACGTTTTCACCAGTTTGAAAAAAAGGAAACTTGTGCCGGATCAGTATACTTTTGCTTCAATACTGTCTAGTCTATGTTTGTCAGGGGAGTTCGATCTCGTTCCTAGGATCACCCACGGTATAGGAACAGATTTCAATCTGGTCACTGGAAACTTGCTCTCAAACTGTTTCAGCAAGATTGGTTACTATTCGTACGCGTTGAAAGTACTCGGCATCATGTCTAACAAAGATTTAGCTTTGGATTGTTACACATATACTGTGTATCTTACTGCGCTTTGTCGAGGAGGAGCACCTCGCGCTGCCATTAAGATGTATGAAATAATAACCAGGGAGAACAAACATCTTGGTGCTCATTTTCATTCTGCAATAATCGACAGTCTTATAGAGCTTGGTAAATACAATACCGCGATTCATTTGTTTAAACGATGCATCTTGGAGAAGTATCCTTTAGATGTAGTGTCGTATACAGTAGCTATTAAGGGACTTATGCGCGCGAAAAGGATCGATGAAGCTTGTTCTCTGTGTTGCGACATGAAAGAAAATGGGATTTTTCCGAATCGAAGAACTTATCGGACTATTATATCTGGATTGTGCAAGGAGAAGGAGACTGAGAAAGTGAAAAAGATTTTGAGGGAATGCATCGAGGAAGGAGTTGAGTTGGATCCTAATACTAAGTTTAAAGTGTTTAGTCTCTTGTCTCGATATCGGGGAGACTTTTCTGAATTTAGATCGGTTTTTGAGAAATGGAAATCGGAATTTACAGAGAACGTGGATGTTTCTGATTCCGACGATGAATTATTTGTTTCTGTTGGTTGAGTTTGAGGTAAATGTATTATGTGATTTTGGCGCTGTAATTCTGTTATAGACTGTATTATAGAAATGAAAAATCTAATTCCAAATCTTTTTTTCTGATAGTGATGTTTTGTTTTCGCAGTAGATGTACGAGTGAAATTTTCTCATATATTGAAAATGTCCTAGTAAGAGACTATGAGAGGGGGGTAAAATGCCATTAGTGGCTTTGAGCAAACCGCTGCTTAGTAGCTTCATCCTCCCATTCGAGTTATTCAATATTTTGAGCTCCGTTGTGGAATCCAAATTCAAGCCACAAAGAAACTAAACTCATATATATGGACTCAAACATGCTATGCTATCCAAAAGGCCAAATCATGGATTTTGACATTTCTTTCGGCTTCATCAAATATTTGCGCACTAGTTTATCATATATCCATGCTTCACTGCATCTGCTCTCTATAAACCCCGTCTCCAATCCAATTCTTCCTCTATGAGACGTGAGTTCCCTAACAACATCCCGAATACTTGCTCACCATAAAGATAGCTTGATCCAATATTCTTGCCTTCTTGGAACAAAATTTATTCAAAAGCAACCTCAAGGTCAACCAGATTTTGCGGGGGCTTCTTGATGTAGATTCCATCCTCACATAAGCAGCCATAAACGTAGTTCAACCTTTGATCACAGGATATCTGGAAAGTCCCATCTGGACAAGCACCAGAGAAATTAAGAGTTGGAACAAAACGCTAGACAAGAGACTGAAATGGAACAAATTGTGCTATTTCTTGGATGAGTTTGAGGAAAATACATCATGTACAAGGCGTTGTAATACTTTAATCGGCAGTACTATAGAAACTAAATATCTTTTGTTTCTTTTCGTTGTATAGAAATCAAACTCTATAGTACTTGCCTCATTTCCAATTCCATTAACATAAACTCTTTGTTAAATAAGTGAAAGAGCAAGGAAACAGAGATATATACAACAACTGTGAAAAAGAGAAACAGAGGGACATGCTACAAGCCTACAACAACTACTCTTATTCGATATTCCACATTTCGGGATCAGGTATAGAAATATGGTGTCTATTTCACGTCTTTGCACTTGCTCTTGGTCGTCTTGGCAGCTCGTAATCTTGACAATCTACAGATCCTGAAGAGCCTGCCAACTTCAATCTTTCTCTTATCAGAAACCCAACAAAATCATAAGAACTTGAGGATTCATGGATATATAAATGTGATTCCATCAAGGTCATAACTATAGTTTTGGTTAAAAAAAAACTCACCCAAACGAGTAGTGTCAATTTACGCTTCCTCGTCCTCGGAGTGAGACTCAGTATTTGAAGCTGCCTCGGTCTTGATCTCCATCAATTGAGGTTGTACACCTAAAAACCCAATGACCAAAACAATATGTCAATGAATGACCAACAAAAAATCCGAGTCTCATACACCACAACTATTATCAAGAACCTGTTCCACCACAGACGCTAGTACTGCCTAAAGGATTAAAGATTTCTCAAAATGTTAAATCACATATTTATGATCTCCCATTCAGAACCTGTAACAACATCGAGCAATGACTAACTTTAGGATTGACATAGCATTATCAACATTATCTAAATCTGCCACTAATTCAATCATCTGAACGCTCAAATTCGACAAAAAATTTGATCAAATTCAAATGTGATCAACATATTGAAGATTCCAATCCCAATCGCAAAAATGGATTATCAACAACCACTAAACAATTATCCATCAAATCGCATTTTCATCAAACCTTTAAGGAAATAATCGGAGGAAGGCCATCCATGAGAAGAATTGGTAGATAAAGATTCTTCGTGGGTTAACGGATTCGCGAGTTTCACAACGAGCTGAGCTATTCCATGAGACTGAGATCCAGATCCAGGAGGCGGGACCCAATAAGACGCACCAGGAACAAAAGGAAGCCAATCAGGTTGAGCTCGGCGCACAAATATCCGGTGAACGGCGTCCTCTAGCTTCTGTATTAAAGGATCCGACGGCGATTGCGAAGCCGCGGAGGTATCAATCTCGTACAGATCTCCCCGACGATCGGACGATTGAGATCGGAATGAAACAAGTTGTGACGAAGGGAGAAGAGAGGATGACCCGGCGGCGAAACGGCCGTTAGATAGAGAAAGTGAACGGGATAGAGATCGAGCTATCATCATCTAGAGAAAGAGCGACGAGATCGGTTTCTGTTTCAACGCTGTAATTTTATGTTTTGGATAATGTTGAGAGACAGAGCTAATTTTTTCCCCCTTTTTATCGTAATTTTTTGTTTACTTATTTTGTTATTACCTAGAAAATATATTTATTTATTTTAACTTTTTCAGCCGACTTAGCTATGGCTGTCTTTTTTAGTACTATGGATAAACCCGTTGTTCTAAAAATCCCCGCCTAGACCCGATTACTCCCCGCTTAATCGCTAGACCCACCCTATCCGCTTCGATTAATGACTAATCCCCTAAAGAAATCAGTCACCCGATTACTCTCCGCCTAATCCGATTACTTCCCGCCTAATCCGATTACTTCCCGCCTAATCCGATTATTTCCCGCCTAATCCGATTATTCCCCGCCTAATCTTACATACTCCGATTATTTTTAGATTGCTAGTATAAGAAAACTTTTTATTTTTGTTATTCAAAAATTTGAATTGGGAGTTTGTAATGTTTTACAATAACTTATGTTCAAATTTTAATAAAAATCATAAATTTGTAATAAAAATCATAAAAATTTGTCTCAAAAATACATTTTTATGTGTTTACTGCAATTTTGAAAATAATATTGGATTAATATGTTTTAAAAATATTAAAATAACCCTAAAACTAATCCCCGATTAATCTCCGATTTTAATCCGATTTTCCGATTAATCGCTAGGCCCATGCCGAACGTCCGACTAGCGCCTAGCGATTTTTCAAACAAGGGATAAACCACGGCTATTAGGAAGTTTACCCATGGTTTAGACTTTTATATCCTAGGGGCTTATACAATCTAATTTTAGAAAATTAATATGAATTTTGTAATTGTAATACAAATTGGTATGAATGAAGATAATATCCAAAGTACGTAGAAGATAGAAAATTGATTTATATTTGTTACCGTACTTCAAAAACTGTGAAAATGATTCCACATTTTACATGTCTGATCACTATTTTAATATCTTCTAATATGATTCCGACCAAAAAAAGAAATATCTTCTAACATGATCGAAAGTATCTATTTCAGCAAGAGGACTAATTGTATCACCGTCACATATCACAATCATTGGTTTTTATAGTCTTAATGATATATAATAGGAAATATTTTCCAAAAAATGATATAATACTTCCAGCCTTTTCTGATAACTAAGATATTTTGGATCAGAAATAGATAATTCTCTTTTGTAAAGTCAAAAACAGATATCTACGACTACGATCGTCTTAGATATTTTGGGTCAGTGGTTTAGGTGAAGGCCGTGAGGCTATAACTTTAATTAAAGCATACGAGACTAATCCCTTTTGTGGACAAAACCATTTTTATTCACTATATGCTACGTATATTATAGTCTTAACTCTATAAGTTTAGACTTTAGAGTCATGTCTTATGAGTTCTCAAATCCTTAACGCAAAAAAACATTATCAAATCCCAATTTTCTTTTTATTAATCTGCTGAAAATGTAGAAAATCTGAAATATCGTTATATTCATGACAAAAAGAAGAACGATAATAAGTCATGTGGATCTGGTCGTTGTATACAGAGAAACCATGTGATGCAAACCAGAGAAACAAACATACGACGATGTGGAAATATACTCCCCCAAAACTCTGTCGTTTTGATTTCAATTGAAACAAACACACTAATTATTTAATGGGATTAAGTAAAACCCATAAGCTAAAAACCACAGCCAGCGTATTTATAGCTCATCCGTACCCTCCGGCTGATTCGTCACTCTCTTCACCTTTTCTTTCACAGCTTCCGTCGTATCACTCACCGCTTCCGCCGCTGATCTAGCAGCTTCCTCCACCGTTGCTTTACTATTCTCAAAGCTCCTAGTCGCCGCCTCTTTCATATTTTCACCGGTTCCCATCGGCGCATCATTCTTTCCGGTAAAACTATACAAAAAGAGAGGAAAAAAACAAAACAAAAACGGCTCGTTGAGTTCAAAACAAAATATTCTCCGATCAAACAAAGATAGTATATATGTACTTACTATGTGTTCGGTGGAAAGAAGTGGGACTGTCCACGATCCAAAGTCTCTCTAAGTTTGGCCCAATAATCTTTACCGGACCGTTTGATTTTAGTTAGCCAAACAGTCGTCGTTTTGTCTTCAGATGGCACCGCTCTCTGAGAATCGACATCATCAGCCGAAACATTCACTGATAACACGAAGAGGAAGAAGAAGATTGAGAATATGCATAGTAGGTTAAAAACTTGCCCAGGGTTTACTTTTTCAGCCATTTTTATGTTTTTCTCTGTTTTAAATTAATGTGGTAAGAGAAGCTCATGAAACTTTACATATACATATGTTTGAGTTTGCCAAGCGCGAGTCGGCAAGAAAAGTCATGGTGGGGACATAACACGTGTCTGACGCGTGAACCATGAAACGACAAAACTACCGACGTGAATGAGGTGGCTCATGGAACACCGAGACACGTGCTGTCTCACACTCTTTCAGATTATTTCTTGTTCTTCAATTAAGAACCGACCGGTTTATTAGTTGAGCAAACCGGGGTTTTTTTTTTCCTCCGATCCGACCGTTTCGATCTCTTTTGGAAATTATGCCACGACCAAAAAAAACGGTAAAAGACGGGTTCGGTACTCCAACGTAACTATTAGGTGACTAATCGTATTATAAACAACTATTATATTTCCAAATTCTAAAATCAAGAGACTATCGTGTTTTATAAATTATATATCAAGAGACTTTATATACTGTGTTAAATTGTTTAAGCAATAGATAAATGCTCGAAAAAGTCACTTCATTCTGACTAAAAAAATTGTTAAATGACGAGACTTATACACCTTTGTTTTGATTAGATAAAAATGAACTAAGAGCACGAAGACAAGTAACCACGTTTGTGTGTTTATTTATTAATAACTGTTTTTAATATTATGACTCAACATTGTCCTTTATAAGGACATTTCTTTGGTTTTATTTCATTTTTAGGAAATATCTAGTTTATGATTTTATATATGTTGTATTCGTCTTGCTTCAATCATTATGAATGAGTTACATTATTAGCTATTACGTGTCTTTCGCGCGTCGAGGTTTTCGTATAATGCATACTAATGAATGAAATCACATGTTGTGCCAAAAATGATCACAAATTTGTGTATACATATCTATATTATATGTATATGAATTATGATTATAATAGGTGATGGAAACCTAAACTAATACTAATAAGTGTTAGTTTCAAAATAAAATAAAATGATATGATAGAGCTTGATTAACGGGGTAATAGACTGACTAACCATTGGATGTGACCAATCATTATTACGAAATTTTACTTTGCTTGAAAGAAAAGCTTCCAATAATCTAAATCCAATCGACAAAATAAAACAAACCAATAACACTTCTGGCGTGAGGAAAAAACAATTTATCGTACCAAATTATATATGTTACCAAAGTATGAAAAAAGAAAGATATTGACAAATCCAGTCACCAACTATCAAATTTGATGTTAGCAACGAAAACATAGTCAAACGATTAACGATGTCTGTAGTTTATAATCCAACTTGTTTGTGGCTTATTGACAAGAACAACAAAAAAAAATGTTCGTGTCTTTATAATATTGTAAAGAGTGTTTAGCAAAATGGAGTAATTAAGAAAATTGACAATAAAAAGTGAGTTAAAACAAATTTTAGAGAGTTTTAATCCAATAATTTAAGGAATGTTATAGAATAGAAAGAACAACAAATTATACAAAGGTTAGGTGGAAAGAAGCTTAAGGGGTAATGTTACATATATAATCAAATGATTAAATGTTTCAAATGATGATTAAATACAGTTTTGTAATGTCGACATAGATAAACATTATTATTTTTTTTTTTTAAATTCACATATTTGTTGTCATTTGTTTCTCTTGTAAAAAAAAAGAAAGTACAGAGTGTTTCTTCTTCCTCTTTCTATCAGTTTGGTAGACATTAAAAAAAAAAACCTTAGCCCTTTTGGAGAGAGAGAGAGGAGGAGGAGGAGGAGAGAGAGAGAGACTGAGACAACTCATCAGTTGTTGCGGCTCAAAGAGAGAGAGATCGAGATCGAGATCCACACGACGGAGAAGAGAGAGAGCTTAACGGTGATGGGATCTTGGCTTCCCCAGTATTGCTTCCTCTTCATCTTCTACTGTCACTCCCACAATACCAATCACTTTTCCTGATATCCTTAGCTGCATTTTCTCCGAAACTCACTCTCTTCTTACTCAGGTACCAATCCACCTCTTGTTTCTTCTTGTCATTTTCCTGGATTTGATTGTTCCTTGTGTGATCGTGTTTTTGTTCATTTTGGGGTTTATCCATTTCTTTCCAATTTCATTCCATCTGGTTCCAATTTTGGGGCTTTGTTGGAAATGGCGATCTACATTTTCCGATTTTTGCAGTCTACTTGATTTTGGATGTTTTACTTGAAATGGAAACTCCTGTCTTTGATGGGATGCGGCGTTGAATTTACTTTTGATTTTTCTGCTCATTCAGATTTTCTATTTATTTGCATTCGATTTATGTTTGATTCTTCTGCTCATCTTTTGTTTAGAGACAACAATTTGGAAAAATTAGATTTGATTCTACCGCAAAAATCGCTGGTAGAAACTTAGAGATCTGAGCCCTATAGTTAGTGGTCCACTTTAGTATATACAAATGGCTATTCTGATTCCTGATGAGTAACTCACTTCTGGCTGCTAGCCTTGTAGTTGTCGGCATAGGTCTTTGATGCTCTTTCTCTCTTGTTATTTCTGATTCTGGTATTGCCCATTGTTTCACCTGTCACTATCTTTATCTCACGACGACTTTTTCTTCTTTATTATATTCTTTTTATGTCTATACATGCAAAGCATTATGCATTTGGCTCATTTCTCACTTCTTCCTCTCTCGTTTCTCTAGGATTTGAAATTCTTGCGTTTTCAACATAAGAGTCACTTGCTCTGGGGTTTTCTTTAAGTAACCAAAATGGGTTCGAGATACCCATCTCATCAGCTCAGCAATGGGTTATTTGTGTCTGGTCGGCCTGAGCAACCCAAAGAAAGGCCTCCAACCATGAGCGCAGTAGCCATGCCTTACACGGGTGGCGACATCAAGAGATCAGGAGAATTGGGGAAGATGTTTGATATTCCAGCAGATGGTACTAAGTCCAGGAAGTCTGGTCCCATTCCTGGTGCTCCGTCAAGGTCTGGCTCATTTGCAGGAACTTCACAATCTGGTCCAGGTGCTCCTATGGCCACTGGCCGTATGTCTGGCTCTTTAGCGTCTGCTGGCTCTGTTTCAATGAAGAAAACTAATTCCGGACCTTTATCTAAGCATGGAGAGCCTTTAAAGAAATCATCTGGCCCTCAATCTGGTGGTGTAACTCGGCAGAATTCCGGTTCTATTCCTATTCTTCCAGCTACAGGTCTCATAACCTCTGGGCCTATTACATCAGGCCCTCTGAATTCATCTGGGGCTCCCAGGAAGGTTTCTGGTCCACTAGACTCTTCTGGGTTGATGAAGTCACATATCCCTTCTGTTGTCCACAACCAGGCCGTAACTACCCTTGGTCCAGAAGATGACTTTTCCTGCCTGAAGAGCTTCCCAAAGCCTGTGCTCTGGTTGGTTGTTCTTATTTTCATTATGGGGTTCCTTGCTGGAGGCTTCATTCTTGGTGCAGTTCACAACCCAATTCTCCTCGTTGTTGTCGCGATCTTGTTTACAGTTGTTGCTGCGCTTTTCATATGGAATATTTGTTGGGGGAGACGTGGTATCACAGATTTCATTGCTCGTTATCCTGATGCTGATCTTAGAACTGCCAAAAATGGTCAATACGTGAAGGTCACTGGGGTAAGCATCCATGCGCCGGTCCTACAATTTACTATATTTTTTGGTTTCTCCTTCTGCTACTTGTCTACTTTCCAGGATGTATATTCTGTCTTTGGTCATACAATAAACTATATGACTGCAACTGAAGAGAAGGCTATTGCTTTTTCGCATGTGGTCTCTGTGAAACTAATAAAAAGCATAGTACTACTTAGTTGAAACAGTGGAATAAAACATGTTTTGGATGGATATTGTAATGCATTTGTAATCTTGGCTTGCTATGTTTATGACCTTGATTCTTGTTTTATTGTTTGAAGGTGGTTACTTGTGGTAATGTACCGCTTGAGTCATCCTTCCAAAGAGTTCCTAGATGTGTGTACACATCGACATGTCTATATGAGTATCGTGGATGGGGTTCGAAACCAGCCAATTCTTCCCATCGTCACTTCACATGGGGACTGAGATCATCAGAGGTTAGTGATTCCCCACCAATATTTTCGTTTTGACAGAGGAAATGTTATATATCTTCCTCAACCCCATCAAAACACTTCGTTGTAATGTTATGTTGCAGAGACATGTGGTGGACTTTTACATCTCTGATTTCCAGTCTGGGCTCAGAGCCTTAGTCAAAACGGGAAGCGGTGCAAAGGTAACACCTCTTGTAGATGATTCTGTTGTCATCGATTTTAAGCAAGGAAGCGAGCAAGTGTCTCCCGATTTTGTTAGATGGTTAAGCAAGAAGAATCTAACAAGCGATGATCGAATAATGCGGCTCAAAGAAGGGTAATGAACAAGCACTCCTAAAGTAATAAAAACTTAGCAGAAGCTTTGATCCTGATTCTCGCTACTGGGTTTCAATTTCAGGTATATAAAAGAAGGAAGCACAGTGAGTGTGATTGGAGTGGTGCAGAGAAACGATAATGTGTTGATGATAGTTCCATCATCTGAGCCACTAGCAGCTGGTTGGCAATGGAGGAGATGCACATTCCCTACAAGTCTTGAAGGAATCGTATTGAGATGTGAAGACTCATCCAATGTTGATGCCATACCGGTTTGAGTCATCATCATCATCACCAACATCCTAGTTTGGGTTCATTAAATATTTTTCATGAATCTGGAAAAAATGTATCTTGCTGATGGGTTCGCTTGGTGGTGGTTGTAGTGTTATTTTCTTTCCTTTTTAATCCTCATTAATTTTTTTCTTTTGGGTTCTCCGAGTTATTACGGTTAGGATGGTGATGGTGATGCTTGGAGGGTGTGGTTTCATTTTCCTAAGATGAGCTAATTGTATTTTCTTCTTATTCTTCTTCTTCGCCTTTTGGTTTGTATAGCTCTTCATGTCAATTCTTTTTCAATAGAACTTGTGTACTTTTCTCAATGTGTTATGTCTAAATCTTTCCTTTTTGTGAAAATAAAACTCAATTTGGTGTTCTTTTTAAACCTATGTTATGTTCTATGCTATTTGGAGTAATCATGCTCCACAGAATATATATGCAATTTCAAAATTTTCCCCACCAATTGCCTGTTTTGTGAGTGACATTTTTCTTTTCTTTCACTCTTTCACAACTTTTTGCATAACATTGTTATCAATTGGAGGGATAGAAAATGAGAGGCACTGATTTTATTAGAAAGAAACTTAGGTTCAAAACCAGTGTTTTACAGACAACAAAAACCTAGAACTACAAACTCAAACAACAAAAATCTTCCTTTAATTCAGAAAGGTCAATGAAAAGAGTTTCTCTCCCAAACTAACGGGATAACTTAAAACACCAGAAAAGGAGACATTAAGGTAATCAAAATCACAATCTATTTTGTTTGTTTGTTTGTGTGTTTGTTCCTCAACGCATGAAGGGGACTAACCAACGCATCTCTGCTCCATTTCCATTTGCCAGATAGTATATCTTCTTCCAGTTTTCTTCGGTGAATACTTCACGCCGAACTAGTCTTTGCCTGAAACAATACCATGTTCAACATTCATGAAATCGATATACGGTTTAGGCCCATACATTGTGTCAAGTAGATAAACTCAATAATGAACCAAAGCTAAAAGAAAGGGGTAAAATTGGTTTCATGTAACTCACCGAAGGTAGTAATAGCAGACAGCTTCTGCTTCATCCAAAGAATAACGTGGGAATTGCTGACGAGCATCAACTGGAACATCTGGCAAGTCTTTCCGTAGTTTTCCTACTGCAGTTGAATGTGAGAATGCACCCACCATCATATCTTCATGCATCATGCTTCTGAAAGCATTCACCTGCCAAAAGAATTGAGTGAATTGCAAATTTTGTTTTCTGAATCATATAAGAATTTGGAAGAAAAATCCACCGTTGTAAGTTCTCTGGCATGTATAGGTCGGCAAGAACGTGGTGTTACGGGCTCTTCAAACTCGCTGAATGTAAACCAACTGTTATACTGACAGACAAGTAAACAAGAAGAAACAAACAGCATTAGCACTAGTGAAAAAGAGGCAGATTCAAAATAATAGAAGGCGAAATATGGTATCATAAAAGGTAAAACTGGGGACTAACTTGATCAATTACAATCAACACTGGTACATCTTTTACAACTGAGAGTTCTTTTCTAAGTCGCACTACGACATTAACAGCCGCATGAGTGCTCTTAATTCCCATTTGCACAAGGTCATACAGAGTTGAATCCTCGGGAATCAGCAGAGTATCTGCTCCTTTCAAGTATCCTACACCCGCACCCTCTCCAAGAACGATAGGATCATGGATTTTGCATCGCAACTCTCTTAAGCGGGATTCATTAAACTTGACAAAATCCTACAGAAGTTAAGTCTATTAAGAAATGCTCTTAAATAGGAAGAATTCCATTCCCAAAGAGGAGGCATGTGAAATCTTGCCTTGAGAATATTCTCAGCTTGTAGAGGAGTGTCCCAAAACCCTGTATGTGGATTCTTATAGAAGTAGCCTCCGTGAGTCCAGTCACGTCCTTTTGGTGCATATAAAACTAGCCAGCCTTCGTCACGTGCCCAGTGAACAAGCATCGCCAGAGCAATACTCTTTCCACACTTAACAGGGCCATCCAAAACAATCTGTTTCTTAAGTTTGACACCTTTTCAGAAACAAAAAAGGAAGTAATGATTATAAATACCTAAGGCATTACAGATCCCGGAAGGGGCTTATGACAAGCAAGACTTAGCCAGCCAACAAATTAGACTGCTTTCGTTTCTAAGGGAAAAAAAAAATACAGCTACTGAACATAAAAGAGATAACTAAAACTTATACTTAAAGAAATCAACAAAACCGAAACAAGGATGAACAAAGAACACACCTTTACCGTCACTTGGCCACATGGGAGGATCAGCAATGCGACTAAAATTATCTCTCAGAGCCAAGAAACTTTTTCTCACAAGCAATGCAGGTCTCCATGATTCATTGAACTCATCTTCAATCCCTGACGCTAATCCCTCCGGAAGAACTGCTTTCAGTGCTGCCTCACTATCATTACCACATTATACGTTACATCAACACAAAATTATGCATACAAATTTCTATAAATACATAAACAGAAACATAAGGGAAAGAGAGAATTGAGATTACTCGAATTTGAAGTAGGAGCCAATGTCCTTGTGAGATAGCTGCGATAGTGTAGTATCTTTAGGAGTAAAGAGAGGCCTTCCATTAGGACCAACATCTAAAGACGGAATCTTCTCATCATCAGCTAGTCTCTTGGCGCGACCCGCTTCGAGGTCATCACCACCGGCGGCGCCAAACTCCCCGTCCTCGGCTCCGGCAGCACCAGGATCGCCGCCTTTAGGTTTGGATTTTTTGCCTTCAGATTTCTTCGTCTTGGTGATTGAAGATTTCGTGCTCTTCGAAGATGAAAAGCTGCGATGGACGTGATCTAAACTCGGGGAAAGTGTTCCCACGGCGGCTGAAGTCGGCGGTGAGAAATGACAAACGGTATCATTTAGAATCGAAGACCTCCGATTCAATTTGACATTCCCGGCGGCGATTCTTCCGACGAACTTCCACATTTCTTTGGTTCGTCTCTCTCTCAATGTCTATCGTCAGCGTCTAAGGTTTTAGGGAGGGATTTGGACGCAAATCTGACGAACCAACGAGAGGGATGAAGCAGCGAGCAAGTGGCAAACTTGTAATTTTCGATACTATGATCACTTTAGCGTTAGGCCCATTTATTAGTGGGCCGAAGCGTTTGAGATGAAAATTTGGGCCATTAAGGCCATTACTTTAAAATGATGACGTCATGTTCCATCTAACCTACTTATTTGTTTTAGCGCCACCGAATTTTTTAACTAGTCGGTAAAACAATGACCAATAGCATGTCACATCCGATAAAGTCGGGGCCAATAGAATGAAGAAATTTGTCGAACTGTGAATTTTTTTTTAATAAGAAAGGACAAATTTTTGGTGGCATTTAAAAATAATTTTGTAAAAAGTGGGGAAAAAATAAGGAAAAGGAAAGCAAGAGAAATGGCGATCTAACGTTGAAGATAATAAGAAGGACGAAACGGACATTTTTTTTTTTTTGGTGATATCTTTTTTATTATCCTCTCATGGCGGATAACACGAGACCTGTCCAAAGGCTCTTCTTCACTACTACTCCTCTCTAACGTTTTCCTCATTCTTCTTAATTCCGATATTTTATTCGGATTGAGTTATGGCTATGGCGTCTGCTTCTGGTTCTGCTCTTTGCTTCACTGATGCTTCTAGCTCTCTAGCTTTAAGACGCGATTGTGGAGCTCTTTGCTTGCCTCCGAGGACAGTTACGTTTGGATTTGTCGATAAATCTCTTTCGAATCTCGAGCGATTAAGGTTTTTGTTTTTTTTTGGTTAATACTTGGCTATCTCTTGATGTCTTCTTGAGAATTTGAATTCGAGCTTCTTTTGGCGGATTTCTCCTTTTGGATTGCCTTTTTCTATTGTGATCTTACTCTGTTTGTGCTGATTCTATTTCTTTCGAGCTTCATGAAGTTTTTGAATACTGACTGTTTCTGAATCAACTTCATTTGTTTTGAATTTTCTCCACAGATCTCGAAATCCTTATAAGTATCTCATAAATGAATTTAAGGATTATCATTAATTTTCCGAATTTGCTAATCTGTTTCTAATGTCCAAATGATCTTATTCCTAGTTGTGAATTCGTATTCTTTCTGGAATTTGATTCAACTCACGGATTGTTTTGAGCTGATCTTCTACTGAATCAAATAATTCAATCAATTCTGTATTTATTTTTCCTATTTCAGATTATCCAATTTGAAGCCTCGAGCATCAAATGCTACTGCTGTGGAGGTATGAAAATGAATTTGATTACACAAAGGTCACTAAGAATTTAAATAGATTTTTTAAAGTTTTATATGTTTTTGATTTTGAAGAATGGAAAGCAAGGTGAAAGTGCCGCTGATTCTGATAAAGTTCCAACTCCAGTGGTCATAATCGACCAAGATTCTGACCCCGATGCTACCGTTCTTGAAGTTACATTCGGAGATCGTCTTGGAGCTTTACTTGACACTGTAATGACACTTTCCTTCTTCTTACTCATCTGCTGCTTTCACAAAGCTTTTTACTTCCTTTCCCGCTTTTTTTTTTTTTGCGAGTTTTGACTGTTTCTTGATCTGATCAACTTTGCTCTTCTAGATGAATGCGCTCAAAAACTTGGGATTGAATGTTGTCAAGGCAAATGTTTACCTCGATTCTTCCGGCAAGCACAACAAATTTGCCATTACTAAAGCGTATGTCTTTACATATCATCAAGAGTTTTTGTGCTCGAAAGAGTCGTTTAGATAGTTAATGTTGCTTTGAATCAATTGACTCTGTCAAAGAGTTGACTTTAGATTGAATTTTGAGCTGACTGTAATTGTTCTTGAAACAGGGATAGTGGAAGAAAAGTAGAAGACCCTGAATTGCTTGAGGCCATTCGTCTCACAGTCATAAACAATCTGCTTGAGTTTCATCCTGTAACTACTTCACATCTTAATGTCATCTCTTTCCTATCTTACATAATTTATCAACTCACACGTTGTTTCTCAATGATTTGGATCAGGAATCAAGTTCTCAATTGGCAATGGGAGCAGCTTTTGGTGTTCTCCCACCAACTGAACCGGTAAACACCTTAAACTCTGATGCTGTTTGTATAACCTTATGCCCTTTTTCGTCTTATTTTACCATTTCTTCGAGAAGTTTAGCGTCCTCGAACATAAAGGTCAAGGATGCTTGTCGTTTCCTCGGTCATGAACAGATAAGAAACAATAATAGAGAAAACAAGACTAACTAATAATCAACATGTTTGGATTTGGCGGGTCAATGTAGAGTAGAAGTATTAAACTTCATTATAGTATTCACACTGATGAAGAAGGGAATACCCACGCAACTTCAAAGTTAGCTTCAAAATTCATTTTTTCCTGTATTTTGGATTGGGATGTTGACAGATTGATGTGGACATAGCAACACATATAACCATTGAAGATGATGGACCAAACCGCAGGTAACTTAAACCCATACCTTATCTCAACTTTAAAACCTTATCGAGATGCTTTTATTCTTATAATATATGATCTGATCATTGATCCATAATTATGTGTTGATGATGCAGTTTACTCTACATAGAAACAGCGGATAGACCTGGACTATTAGTTGAGCTGGTGAAGATCATTTCCGATATCAGCGTCGCTGTCGAATCTGGAGAATTCGACACCGAGGTATCTAATAATCCTGGCTTGTTTTAAACATATTCCACTAATAATATCGCTTTGTTTCTCATGTTGCTTCTTCTTGTTGTATGTGAAACAAAAAGGGTTTGCTGGCTAAGGTAAAGTTCCATGTAAGCTACAGGAACAAGGCACTAATCAAGCCTCTCCAGCAGGTAAAAATTCTGAAAAATTAGACTTTCTCTTTGATGAGTCGAAATGTTTTTAACTCAGATTTTGTTTTTTTTGTAGGTTCTTGCTAATAGTCTGAGGTACTTCTTGAGGCGTCCATCAACTGACGAGTCAAGTTTCTGATAATGCCCATTTTTCAAAATCTGATGTCTCATTCCTCTGTGACTACTTTTTACCACGTTTTTTTTTTTTTACATTTGACCAAAATAAGCTGTTTCAATTAAGTGGACATCTCATACACCTGTAATAGTAACATTCTCCATCATTCATCAAATTTACTTTGATTCACAACCTGTGTAATCTGATTATCTACACTGCTTTAAATATTATGAAGCATATTTAACACAAACAAAGATCAAAAGCAAGCACAATTGAAGAAAGTTAGATTCCAGATATGGGTAAACTTAGATCCCCCTAGTTATACAAATTCAGAGAGTACAAATCTTTTTTCCCTGTTTTCAGAAAAAGGATTCAGATAAAACCTTGAGATAGAGTTTCACCATATAATGTTATTTAAATGACAATGTTCTTTCTCCATTTGCAATCATCAAGCACCACTTGCGTAAAGACGAGTCCATTCCTTAGCTGCATGTGTTCACATTGATACGAGAATACCCGATTAGAGAGAGGAATAAAGTTTTTCTTTCAACATTTTGAGTTTTAAGATCGTATTTTGTCACCTGTTTCCACAGCTTCTGCTTCATTGCTCTTCCAATGCTTAGCTATGTTCTCAGACAGAGGATCATCTGGATTTGGTGCACTTAGAAGAGCTTGGATACTGTTTTTACACGGCATTGAAGAATCAGAAAGTGTGAATAATTAAATATTAATTTCTACAATATTTTTGGTTTAGTAGGGAGAGAATGAATCTATGGAAGATATTCATACCTCAAGAGCACAGTACGTATTTGTAGTGCAGGACTCCACTTGTCTTTCAGTATGTCAAGGCAGATTCTTCCAAGCTAGTATACATGATAAATGCAAACAAAACATATTCCATAAGTATAAAAGACCATGCATTTGGTTAGTTTATCTTGACAGTAAGAGAAGAAAAGGAAATATTTCACAACAGACCTTGTCGATGTTAGGATGGTATATCTTGGTGAGAAACCTAACCTGTTTTTCAAATGATGTCATCAATAAGACCCATAAACTCTACAGCAACGAAGAAAATTGGGTACCTTGTCTAATAGTATATGTGAATACATTCGGAGTATTCATAACAAACCAAAATAACCAATCTCATAAACCCATAAATAAAATCCCAGTGTTAAGAGTAGAGAGAGACATTCACATAAATAGCATTTACGTCCACACTTAACAATGTGGGGTAACACTAATTTTACCAAAACATGAGAAACATGAAATGAAAGAAGAAAAACTCACAAAATTCGAAGCAACTTACCTTGGGAGCTGCCATGGGATATTCTTCAGGCAAAAAGAGCTCCAACTTGAAAACTCCTCCTACAAATTGAGAACGAACAAAATGATAGGTAAACATCAATTAACAGAAATCTGATGATAGATAAAACAGCAGACTTGATTCTGGAAGAAATTATATATAAAATGAGAAACGGAATTTCGACATGGCATTGTATATTCTAGAACAAAGAAGACATGTCGAAATGAACACTAAGGTAGCTTATAGACTCATCGTAACTCATACCACCAGAATCCAAAAATCAGTAATCTATGAGACCTAGTACCTAAACGAACATATCCGTTTGTATAAACAAATATAGAGACAGAGCAGAGTCATTACTTGTAGAAGAAAAGATAAAACGAAATCGGTGAGTGGCATGCATTAAAGAAGAAAAAAGGAACAAGTAATCGATGAGAGCATCTTTGGGAGATCAAACAATTTGACTACCTTCATAAGGAGATTGAGTAGGACCAAGAATCATAACATTGAAATATCGCATATTTTCCTCTGATGGAGACGCACTTATCCCAGGAGCTACAATTTCGAAGGAGATATAGAACTTAGAATTGAGATCAATAGTTGCAGCTACCAAAACCAACTGTTTGAGCTAAAATCGACTGTAGTAATCAACAAGGAAAGAATGAATTGATGAAATTACCAGGTTCACTAAGCAGACGTTGAGTTTCCTATCAGATCGGAGAAAGAAAAAAGTCAGATCATAAGTTGCAGAAACGTAGAGATGATAAGATCGAACAAGCTATCGAAATTCTTCCCCAGTTCTGCTGAGCTATAATCCGTCGGTTCCTTCTTCTGATTTCAGATTCTAAATCCCCCAAAATGAAACAGAGGGAAATAGGGATCGGAGGATTATACAGAGGATCGGAAAACGTACCTTGATGATTCTTCGGGGAAGATTACTATTGGCCATTATCGCACGCTATCGGATTCGATCGGTCTCAGAGAAGTTAGGGTTTTTGAGAGAGAACGAAGCTAGAGAAGGCTGATAATCGAGTACGCTTCGTCGTCTCTAATTTCGTGCCCCTTTGATCCTTTTAATTCTTTCTTTTTTCTTTTCGGAAAATAAATCGATGCTTTTATACTAGTAATAAAAATATGTAATTACATCAAATAAGGACACATCAATATGTCAAAATTCTAATTATTTCAACTTTGTACTATTCTCTTCCAAATTCATATTCAATTTCTTTAGAATTAATTTCCATATTCAGATTTTTTTTAAAACCATAACTGAAAATTAATCTGATAAATTTCTTGTATATTTTTCTTAAAATCAAATATATTGTTCGTTTTGTAAACGACATACACTATTAAATTTAATCGGATGGTAACATAGTGGCAACTTAATCACAAACCACAATACATCTTGATCATTATTAGAAGAACTAAAACAAACTAATAACTTGTTTTAGGCTTTTCTTTTTTTCAAAGATTTTTTACTAAACAAAAGTGTTTTTTAGTCCATTAATTTTTTTAAAAGGATAATCTTATTCTCCAGTGCCCTTAAATTTTATTGCGTTCTTTTTTTTGGTGCCTTTTTATGACGCGTTCGCGTTGGTCGAACGCTAACTTAAAAGAGGACAGAAATATGAATTATGAAGTGCCCTCCATAGTCTTCTCATTTTCTACCTTTTTCTCAATAGCCAAAATTGGAATCCGCAATATCAAAAGGACAAAAAGGATAAGACTTTGCACAATAATGTCATCAACATAATCTTTCACGTTCTTCTGACCATTTGCCATTTGGAGATTTCTTACAAAGTCAAAACTAGTCTCTTTAACGACTTTACCACTACAAACCGTGAACGTGAACTTAAAAGCCGATACTAATCAGTTATTAGTTATTACATTCCGCTCAAAACTGCCCAATGAACTGAGTTAAAGCTACAAGTCTAGAGAGTTTAAGGATTTGTGATCATTTTGGGACTCTTCTAAGTGCTACGTATTTGCCAAACACGTTTTTCTCCTGCCACATGTACGGGATGAAGAACGATCTATACTTAGCTGGCGATAGCTCTCTGTCCAAATAAGGCAACACCGCAACAGCCTGAAGATGGGTGACAAGAACCAAATTGAATAAGTTGAAGTGAATTTAAAGATCCATTTTGTTTCAGGAAGATGGTTTGATTCCTATACCTCCCACGTAGATAAGTCGCTGCCTCGATATTGATACGGTCTGCTAAGCTGCAACTCAATGAGGAATGTACAAGTTTCGATGTTCTTTAACTGAAAAAGAATAAGAAAGAGAAATCAAGCGATGCTCAAGTTTATGTTTAGAGAATTTTGAAGGTTTCATGCGAGAAGAGCGTGTGAGTATTACATATTGTTCTTCGGATGCTTGGTTCTTGTTGTTGAAGTATGGAGGTGATGCTGCAGTGCCTCCAAGTGTACTGTTAAATGGGAATGGAAGAAGACCGCGGAATCCATCATCGATCCACCGTACTTCGCTGATGTAGTCAGGCACAAAAAACGATGATGGGTATCGATGCCATTCACTTCCCACACATAGAACAGAACCTGACGAACCAAACCAACCAAGAACTCATCAGTGATTAGAAAACTTTTGACAAAAGGATTTTGTTACCCTTTGTCCAAAGGCAAATTACTATTCTTGAAGTAAAAGTGAGATGTGATCTTCACTCGTGTTAGCATTGTAGATATACCTGGTCCTGCATCATCATGGTGCTCTAGTAGTTTGTAGACCTCTAAGGGAGCGGAATAGCCATTAATAAGAGCAAATGTGCGAGAATGTGAAGCACATAAGATAAAACCAAGAATCACAGGTCGCATGTATTTGGTTATCTGCGTATTAAACAGATATGTGAGCATCGTACAATCTAATTCTTTTCAATATGCGGAAAAGAATTGATCAGAGACTGAGATATTGTAAGTTGGAACTTACTGTCACCAGAAAACTTTCACGTGAGCTATACTTTTCCCGGAACAGCTCAGGGATGTTCTCAATAACAGCAGAAGCAGAGACACATATAAGAGGGTATATAGGATAAAGGAACCTGCAGCAATTAAATGACAATCAAAAACATTGTTTGTTGAATACCGTGATTTTGTAGAAGTATCATAAAATCCGCTTCCTCAGGATCTAGTAGCCACCTAATGAGTGCTCGGAAAACTACAGGATGAAAGATATATAAATCACCTTTCTTCTTTGTGGGGCTGAAGTGACATGAATGCCAGCCAAATATACATCGGCGAAATCACAACCAGCAGGCCACGGTCATACTTTCTTCTGATAACAGGATATATTGCGACAAACAACATGGCCAAAATGAAACAGAAGTTGAAGTTGTTAAATCCATTTCTTATATAAAACAGTGCTCCTTCAGTCCCATAGAGATGGCTCTCTCCACCCCCTAACACATTGTATATCAAGAGATTCAAAACCGATGATGTCCATCTCTTGTAATAATAGTAATCCACAAGTAGTGAGACTCCCTAGAAAAGAGACAAAACTATTTAGAAGAGAAAATAGTAATTTAAAGTTACAGATGCGAATGAAAGTCAGCGATGCAATAATTCCCATAAAATCCACACAGACAAAGCATCTAGGATTGGTGTTAACTTACTAGGAGGAAAATAGAGGTGACAGCGCCAGAGATAAATGCTTGCTTGAATCTCTTAACCAGAGAGTAAATAACGACAGGTAAAAAGGCCAAGATAGAAAACGGCCAGCCAAGAATCACCCCGACAACCGAAACTGCAACAGCCATGGCATACTTCTCGAAAAGTAATAAACCAGAAGAGAGGCTTATGGCGTACATAGAAAATGAACTGGGGAGGAAACCTATCCAATTTTAGAACATGAATTAGTAAGAAACCAGGACATAATGCCAAATTCTGAGCAATGTCATTGGAATAACTTATACAAGCATTTGAAACTAAAACCTATTGGATGCAAGAATAACTTGGAAAGCCTATATATGCATATTGCAGATATACGAAAGAGGGCTTAAGCAAGTGTAACAAATAAAAACTAAACAAATCACTCACTGGTGCTAGCAAAGAAGCAGCCACTGGTTAAGCAGAGCATCGCAACTGCATATGTAGCAAGACGTTTGCCGTACTTTCTGGAGAGTGCAACAACCAGGACAGTGTCTGAAACTGCAGAAACCAGTCCGAGAAAGAGTCTCACTGCATAGAAAACTCTAACCTATCCAAATGATTGATGATCGGATAAGAAATATGTGGCGGTTATATATAGCAATTAGAATGTACATCAGTAAGTATGCATTGCTTACCTTGTCATCACCAAACCACCAAGAAGCAGGCCGTCCAGCCAATTCATGGAAAAGAATGTATAAGTACGACCGAAGAGCAAAGTTGGAACTGCAAAACACACACACACACACAAAAAAACTAAGCAATCTCTTGATTATGTTTTCATATAAAAACTCAAGTTACAAACATTAATACACAGAGACGAAGGACATGCATCAACAATGTAGAAGAAAAAACTAAAATAGAGATTCAAATCATCAGATACTAAGAAGCAGGAAGAACCCAGGCACACTTGTTTTCTCTTACAAAAACAGGACACTCTAAAACTAAGCTCGATAACCTAAGAAAAATTCCATTGAATCGAAGTTCCACTAAACCAAATCCCAACTTCACATTTCTGATTTCAAATTGAAAATGTTGAGAATCAGTAGTCACCGGTACATATATATAGAATCACAGCTCAAGTACATGCTCACTCGAGCTAACATCGCGTCTCTAGCTCAGTAATAAGACCACCAATGCGTATTATAGAAAAAACATATACATTCAAATGTAGCGCAAAAAGCAAACCTGTATTCCCAGGTCTGAAATCCGGACTTGTAGAGAAGATAATGAAGAGGCTCCCAGTAATTGAACACTTCATCACAGTCATGAATGATATTAGAAGTCGCGCTCATGTAACGAAGATAACAAAGCGCTATAAACGGCATGAACCACCGGAGGCCACCATCCTCCGCATCCCTGCCGTTAGATCGGCCAGGCTTATCAGTCTTCGAGTAAGATTTCGTGGAAGACGAAGAAGAAGAGTCAGATATAAGTGGACGCCTCTGACGCGTCGTCGTTAGATCCATCGAGCTTAGAGGATTTCAGTACGAAAATGGAGGTCGTAAAGTGCAGATTGCAGAAGGAAGGTTTATTAGTTCATTCTCTTCTCGACGAAGCAATGAAGAAAAGTATCTGATCAAATTAGAGGCTTTAATACATAGATAAAAAGGCCTTTTAAACCAAAAAGAAAAGATTAAGTTGTATATTTTAATGGGCTTCTTAGTACTTTAAGCCCATTATGTTTTTCGTCTTTTCTACACGTTTAAAGATCAAACATTAGGGGTTTTGATATAAGCCACTTTTCTGGAATCAGAAACTTTGACTAAAGTCCCAAGCTCATGACTAATCCAACACTTAAAGCTACTTTTATCGTAAAAGTACCCCAAACATTTACAGTCTCGACTACACAAACTTCGACACTTGCTCTCTCCAAGCGCAAGACCAACGTTATACTTAGTCATGAAATGGTCAACTCCTCCAAGTCTATAATAATGAAAAGTCTTCGGATCACAACTCTTCACCTTCTTAGGCTTACAAGCCTTACTCCAGCCCAGTAAGCCCACCTCCAACGGACAAGCCACACATTGATTATCCTCACAAAGCCCAAACTCTCCACACTTGGACGGTAACCAACACTCGTTGTTGTTGTCGTGGTTGAAAAGCTCGAATGTTACTTCCCATGCAAGAAAAGTAACCTTGGAATCGAAAGTGTAAATCCTAAGATTTCCATCAGCGTCAAGCCTGAGGAAACTTTGCGAGGCGTTGAATCTTGGCCTTGCGAGAAAATGTTTATATGGAAACTCAGGCCTAAGCCCCGGCGTGGATAGGCCCAATTGAGTCGTGGTCCCTTGATCTTTAGCCGCGTAAAGAGTGGCGCTTGGAATAAACCGACCTTCTATAATGTAATACACAGCGGATTTGTTGTTGCTCCGAGGGATTAAATGGTTCAGAACGAGTCGGTCCGGCTCTAAGATAAGACTAAAAGACCCATTGTTGCGGCTTACGAGTTTGTTCTTTGACCCATCGACTGTAAGAGACTGAACGACCAAGAGTGTATCCGTCGGGAAATCAAAGCTCTGCCATACGGGCCATCCTCCATCATCAAACAACACAAGATTTCCGTTTTCGTTCATCGTTAAGCCTATAACGCCTTTATTTTCTGTATTGGTCTGCCATACGACTCTGCCATCTGGCTGGGACAGGACAAGGTTTCCTTCAGGTCCGAACGAAAGAGAAGCCTCTTCTTGAACTGGGTTTTGCGGGTTAGCCTGCCATACCCAACGAATGATGGAATCAGAACTTCCTGTTCCCATCCCTATAGCCAGTGTGAATGCGTTTGGCGTGGTGTTGAAGAAACATAGACGAAATTGGTTACGTATTACACCTAAATCTCTGTAACTTGCACCGTACTCCACCGTGGATTCTCCAAAGTCGCCGTTGTTTAGGAATCGGAATTGCTCCGATGGAGGAACTTGTGGTCGGACGAGCGAAATGAGAAGAAAAAGAGAAAGAAGAATAAGAATATGTGATGCTAATGCCATTTTTTAAAAGGTCTTGATAGAAACAAAGGGAACAAACGGATGTATATATAATGCAAGATTTAGAATAAGAAATAAAGAAGTCAAAACGGATTAATTAATTTAGTCAAGTCTCAATGTTTATATTCTATGACGATTTGTATGCTCGTGTAAATTTCTTAAGCCGTACTACACGACGTCGAACATGTGGTTGGGGATACGATTTTAAAGATCATTTTCATCGTATGCTGATGGTTTTGACTTTTGAGATTGCGGAGACATACAAATTATAAGCTGTCATAGTGTCATTGGTTGCCCTGCGTTTAAGTCTAACAAAAGTGCATGGTTAGAAGTCAATAACTTTGAGTTGTGGTATTAACTGAAAAAAGTAGATAAAAAGAAGAAATTAATCTAATTAGATCTCTTTACATATTGATATCTATATATATGTTTTATCAATCAACTTGAGTACTGTATTGAGATTTGAGAATAGGATGTCAAATAAGTTTCAACTTGAATAGAGAAATTTAACAATTCATTTGTAGAATTGTAGGTCCACTCTTCTGAATGTATTTATGGTTGATAGTTACTCTAAAAATGTTAATTCTAGGTCCAATTCTGGTTCACAGAGTTAGTAATTTAGAATATACACCTATACACATATCTAAACTGTTAATTAAGCATTCGCCTTAGAGGGCCATATTTTCATATTAATGGGCCAAATAAATTGGATCCATTGGGCTGTTTAAGAAGGTCCAGCTTAACGACGAAGAAGACAAGCTGATTCCACCAGATCTCACGACTGCTCAAACTGCCTGGAAGACTGGTCACGTTTCCTGCCCAGATTCTTTAAACTTGTGGTAACACAAAAGAAATTACTGAACATGAGTTTGGATTTGGTAATGGTGCTTGTTAATTACATCCACGATCGGTGATTGCATTAACTGCTGGAATGCTAAACCCAGGCCCTGCTTAGGGGCAGTGCTTGCTGACAGTGCAATAGAGATTTTAGCAGTAGAAACCCTCTGAATCAAATTGAGACAGTGACAAGGATAGAAACAATAATCTTTGCACAAAGCAGAAACCAAATGAGTATGAGTATCAGATTCTAGGGTTCGTAGAAACAGAGATACACAGAGGCAATTTCTTCCACTGGGTTTGATAAAAAAGATCCAAACTTTAGGTCAACGATACTAGAATCTAAAGATCTTTTGCATCATCTAGATCAAAACAAAATTACAAGAAAAGAAGAAGAGAGAGAGAGAGAGTGTGTGATCATCATCATTTCATAGCTTTCTGAATCGAATTTGGAGGCGTTTGATGCAATAAAGCTGCATCTCCATGTTGTTGATTCTTCTCCTGCTCCTGTTTCAGAATCGAGTTTCTCTCCATCTCACGCCATTTATTGATCGCGAAAGTACATAGAACTGCGAAATTTTACAGTCATGGGTCAATGTTAGATTTACTCGATCAAGATTGAAAAAAATATGAAGCAGAAATTCAACTTACATCCGGCGCCGACGAAGTAGACCATCCGAAGCATCTTCGGAGCTGGTGGACCTTCTTCTATCATTTCTTCTAATCGCTATCTTCTTCTTTCTTCTCTGCTCCTCTAAAGAGTTGTCTCAAACGTCGTCGTTTTGTACTTTTTTGTCACAAAAATGAGACCTAACCCGACAACATAAGGCAACCCGACCCGGTTCTGAAGTTTTGGTTTTGGATTTTTTGAAGATACAAAAAAACAGAGAAATCAGAATCAAGAGTTGGATGAACTAAGCGTGATTGAGAGATCAGGAGCGAATTAAGTATGCTTGAATTATGCAGAGGTGGAGCTGAAAGATTGATCGTTATCGTGGGTGCCAGTGGGTGAGCTTGCTTCTCACGGTCATTAAGTTCATGTCTTTGAATCCAGATGCTTTGAAGAAACTGAAATTCCATAGAATAGTCTTTTACCTAAGATGATGTTATTACCGTTGAAGAACAATTACTCTCAGTTCACATTGATGCCCCCATTGTTGTGTTACACTCATTGTCATTAGTGTGATTGACTCGGATTTTTTGTTCTATAGTGTAGTTAATTAGGGTTTTTTTGATTCTTGACTTTATCTTTTCTCATTGTTTTTTATTCTCCCCATTGTTGTGTTACACTCATTGTGATTAGAAAGCTAGATTCGAGATTTTTGTTCTATAGTGTAGTAATGTTAATGCAAGCATTTTGCTTAGGGTTCAAGATTAATGATCCATATCTAACTGAATATTCAGGTATCTTTCGAGCTACGGTGTAAGCTACTTTCTTGTCACAGGCATATTTTCTACCGTCTTCATGCTGTTTGTGCATATCTACAATGCTTATTTGTATGTGTGATTTTGGGATAGTCATCGTTTGATGTTTTATTAGTCGGCCAGGTTTCGGTTTTTATCTTGTCTTTCAGGGGGATATGATGAAAGATTGAGGGAGAGTAGAGCATGTCTGACCGTGTTAACTTCTCTCAATATGCTTGTGTGTTTCTCTACACACCAACGGTAAAAAGGCACCATCCTTCCTTGCTTCTTCCTTACAATCTTGATTTTAATTATTCTCATAGTCAAAGAAAATCTGTTTTCTAATTCAAAAACCAAACCGAAAAGTTTGATGCTGCAGGTATTGATTGTTCCATTAGAGGTAATGGCAGTTAACAATCCCGTGATCGCGTGCAATAGCGATGGGCCTATGGAAACGGTGAAAGCAGAGTAACCGTTTATCTCTGTGAATTAACTGCAGAAGATTTCTGCTAACTTCATCAGAAAACCCGAGTTAGCTTAATAGAATGGGTACTGAATCTAGAAACGCCTCGTTGAGTTATTCTCTACTGAGAGTCTGAGACAATTAGACACAGATTGAATCAATCAGTTTCTCGATGTCTTGGATCCTAAAGAAGATTGCTTCTGCTTCGTAACTGATGTATTCTGAAACTGATTCACCAACAATTTTTGAAATAAAGTTACAGAAACATTATATAATGTGTAGTCTAAAACTTATATAAATATCGATAGTGTTACAAAACAAGAGCATAAGCGAACAATGGACCATGGGGGTTATAATTCTCTCTCAACAGAAACAAAAAAAAAAAGCCTTCAATTTGAGCAGCACCCGAGTTTCTTCAGAGCAGAGACATCGTTTTTAACTTCTATTTTCTCACCTTTCGGGACAGAGGCATTCCCATCTTCACCAGCTTCAACTTGCTTCTTGCTTGTGATGCGATAAATCTGTGTCAAAACCTCTGCAAATGCGTCCTCGACATTGGTAGCTTCAAGGGCAGATGTTTCCATGAAGCAGAGCGATTCCTGTTCCGCGTAGGATTTTCCGTCTTCTGTAGGAACAGCTAGTAAGTGGCGGAGATCAGATTTGTTACCAACGAGCATCACTACAATGTTTGGATCTGTGTGGTTCTTGAGTTCCTTTAACCACCGGTCTACGTTCTCAAATGTTGCACGGCGGGTAACATCATATACTAGGAGTGCGCCCACAGCTCCACGATAGTATGCACTGGTGATGGCACGGTACCTGAGACGAGAACCAAAAGTGAGTCTTAAGTTAGTGGCTAGAATCAGTGATAAATAGAGCAAAGGTGGAAATAAAGTGATAGGCTCTATAATCATTTATCCTAGAAGAGAATTCTTATAGGCCTTTTCTTTCATTACCCTAAATGTCAGTCCAATCCCCAATCTAGATACTGGACCTGCCATAGTTAGTACAAGAAATGACCTGATTTGTTTTTATCAAGCCTATCACGGATGTGCATACTGATCCAGTATCCAACAATATTGCCAAAAATAGGCATAAACTGAAATGCCAGGTCAAAGAAGGCAGTAAAACAATCTATTCAATGGAGGCAACTCAACTAGTCAAAGAGAGCAAGTTCTTTTCTTACATTTTAACAATAGCCCGTATAGTGTTCCTGATTCTAGTGATCATTAACCAGAAAGCATCACATGCTCTTTTTCATCCACTCAATAAGTCAATATAGATTCCATCAAAGCAATCATGGTCATATTGAGTCAAACACAAAGACTAATTTTTAGAAAGGGCAGTTTTTTAATCTACATTATTAGCTACCTCCATATTCTATCCTTCAATGGTGGTCAAATGCAGTCAACTTCAGACAGGCGTTTCCAAAAGAGCAGTATTTTGAGAATAAAAGTCAACGGGGAGACTCTCTCGTAAAAGGCTGCTGAACACATTCACTACTCCGAAAGCAAAAAAACTAAAAACAAGCATAGAAGCCAGTGAATGAATCAGACATTGAATAGTCACCACCCTAGACCTAGAGAAGATAAGATCAGCTTCATCTTAAGCTTCCATTCACTCTAAAACGGTTTGATAGGAACATACAGATTGTGTTACAGAGCTCAATTCCGATACAGTATCATGAATTCAAATAAGTCAAACAAACGAATCAAAAGCTAATGTTCCCTATCAAAGTTACCAAAACGATAGATCTGTGGAAACTCGTTTAAAGGCACTGCAATGAGCTTATAGTGATCTATGGGACAGTGGCTTGACCCAGGAACAATCGAAAATACGCCATGAAACTCAAAGTGAAATACCACCAAGATCTAGCTTGAAGGCCGATTTACATCCAAATCAAACACGAAGAACGAAATGAAGAGACGAGAACGACGGAAAAACGAACCTCTCCTGACCAGCAGTATCCCAAATCTGAGCTTTGATGACTTTACCATCGACTTTTAATGTGCGAGTGGCGAATTCGACGCCAATGGTGGATTTAGACTCTAGATTAAACTCGTTTTTGGTAAATCTGGAAAGGAGATTGGATTTGCCAACTCCAGAATCGCCTATAAGAACAACTTTGAAGAGGTAATCGTAGTCATCTTCCACTCTGTACCCAGCCATCTCCGCCGTCTCAGGTGGTTGCTTCTTCTCAGCGATTAATCTGAGAAAGAAAGAGAGAGAGACGCAGCAGTGTAAAAGGTGTAAACTGAGATTTGAAATAACGCGAAGAAATTGGTGTATGTGTTAAAGTGACGGCTGGTGACAGTCTGTGATTGTAATCTGACATCTCGTCCGTTGATATCTATTGGGTAGGTGACTGTAGTAATATCTACTGTAAAATCTAAAGACTTTTGACAGTTTTACCCTTGGCGTTTAACGTCATCTGGGCGAGGTTTAAATAAGTAATCACTGTATTAGTACGATAAATGCTGTCTATATCAGAAGAAAACCATAAATGTCCTGAGTTGACTATTATTATTGTCTGCATCTTAGAAATGTCAAAGATGTCAAAAAGCAAGCGAGACGATCTCTGTGCCCTTTTCCCGGCGAATTGACGGCGATTTCGTATTATTCTTCCTCTCTCGCCGTCATCTCTTTGGGGGAAAAAAACACACTTAATCACAGGTAATTTCAGTAGCGTTTGATTTTTCTGGAGATTTTGAGTTGACTTTTAGCTAACAGATTTGTGATTTATTTCTGTTCAGTGTTAATGTTTACATGATTGAATCTCAGACTATATAATTTCAGAGTTGAAGGCATAAGACATGGATGGTGAAACCTCTGTCAAAGAGAAGCAGAGGAATTCAGATAGGATAAGCAATTTACCTGATTCCTTGTTATGTCAGATTCTCTCAAATCTCTCCACAAAAGAATCGGTTTGCACAAGCGGTTTATCAAAACGATGGAGAAGTCTCTGGTTACATGTTCCTGCACTGGATTTGGATTCCAATAACTTCCCAGATGATGATGTTTTTGTGGGTTTCGTAAATAGGTTTCTGGGTTCTGAAAATGAGCAACACTTGGAGAGATTCAAGTTGATCTACGAGGTTAATGAGCATGATGCTTCTCGGTTCAAGTCTTGGATCAATACTGTGATTAAGCGTAGAGTTTGTCATTTTAATGTTCATAATGAGGTGGATGATGATGATGACTTAGTTAAGATGCCTTTATCTCTCTATTCTTGTGAAAGCTTGGTGAACTTACAGCTCTACCGCGTAGTCTTGGATCATCCCGAATCTGTTTCGCTACCTTGTGTCAAGATTATGCATCTTGATATGGTCAAGTACGATGCTGATTCGACTCTGGAGAGGCTAATATCAGGCTGTCCTGTTCTGGAAGAGTTAACCATAGTTCGTGATCCCAATGATTCTCTAGAAGTTGTGTGTGTGCGTTCCAAGTCTCTAAAAAGCTTCAAGATAGAGTGTGAGCGCTACGAAAGTGAAAATCATGTTGTTGAAATCGATGCTCCAAGACTCGAGTATATGAATCTTTGTGATCATCGATCTGACAGCTTCATAATACACAATATTGGCCCCTTTGCAAAGGTAGATATTGATGTTATCTTTAATGTGGAATATAATGATCCATTGGAACCAGATGATTCTTCCAAGATAGCTATGCTAGGTAAATTCCTCACTGGGTTATCTACGGTCAGCGAAATGGTCATATCTTCTGATACTCTACAGGTATATATATATTCAATAACATTAAGCTTATACACTTCCCTTATCACATTGTCTCAGTGAACCCATGTTTTCTTTTATTTTTCGCTGCACAGGTTATTCATGATTACTGCAAAATGGAACAACTACCTCAATTCTCTAACTTGTCTCGCTTGCATGCTTACTTCGAAGATTCTTGGTGGGAAATGTTGCCAACCTTCCTTGAGAGCTTCCCAAATCTACACTCAGTCGTCATGGTGAGTTTCATTTGCTTCTGCCTTCATGTAAATCACATTGTGCTTTTTAATAACAAAAACTCAAACTTCCCTCGGTTATATGTTATCAGGAATTTGATTGCTTTCCAGATAAAGAGCAGATTGATCTTTCATATGTGCCACAATGTTTTATATCATCTCTTGAGTTTGTTCACCTGAAGACACCATTTGTTGTAAACATGCAAAAGGAAGGGAGACCCCTCACAGGAACATCAAGTAAGATGAAATTAGCAAAGTACTTTCTAGAGAATGGTGCAGCTCTCAAGCAACTGACAGTAAGTGCGAGTTTCTGTAACATTATCAACGAAATCAAATCGATTCCAAGAAGCTCTACGAGGTGTCAAGTTGTCATGGATTAATTGAGCCAGCTTACAAGGTCGTCTCTGATACATCCAGCTTTGTATCCGATGATCTACAGAGAAATCAAGGCTTGTTTTTCCAGCCATTAGTTTACAGGTTGATTGTTTAGTGAACTCTTTTCTTACAGACCAGGTTTCTACTTACTCTATATAACACTCTCTCTTGGAGTTGTAAAACAATGATAAAACCAGATGGGCTTTATTAGATACAATTGTACCTTATTTTTGTTGGGATAATGATATGAGATTTCTTTCTTTTTTTCATTTTATTGGGGCGATATTTTTTTTCTTATTGTTACGTAAATCTCGGTTATTATAGGATTTGGATTTTCCTAAAAGTTAATTAACCTTCCTTAAATTGCCGCATTCACGTGAATTCGTGATCAAAGACTCAGAAACCCTAAACAGATCATGAGTCGGGTGATCTGATCGTCGTTCCTTGCTCAGTAGTCAGTACTCTTTCGTGATTATGCGACTCTAGATTTTTCTTTTTCTTTTTCCAACTCTGGTTAAAATCATACGCCTTCAAAAGATCTGTGTTTACATAAATTAAAAAAAAATAAAAAAAAAATCTGTTTATATTTACTCTTTGAGTTTTATCATACAACGCAGAAGTTATAGATGCTGCTTAATTTAAGAAGAAACCTGTTGGTCATAATATAATCAGAGAAGAAGATATGATTAACCTATTACCAGATTCTTTGATTTATGAGATACTTTCCAATCTTCCCACAAAGGATGTGGTCAAGACTAGCCTTTTATGTCGCAGATGGAGATATGTTTGGCAATCTGTGCCTGGGATAGATTTGGTTATCAATGGCTTTATCAAAAATTATGATAAGTTTGATTTTCTTGATAGGTTTATAGATTTGAACTATTACTTGTGCTTACAAAGAGTCAAGCTAAGGTATGTTGGAAATGGTCAAAATTATCGAATCAAGACGTCGATGAACACTGTGATTAAACAGAAAATTCAACATTTAGATGTTGGGAGTAACTCAAGGTATGCATATGATAGACTTGAGATACCTCCAACCATTTATACATCATGTGAGAGATTGGTATCCTTGAAACTCTATCGCACAAACTTGCCAAAATCCCCGGACTCAGTTTCTCTGCCTTGTCTTAAGATCATGGATCTACAACAAATCAACTTTGTTGACAGTTTGGAAATGGAGAAGCTGGTCTCAGTCTGCCCAGCCCTAGAAACCCTAACTATGGACAAGATGTATGGAGTTAAAGTCTCATCTCGGTCTCTATTGAGCTTCTGTCTGACCAAAAATGGAGATGGCTATCTGAAAACACAAGTTGTAATGCAAACCCCAAAGCTCAAGTATCTAAAGCTGAACAGTCATTTTATTGAAAGAATCATTATAAATTTGAGTTCCATTGTCATGTTGAATCTTGATGATTTGATATATTTTGGTGAAACCTTGCTTAGTATTCTTAAACTCATCTCTTGTGTCAGAGATTTGACTATCTCCTTTGATATTCTTCAGGTAAACTATCTATCTTGATTCTCTCTAACTATATATAAGGTTTTTTTTTTTTCTTTTGAACGTGAAAAGTTGTAACATGCATTCTCTTTTTGTAGGACATTTGTCAGTTCTCGAAATCGAAATCACTACCAAAATTTCATAACCTTTCTATCTTGAGCGTCACGAACATGATGGCCGGATCTTGGGAATCTTTATTAATCTTTCTTGAGAGCTGTCCGAATCTAAAATCTCTTGTCCTGGTTTGTAATTGTTTTGTTTATTAATTAACTAATTGAAACTCATATTCTGAAAATATTGGATATACTAAATTTGTCTTCTTTTGTTTCTCTACTTTAATTTGCAGGGGTTTCAAGATTATAACTGGGGAGTAAATTTTTCAGATGTGCCCCAATGTATTTTATCATCGCTTGAGTTTGTTGAAGTTAAAGCAAGAGACGTGGCTGATATGAATAAACTAGGGAGTTATTTCATGGAGAATTCAACAGTCCTCAAGAAATTTACTCTATGCTTAGATTATATAAGTGAATGTGATCATGTGATCCTCGGAAAGCTCTTTACATTGCCAAGAAGATCTAACAAATGTGAAGTTGTTGTTCGCTCTAGAACATTTGGAACATACAAGCCCTTGTCTTTGTTTTCTGTTGCTGATGGTTTCTGCCGAGAGAAAGTCTAATTTTGGCTTTTGAGCGTTTTTGACTACTTTTGAATGATTTGCTCTAAGGCTTTGTTATAATCCATTGACTCGAATTTTGAGCTTTTTTCCTCTTCGGACATAGTAGACGACAACAGACAAACTAGGGTTCCATTTTTCTTTTGACGTCCACAAATTTGATAAACTATATACAGTATGTGATCAAGCAGCAAATCCAACATCTAGACCTAGAGGGTTATATACAAGAGAGATTGGTCTCCTTGAAACTGATATGTTGTGTAATTTTGCCTAAACTGCCGCCCAAGCCCTTTTCTTTGCCTTGTCTTAAGATCATTGATCTACAAGAAATCAAGTTTGATGACAGTTTGGCAATGGAGAAGCCTATCTCAGGCTAGTCAGCTCTCGGTGTATGGAGTTAGAGTCTCATCCCAGTCTCTATTGAGTTTTTCTCTTACCAAAACTGAAGGTGGAGGTAAGGCTAATTAGGAAAACAGTTGCAATGCAAACTCCAAGGCTTTAAGTATCTAAAGCTGAACAATCGATGTATTTAAAGAATCATTATAGAAGATTTGGGCTCCATTGTTAAGTTGGATCTTGATGGGTTTATTAAATTTGGTGAAACCTTATCTAGTCTTACCAATGTTGCCATTGTCTCCTTTGTTAGAGATATTACTATATATCTCTTCTCATATACTTCAGGTAAACTATTTAACATTAACCTTTTTTATTGCTTTCGAATATGGAAAGTTGTAACATGTATTCCTTGTTTGTAGGTCGTTCACTAGTTCTGGAAATCGAAATCACTGCACCAGTTTCATAAACTCTCTAGCTTGAACGTCAAAGGCATGAATCATGATCGTTGAATCTTGGGAATATTTGCTAACCTTTCTTATAGAATTGTCCGAATCTTAAATCTCTTGTCATGGTTAGTATTTTTCTTTTACCAACTAACTAATTTAAACCCAAACTCTGAAAGCAAATCAGGTTTTAGCTCTCCGGATGGGTTGTTGGGCTCTACATTTTAATCACTAACCTCTTTCATATGGTCTTTGTAATATTATACTGATGGCTTCTGAACACCTTTATTTAATTTCAAAATAGCAAAACCAATAAAGTAATAATTTTTAGCATTAAATGTAAGAAATGTCACCATTTAATTAATTGTTGTATATAGAAGAAAAAAACACTAAGAGTTGTAGTTATTTTTATTTTATTTTGTTATAATTTCGGATCTTAGTTGTAGTTATTGTTCTTAGAGTACACATTTGTCATATTAATTAATAGGGAACTCGTGTATGTATCGTGAGTTTTACCTCCTTATATAGAAGATAATAATGCTAAATCTGTGACACCTATTCAACTAAATTAATTCTGATGTATCATTATATGTTCAATATATTTTTGGGTTTATGTTTTTAGTTTTGGAACTTCAATAATAGAGAACAAGAGGTATGAATAGTAATATTTTAAAGCATATAATTGTGTGCAATGGATAAATTTTTGCTATAAACAGGTAAACACACAAAACTCCAACAACAAAAAGCAGTCATACAATAGTATTGAACCATTCACACTGATAATGAGCCATAGAAATAAGTGGTCATCGAGATACGAAGAAAATAGCACTTAAGTTTCATCAACTTTTCTCGTCTCTTACGGAACAGCTCAGTCAGTAAACTTAGCAAGACATTGGACAAATGTTTAACTGAAGAAAAACAAATTATTTTCGTATCTTTATATATATACTGTTTTATAGTGGTGATCAAAGTTAAAAAAAAAAAAAAAGATATATTTTTTTCTTTTTTAGATGACATTTCTGTTGTATAAAACTCAATTCTGCTAATTTTCTATTATTGTTAAATTATTAATTTCGGAACTGTATATATGAATGTCATTTTATCTTTTTCACAATTACCAACGAAAAAGCATGTATGTAAGGTGAAAGAGATTTTTTGTCTGCGGTTCTTGGAGTTATAAAAGCACAAATGCGTATGTGCAATTATGCATTGATCAATAAATTACAATCATAAACACTGTATACATATACGAACTCACCAATTTAGTTCATATGTACCTAACCCAAATAAATTGCCATCGACCTCGTCCCTCCGTTCTCTCTCTATATATACCCACTCTATCAAGTATTCACTCACACAAAAACACAACCATATCCCAAAAAATACACCAAAACTTTTCTTGCTTCGTAACTAATTAATTAATATCAGAATTATACAATATAATCAATTACAGGTAATGGCTCGTCCAAGGATCTCCGTCTCGATGATTTGCTTACTAATTTTGATTGTTGCTTTTGTCTTGCAATCTTGTCAAGCTAGAAAGGTTCTAGTACCTTACCGTACAAGCAAGGGTTTGTTTCTTAGTGCCCTGCCCAAGGGCAATGTACCACCTTCGGGTCCAAGCGACAAGGGTCACACTTCTCCTCCGGATGATTCCGATCAGCGTATGGTACCGGAAAACTCGCCGGAGATATACCGTCGACTGGGATCAGTCCCTAGCCCCGGTGTGGGTCATTAGACACATTAATAGATTGTCGACTTTCACTTAATTTATGTTGACATGTTGTCGATTTCTTTTCATAATAATATCATATATCGTACGTACGTCTTATGAAGAATGTTTGTGTATGTGTCTTCATATATAATTTGATATAGATATGTTTGTGTGTGTGGTCTGTTATATTGAGTAATAAAAATCTTGGTAAACGACATGCAGCTTTTGTCCGTCTGAGCATATTATAGAATTAGAGAATATACATTTTAAATAAACAAATCCTCGTTTTGTTTACGATAGTGTATTTAGAAGAATTATGTAAAATGATCCATTTGTGCCTTTGTGGGGATATAATTACTCCAAAGACTAATACTATAGATTTAAAGAGACAAACTTTTACATCATACGATTTTCACACAAATGTAAATATGAACATACGATTGGTGCCCACCATAATCGAAACAATGTAAAAAGGTTGCGTACGTAAATGAAATTCTTCATGAAGAAAGCTACATATATAAGCCTATAACTTAGAAAGTAAATGATAAGTCAAAAGCTTCGTTTTGGCACCTTCGTAGCAAAAGTTGATGATTTGACAATAATTATGTCTGTTTACGTAAGAGACGTCTTCCTCTGTCCCGTTGACGTTCTTGTTTTACGATATCAATAGATTCACTGATTCAGGGTTTAAGACTAAAGAGAAGAAGAAGAAGAAGAAAACGAAAATGAAAATAGACATGCAATAATATAAGGAACACCATTATTGCTCATCTCAGGGATTATACTATTTAAAGACTAACTTTTTGTCATGAAGCTCTTCTCTCACTTTCCTTTTTTTTGTATTTTCTTAATAAGTTTAACTAACCAACTAGTAAGATGGAGCCGCTTGTTATACACATTCAATGCATGTTATATCTTTAAGTAGTGTTTTTTTTTTGTCAACTGATAATAATTATTTACTTTAAGTAGTATTTTTCTTTTTCTTTTTAAAATAGGTAAATCTATACTACAATATATGTAGTTAAAATCCTAGCTAGATACTTAAATATTTGTATTAAAAAAATAGCAGTTCTAGTAACAAAAATAATAAAAAAAATCAAGCAATTCTTATGACTTTCATATGTAACGTCATCTCACATGAATGTGCCATCAGATTTGAAAAATGGAAATCCATTAACTTTGGATTTTGACTTAATAATCAATATATGTGTCGAGTTATATAATCCCAAACTAGTAGGTTTATATAAAGATTATATGACACGCTAATGTTATATCAAAGCTTGAATTATGCTGTCAGATAAATGTGGTTCCAGTTTCCAAATCATGAAAACTGTTGAAAAGACATCATAAGGTGTATTACTTCCAAAGCCCAAAGCTAAAGTAGCTAGAAATCGTTCAATGGGTCATTATCATACATTAGTCTACATATAAATCTTGGTAAATTTGCATTATAGATTTGTTTGAAACTTATAAACCACGTTAAGTTCATTATCAGCATGTAAATGTGACTTTTATAACATCGGTGCGTCTAATAGAACAAAACCCATTATTTTCACTTCATATTCTTTGATAATGATGTATCAAAGTTCACTTCACTTTACTTGGTAGAGTTAATTAAGACATCGGCCATCTTTATTTGACATGACCACATAATAAACTAATAAAGTAAAAATAAAACTTAACACTATATACTATATAACAAACACTATATATGTCCATTATAGCCCAATCCTGTTGACTGGCTCTGGCTGATATTTACCTACAGAGGTAAAAACTCTGTATCCTTCTTCTTTATATTATACCAGTCTACTGTTGTCATAAAAAAAAAATCCTAATTTCTCTTTATATTTTGACCCCCCAAAAAAATTCTCTTTATTATTTAATTATATCAAAAGTTCAAAACAAAACCATATATATTAATTTAATTTTGTTATTTTTGTACTAATCGAACCGTTGATATATATGTATATTCTAAAGTCGTATTTTTTTAAAAAAAAATCTTCACTTAGTAAGGTATTAATTAACTCACTAATAATGATCTAGACTTAAAAAATGAAACGGCACGGTTGGTAGAGGCAGATAGCTACGGGCCTTACAGGCCCACAGTCCTCAAGCCGAAAGCCCAAAAATACAAAACCGGCTTGTTGCAACTCATTGAAACAGCATGAGCATGAGTACAAGAGTTTTAATCTATGGTATATAACGAAAAATAACTATTTCGGATTCATATATAACTATATAAGAAGCTTTTCTAGCAAACATTGTCCAAGATTTGGCTTTGAGATAATATATATATGTTACATATATATATATGTAGTATGGATAGTTCTACAAAAATATTGTATAAGTTACGTATGATCTTATCTTTAGCCATAAATAGTTAGATGATGAAATTCCAAACTACCACACCTTTGTGGCTCACGAGTATCTCACTTTGAACAGACCAAACATTATGGAGAGAAAAGAAAGAAGAAAAAGAGCAACCTTGTGATTCACGAGATAACGCAAACCATTGTCTCTCTTCCTACAAAAAATATCTCTCTTTCTAGTTTATGTGTCTACAAATCTTGTAAACTTAATCTCTCTCTATTCTCTATCTCTGTCTCTGCTCTGTTTACTCTGCTTTGTAGAATTTGTAATGTTTGTTTGTTGTTATCTTCTACTAAGGAAGTCAAATAATGGGTTGTTCTAGCTCGAGAACCATAGCAGAAGGTACTCTATCTCTATCTCTTTCATTAGTGGTAAACAAAGATAAGAATTTGATGAAATGAGAGTCAAGAAATGACCCACACACATCTGATCTAATGTTTTCTTCTTCATGATGGTTCTTAGTTTGAAAATTGTAGATTCTCACATTCAACATATGATGATCTAACTGCTTGGAGCATCTCTGTGGTCTGTGTTTCGATTATGTATTTGAAGGGAAAAAAGAAAAGATTCGAAGACCAAAAACATGGAAACATCCTCAACCGATATCAAGAGCTGAGCTGACACAGATGCGAGAGGAGTTCTGGGACACAGCTCCTCACTATGGAGGCAAGAAAGGTGATTATAACATTTAAATATTTATGTATAGAGTCAAAAGTTTTTGTATTTCAATGTATATACATATGTAAACAGAGATATGGGATGCGTTACGAGCAGCAGCAGAAGAGGAGGATTTATCGCTTGCGCAAACGATACTTGAGAGTGCTGGTGTGATTGTTCAGAACACTGACCTCACCATTTGTTATGACGAGAAAGGTATAGTCTTATTCTTACACAAGGTTTTGTTTGGGTTGATTTTGTGCAAAGTAGCTGAGATGTTAACTTTTGCAGGTTCCAAGTATGAACTGCCTAAATACGTTCTCAGGGATCCTTCAAATTTGATCCGAACCAAATAGAGAAATTCAAGAAAATATAGAGTAAGAAGAACGAGAAAAGCTCGCTTGTGTATGTATTCTAAGGAATTATGTTGTGTTTGATTTAGTTATGTTTTTTCTTGTTTGGATGTGTTATCTTGTGTATGTGAGAACATATGTGAGGAATGAAATGGATTACAAAGGTCCACAAATTTCTTTATAATTTTTCCATAAAGAAGAACCTTTGAATGATCAATAAAACTACGCTCATACCAAAATATTGTATCTCTAACTTTATCTTGTTGCTCAAGATTCATAAGACTTTTTTTCATAGCATAATATGGAAAATATAAAGAATGTTCTGGATTTCGTAAAATATAAACTCCACCATAAAGTTAGAACAAAGATAACAAATTAGTGGTTACCCAAAAGAGACACCACACTTAAATCCAAAAGCTTTGTAGGTGAGACAAAACGCTGAACAATGAACCGGAAGATAACTGGGTCCAGTTCCCATCAAAAACCGACAAGCTTTTCGATACCGTAAACTAAAACTAGCTTCTCTAGCAGGAGTTATAAATCACGGTTAAGGTTATTTACCAATGTGAGTCAGAATCCGATTGATCAGAACTTCTTTCTTCCCGCCGAGGGGAAGATTGTTGGCAATCAGATATGTTTTCAGTTCGACCACAGTCAAGTCCTTCAGCTAAAAAAAGAAAACAGAACATGAAGATAGCCTGTATAAACATAGAGATCCAAAAAGCAATGAAACAAAGCGATGAAATCATTAAGCAGAAATCTAAATCAATGTTTAGAATGTTTCTTTCACCTTTCCGGTTTTTGCAAGCTCTATATAGTCGTATTTTCCATCATCCGCATTACCAGCTTTTCGCTTTCTTGATTTCTCCTTTGCCCCTGAGTCACTTTCTTCATCAGGGTCATTGCCGTAAATCGACTGCTTAAAATTTTCTATTGCTTTTACAACTGCAGGTCTGCAAGAAAAAAGAAAAAAAAGGTTCACTCATAAGATCCCAACGTTTTTTTCCTTTGCTTATGGATGGAATGTTAAAAGAGAGAATTTGAAAAGTTTGTTGAAAACCTGTTCATTCCTTCTTCGTCAGGAAGTGTTTCATCTCTGGTTTCACTAACCTCGTTTTCATCGAGTGCAATGGCTTGTAAGATAGCATAGTGTCTCTGCAAAGCTGCAAGAAAGAGCAACTTCATATTATATATATGAACGGTTTCCGGATCAGTAGCTCAGTACAACTAATAGAATCAAGACTAATAGAGAGTTGAACTTACCGGGATTAGCAAATTGGCAAACGGAAAAGTCTTTTAACTCCAGACGTCGCATTAGAGCTGATGCTTTTTTAAGCTGATCCTCTGATGCGCGAGGAGCAGCTACACCAGGTTTTGAATGCAACTGCCAAAATTCCACCAACTAGTCAAAATTTAACATACATGAATAATGTTGGAACCAAGTAGCTTTTCAAAAGCCATTCTTTCTTGCCTCGTCGATATCTCTAATATCATTAGCATATGGAAGATATATCATGTTCATCCCTGGTGGCTCCACTTGACCACCATCACTCTCGATTTCATCCTGTTTGGGTTTAAGAAAAAGACATTTGAGTAGATTGTTTAACAACACACAAATCAAAAAGAAAATAAAGTTAAGATCAAGATGAATATACTTATGTGGAAGAAAGGTCTTTATAGAGTTCTCTCACCTGAGCAACAAGTGCAACCAATCTCGGAGGTGTAGTGCCGCCATAAAATGCAACAGCAAAACTGCAACACAAGAGGATACAGCAATTATATGGTTAGTATATCACAGCAAGTGCTAGAGTATAATAGTCTGTCTAAAATCCAGAAGTTATATTCAACTTCGAGATCATAGAATTATGTATCAAATATGCTTACCGTTCAAGCTGTATCATGGATCTATGCAAGGCAATGAATGCACGAGTGCTCCCTATAACTTCCTGCATCAGTTAGCTATCAAAAGTAAGAGATTCCATGACACACAACTGTTTTACAAGATCAATGAGGAAACATGTATTCAAGTCACTTGCTTCAGAATTTCTCAGCAAAATGTCAAAATAAGATATATAACTCTGAAGCTTAAAATGATAAAGTATGGTAGATATCTGAAGCTCCCTACTGATAGGACACCATTTCGGAAAGTGCATAAAAGAACTGAAATTAATGATGGTACGAAACAACAAAGATTATAAAGATAATATTTATAAATAAAGCTATATAGGGTCATGAAGCTCTATAACTAAGAGAACGTCCAAATTTGAGTAAACAATTTCAGCACCAAAGTGAAAGTCTTTGCTCTTCTAAGTTCCAAAAATTATGAATAAACTACAAGAAATTTAGCAGCAGCCATCAGATAAATGAGAAGCGGGTAACCTTATCACTTGGATAGAGAAATGTAGAAGGCTTCAAATTGTGATAGTCTTTGAGGCAACTAAGTGGCTTGAACCCCAGCAGTCTTAAGTGTCCAGTTGAGATTCTTTTTACTTGGGATAGCTCTTCCACGGTAAACATGATATTCTGACTAGAAAGGAGAACAAAAAATTAAAGCCAATTTCTACAAGAAAAGAAAGAGTGGGGGCTCAAAAAATATTGAGTAGAGTGAATTTTAAACTTCATGACTGCCAAGAAAGAGATTCACATTTCTGAGGCTGTAGTTTAATATGCTCTCATAATTTCTTCCTATTGAATTTATTTTTGTAAGAATATTAAAAATCTAGACATAACTAACCGAAAAAGACCATTGCTTCTATGTTTAGACGAAACCAGAAATAAATCAGGGTGCTAATCTGACGCTTACTTTTTGTAAGGCTGAATCCGTTGTATAGGATCTTGCATTATCGCTCCAGTGTCCGTGCAGATATATGATCTTTCCACCTGCAGACAATCCCACACAACTCATACATCTAGGAAATATATATCTTATATACACCAAAACATAGATGTCAAGGAAAATTCTTGATTCATAATATTAAAATAAAAAAAAGGACAGATTTGATCTGAAAACAAAGGTCTACACTTGTAATGAAAGTCAAAAACAAAAGACGAGTAAAGGCACATACTTTCAATTCAACTGAAGGAGCGTTTCTGTAAAATTACCTTCACAGGAAGATTAGTTGTAGAGTCAAGCCAGGTTATGCTGCCAGGAATAGCCGGACGGAGTAACGCATAACCATTCAGTTCAATAGACAAGCCATCACAGATCACAAACGTAATTCTTTTTGCTATTCTTTTAGCTAGTACACGCTTCTTCAGTTGGTCCTTCATGTCCTCTAATCTGAAATACATTTCAGTAAAAAGTACAACTAGTTGCGTGAATCCCTATAAATCCAAATTCAAATTAAAGAGAAAAATTACAAAGTGGTGTTTTTGCCATCACGGCTTTGGCTGAGTGTAGTACTATGATGCTATAAGCAATTGAATGACAAAGACGTATAAGGAATTCCAACAGGCAATAAAGAATGAAAGAACATACTTCTGTCCAACTGATGGCATGAACTCCGTAAGTTCATCACTGTTTAATCCAATTAAATCCTGCAAATATGTTGACAAAAAAATCATGGAAATAGAAATTTAAGAAAAATTTGGCTATAAATCCCCCAGGTATATAAGGTCCACACAAGAAGTAGATTGTAAGATATTAACCTTGTAGAAGAGAGTTATATTGAATTGCTTATCAGGTTGACTGAGGGGAAGAAGCTCAATTGAAATGCCAAGGTCTTGTGCATCCTTAAGGAATCACAAAAATGCAGTAAAAAGTAAACCCATAAGTCCTTCTATAATTTGATTACCAAGAAGCTTCTTTAAATAGATTTTATTGTAAATCATATCTAAGTAGGGGTTAAAACCAAACTACCTTAGCTCTCTGCAATGTCGTCCTTGTCATATCCTCTTTTACAGAGATCCTCATATTCCCAAAAGGATCATCTTCATTAGTGAATAGAAACATGCGCTTATCTGCTGTCTTTGAAGATCTAAATATGTTTTTGTTACAGAATATTAGCAACACAGGGATCAGATAACAGAACAAATTGTAATACATATCACAAACTTGGCATCACAAACTTGGCACCAAGTCAAAAATTGAAATTAGATCGTTACCCTTTGCGCAGTAGTGCTTGTGCAACCCAGAGAGCACTATAAAGGGAATTCTCCCGAGAATCTGAGACAATACCAGTTTGACTGCCAATATCCTTATCAAATGATTCTGCACCCAAAACAACAAAGTAAATAACTCTCTTTCAGCACACTACTCCACTCTTTAATCTTTGATTCAGTCTGAGAACTACCATTGAGATCTCAGGCGCTAAAAGCTTGCTCAACCAATCAAGATTTTAATTATAACATGTAATGTCTTGTCTTACTAAGTGATTGCTATAAAAAGGATTCAAAACTCTAAAGTTAACAAAGAACTATGCACTAGAGCATAACAAGAAAGTTAGAGATAAAAGGGTAGTACAGTACGTATACCTTCTATGAGATCGAATTCTTTAATCAGCCTCGCTGTTGGACGGTCAATACAATCTCTCTCTGGAACATCAAAGACATAGACACCATTGAGATCCTGAAGATTCTTCTTTTCACGCTGCAAGTTACAACAAAATTGTTAGCAAACAAAGAAGTGAAGAACCCAAAAAAAAAAAAAAAAACAGAAGACAAAACGATTCATCGAGAAACTTACAGTGTTAAAGAAACATATTGCTATTTCATCATTTGACCGATTGATAATATGAGACTTGAGTGACTGAGCAATGCAACTAACAGCAATGTGAAAATGACTTTCTTGTTTGTCCTTTTCCTCCTGTCAAACATCAGTATGATACAAAGTTAAATATCAATTACATAAAAATTGCATCATCAGCACACATAAAGGAAGCAACCATAAAACATTTTGGGAAAGATTTCAAAGAATCAAACATAAAACTTGATATCATAATTTTCTTGTATACTCACAGAAGGGCAAGTAGAGCTGAACATTTTGGGAGAAGCATCGATTAGATAGACTATAAATTCTTTGGAAGCCTCTTTTTCCTGCAACACCAACAGAGATCAGTAACCAATATAAATCAGGGTTTCACCTTTTTTTTGCTTTGACTAAAACTCTCCCAGAAGAAAATAAGGTCAAAAACCTGAAAGAATTCGTTTTCTGGGTCTTCATCTTCATCTCTGAAAACATCATCTGGGTCCAATTCCATCTCCTGACAAGAACGGATATAGATATCGAGTCAATGACTGTTCCTCTGGAAAACCTCAATTTTTGTCACAAAGGTTTTACTTTTAGCAAGAACAACAACAATTACCAATAAAGTATTTTTTAATACGAACGTGAATCTCTTTGGGCTACAGCGTGATTTTTTTTATTGGGCCACAACGTGAATTGTTTTTATTGGGCCACAACGTGAAACATTTTGGTGTTCGGCCCAAAATAAACTTGGCAGAAATATATTAAGTATTATGCACTATATAATTAAATTGACATTCACCGGAAAAAGAAAAAGAAAAAGAAGAGAGATGATGCCAAATAGTTAAGAGATTCTATTATTTTAGTGAATAAGAGTCATAGGTAAAACTGACATGTAAATTGTGTCATTGTTGGAAATATAATCAGTATGAGAAAACTTTATAGATAAACTGACACGTGTTTGCAAAATTAGTGCCAAACGATCAAAAGTAAATTAATTATTAATTGCTGTAAAAATAAAATGTTAATTAAGATCATATGGAAAGATACACATATTGATGAGCTATAGATAAACTGACATATGTTTTTTATAGATTGATGCCAGATTGTTAAAACTAAGAATCAATCTAAAAGAAGCTCCACTTTATAGGAATTTTTTTAAAAAAAACTATATGAATTTAAAAAAACACGTGTGAATAACCCAGTGGTGGAAAACATAGATTTGAATTAAAATTCAGAATTCTCTATATAAATATTACCAAATAAATAATATTTGATTTCAATATAACACATCTATAGAAATTCAAATAGGTTAAATTAAATTTTGTTATTAATTAGACAAGTATAGATGACCATTATCCATTGCATAGTTGGAATTTTTATCCCAATATTTCTAAGATAATAGTGAAAACCAAAAACATAGAAAAGATATACGTGTACATTATTAGATCTCATGACTTTTTGGAAAAAGATTACAAAGATAAAAAAAGATTGAAAGGTAATTAATATCTTCCAATGACATGTGTGCAAAAAAGATAAAAATCACATAACTAGAGAATATTCCACCCCCAAAGTTGAATCTTGGGCTCTTCCTATAAAATTGGGGGAAGTCAAGAACAATATTCTCACACTCTCCATCCTAACTGTTGACAATTTTCTGGTAACCAAATACATACATTGCAATCTTTGTAAACCAGTTTTACAAATATTAGCTTTCATCAAACAAAGAAGTTTTTAATTTTATTTTATTTTTGTTTAGCAAAATTTAATTATTATTAACCTAAATTTTAAATGACATACTTGTATATTGTCATTTTCTTACAGTTATTCAATTAATCTGACCATATCGCCTTTTTATCCAATAAAAAGTGTTTATATTATTTTTTGCATGTTTAACAAACGTTCATCAGCAAAAGTGTATATAGGTTTTTGTTTTGTATTTTGCATAAGACAAAAGAAACAAAATAAGTTATTAATTACAGAAAAGTTTGCGACTTTCTTTGTTTGTCGGCATATTTAGTTTAATATAGAGACAAAAATGTTTCTGATATCTTTATTGCGTCCGTTATGATCGTTATTTATTCATCTTATTTAAATATCCCGACTAACTTTGAAAACCAAATTGTGCAGATCGTTAATTAATTTGAAAGAAGATGATGCCTTATGATGATGCGCGTGGTGAAAGGCCAAGACTACTTGTGGTGGCTAACCGGCTTCCGGTTTCCGCAAAGAGATCGGGGGAAAATTCTTGGTCTCTTGAAATGAGTCCTGGTGGTTTAGTCAGTGGTCTTCTAGGTAAGTCATGACTCATGAGGCATACAATAATAATAACAATTATAATAATAAAGAGTAATAATGGTTTATTGGTGCAATCTTGAAGGTGTAACATCTCAATTTGATACCAAATGGGTTGGATGGCCTGGAGTTGATGTGTATAATGAAGTTGAACAAAATGCACTAACTAAATCTCTAGCCGAAATGGTACGAATTTGATCCAAACATGTATAAATGCGTATAATCTCGTACATTATAGTTATAGATCATTCTTGATTAATTTTGAAATGAAAACATTTAAATCTTTACATGTTAGCAGAGTCTAGTAATTCAAGTTCTTTGTATTTGCAGAAGTGTATCCCTGTGTTCCTTAATGGGGTTTTTGATCAGTACTACAATGGTTATTGCAATGGTATTTTGTGGCCAATTCTTCATCACATGGGACTTCCACAAGAAGATCAACATGCCACAAACCAAACTTTCGAAACACAATATGATGCATACAAGAAAGCAAATCGAATGTTTCTCGATGTCATAATACAGAACTATGAAGAAGGTGATACTGTTTGGTGTCATGATTATCATCTCATGTTTCTTCCTCAATACCTTAAAGAGCACAACAACAAAATCAAAGTTGGATGGTTTCTCCATTCACCATTTCCTTCCTCTGAGGTCTACAAAACATTGCCCTCGCGATCAGAGCTTCTTCGTGCGGTTCTTACAGCTGATTTACTTGGGTAAAACTCAAACTCTAATTAACTGTTTCACATATGGTTAGAAATCATTTGATTTATGTGTTGTTTTTCCCAGCTTCCACACATATGATTTTGTAAGACATTTCTTGAGTACATGCACTCGAATTCTTGGAGTTGAAGGAACACATGAAGGAGTTGTGTATCAAGGCAGAGTCACTCGAGTAGCTGTTGTATGACTTCATATCAAATCTTCAACATCTTAGTTTTACATATTGTTTCTCTATAACTTAAATCATTACATTATAACCACAAATATCTCTCTGTTTTTATTTTCTTTCAGTTTCCCATTGGAATTGATCCTGATCGGTTTATAAGAACATGTAAGCTCCCTGAAGTCACACAGCAAATGACTGAGCTTAAAGAGAGGTTTGCTGGCAAAAAGGTACCACAACCTTTTAGTTTGATGCTTAGTTAAAAAAGAACAGAATTTTACATTAAATATTTTTTGGTGTTGACAGGTGATATTAGGTGTTGATCGTCTTGATATGATCAAAGGGATCCCACAAAAGTATCTTGCATTTGAGAAATTTCTAGAAGAAAATCCCTATTGGCGCGATAAAGTTGTGCTAGTGCAAATTGCAGTGCCAACAAGAAATGATGTCCCTGAATGTAAAAGCTTTTGTATTCTATTGTGCTTCTAAATTTATAAGATTTATCTTCAGTTTTATAAGATTGTGTTTTATATACAGATCAAAAGCTCAAAAGCCAAGTGCATGGACTCGTTGGACGCATAAATGGTCGTTTTGGTTCTGTCTCTTCTCTTCCAATTCATCATCTGGTTTGTTTGCTTTCTCTATCTATAATTCATGTTGTCATAAGTCATATATACTATCTTCATAGTTTCTTGATAGAGTTTTATCTCATCCTCTCTGTTAGGATTGTTCTGTTGACTTCAACTACTTATGTGCACTGTACGCAATTGCAGGTAACTAATTTCCTTCACTACATGTGATGATCAGTGATTTGTTTATAGTTCTTTATATAACTTGTTTGATGATGAGTTATTTTTGTTGCTTTAGATGTAATGCTTGTAACATCTTTGAGAGATGGAATGAATCTTGTTAGTTATGAATTTGTTGCATGTCAAGAGGCCAAAAAAGGGGTTCTTGTTCTCAGTGAGGTAACAAAACAATTTGCATTTTTTATGTTAACATAACATTTAATAATGATTTAGGTTAATGTTTAAAGTTAGTGACTTTACATAAAAATTTAATACAGTTTGCAGGTGCTGGACAGTCTCTTGGTGTTGGAGCTCTACTTGTGAATCCTTGGGATGTTACAGAAGTTTCTTCTGCCATTAAAGATGCTCTAAATATGCCAGCTGAAGAAAGAGAAACAAGACACAGATTTAATTTTCAGTATGTGTATACTCATTCTGCTAAAAAATGGGGATCTGATTTCATGAGGTAAACCTTTTATTTTCTTCAAAACATATATTGTCTCTCTTAAGTAAGAGCTCATTTATGCCAAGCTTTTGTTTATCTCTATGTAGTGAACTCAATGACACTATCGCTGAATCCGAGTTGCAAATCAGGAACATCCCACATGGACTTCCACAACAAGATGTGATTCAACGATATTCGCAATCTAACAACAGACTAATAATCTTGGTAGCTTGGGAGAATTTCTTCATGTTATCTAGAGTTTTATGTTTTTGCATGTTTACTAAATTTTAATTAATAAACTTTCAAATATGTTTCCAGGGTTTCTGTGGAACACTCACTGAGCCAAAAAATAGTCGAAGTAAGGAAATGGATCTTAAACTAAACCCAGAGCTAAAAGGAACTCTGAAAGCATTATGCAATGATCCAAAAACAACAGTAGTCGTATTGAGTAGAAGTGACAAAAACATATTAGACAAAGTATTATCAATGTTTTCTCTTATTCTTTATCTTTGATTATTGTCACATATTTATATATCTATTTTGTGACTGATGTACTTGTTCTTAAAATTCAGAATTTTGGAGGGTATAATATATGGCTGGCTGCGGAAAATGGAATGTTCGAAAAGCATACTACTGGAGAATGGGTGAAAAATATGCCTCAAAACATGAACCTTGATTGGGTCGATAGTGTAAAGGTTAGTAATTCTGTAAAAAAAGACAAACTTGATAATCATTTCTTTATATCTTTCTTGAAATCTTTTATGGATTGATTATTTTGTATAATGTAGAATGTTTTTAAGTACTTCACTGATCGAACTCCAAGATCGTTCGTCAAATCAAGCGAGACTTCGCTTGTATGGAATTACGAATATGCAGGTGATTTAGATTTGTTTCTTGGATAGTCTCTCTTTCTTTCTTTTTTACACTTTGTATCTTTTTGTTAAAATTTCCATTTTCTTGACTGTTTTTGCAAGATGTTGAATTTGGGAGAGCACAGGCAAGAGACTTGTTACAATACTTATGGGCAGGACCAATCTCTAATGCATCAGTTGATGTTGTTCGAGGAAACCATTCTGTTGAAGTACATGCCATCGGTGAGACTAAGGTAAATAAATGCTTCTCCTTTCTTATCTTCCTCTTATGCAAGATTCGAATATTGATGCAAATTGGGTTTTTTAAGTATTCTATATATTCTTTCTTTTGTTTCTTAGGGGGCAGCAATTGGTCGTATTTTGGGAGAAATAGTATACAGAAAATCTATGACCACACCGATCGATTTTGTCTTTTGCAGTGGTAACTTCTTGGAGAAGGTAATGGTTATATTATTGTGTATACTAATAAGACTTAGATCTTATCCTTTTGGCTTTTCGATGCAAATGTGTCTATATATGTTGCAGGACGAAGACATTTACACATTCTTCGAATCAAAAATCTTGTCTTCCAAGTTATCTCATGAAACTAGGTCCAAGTCTTCTTCCTATAATAATTCCCGAAAGAAGAAGAAGATTTCAATGAACATTCTTGACCTCAAGAAAGAGAATTACTTCTCTGCAGCCATTGGACAAGCTCGCACAAAAGCTCGCTATGTCATTGACTCATCTCTCGATGTTTTAGATTTGCTCCACAAGCTTGCAGTTGCAGATACTACAATGACTGACTCATTTTCTGATAGCGAATTATATGAGCCTCGCAATGAAAATGGTAATGCAAATTCGAAACGCTGGACAAATTCTGTCAGAAGAAGAAAAATGGAAATTGGAGACACTGGGCAAATTGGCATGTAAAGAAAAATCTAGGTCTTGGATTTAACCGTTTGTGTATAAAACCTTATAGGTCTTAAATTTGTAATATTATCAGCAAATAATACATAAATATATTTTTATCTATCAAATCTGGAACATGACCACAACACGAATTTTCTACATGGAACAAATTATAAACAGTTTTCCACATTTACTAGTTTTGCAGATGACCCTTGAATATACCTTTGATAAAAACTTTGAACAAAACCTACAAATAGTTTAAGACGGCATGCATGTTAGTTAGGCAATTGTTGGAACTATGAGTATGATAAACTTTTATAAATAAACTTAGGTAATTGTTGGAAATGTGAGTATGATAAACTTATAAATAAACTCACATGTGAATTGTGATAATAAAACTTGAGTATGACGAAAAAATAACCTTGGAAATATAAATATGAGCATGACGAAAAAAAAATAAGTATGATAAACTTTATAAATAAACTATCACATATGCTTTTATAAAGTTAATGCCGATTAAAATGAAATTATTGATTGATCAAAATCATATTGAAACTTTGAAAGACACACATGCTAATGAGATACTGTAGGAAATATGAGAATATAAAGAAAATGTTTTCATAGATTGATGCCAGGTGGTTAAAAATAAAAGTAAATCTAAAAGAAGCTCCACTTACAACAAATTAAATTAAATTAATATGTACACCTGTTAATGACACTGGGTGAAAACATAGATTGGAATAAAAATTCACCATTTCTCAAAGTAAAGAAGATTTGAAAATGTAAGACAAGCAATCTGTAGATATTTAAACAAGTTTTGAATTTTTTCAAGTTTTGATAACTTCTGAGAAATGAATACTTCATAATAACTTTGATTGACGAAATTACCCTTTACGATGTTTATAATTTACGGATCCGAAAACGTTAGTTAGTTGGTGCAAAGCTTGATGTTTGGGCCCAGAGTTTCATCAAATTTGGTGTGAAACGCTCTGGACTTTTATTTCACCACGATCGCCGTCACTTCGACGCAATTTCTCTACTTGAATTTTATTTCAAAATACAATTCATGAATTAACTTTTTTGTTTGTAAAAAATATAATATTAAATTTACGGAAAAATGTTTAAAATATTATTTCTATTGAAATTGAAAACAAAATATTGATTTGATGTATATATATATTTTCTAGGTCCAATATATATATATATTGATAATTCAGTGTGATCCTAAATGTTTTCTAAGTCCAAAAGTTAATCATGAGACCCGGAAAAACTACGTTAGAATTTTGAACCCCAGTGGATAATGCTTCTCGAACCCATATGGCCGAGAATTTTTCCTCTTTTACCATTGGACCAAATAATAGTTGTACGAAACCAAAAAAAAAAACTGTAAGAATGATGAATAGATAACAAAAATACAACTCGAAAATGAATAGCACATGAAGACAACATGGGAGTGATGAATGGGCCTCAACGTGGTGACAGAGTTTATTACCGCGTTGCGGTGTTTGGAACATTCGTTATGTGGCTGGCTCACTCTCACGCACCGCCTACGGGTTTTTCGGTCATTTACTCTAATCATTTCACTTTGGTAATCTATGCGCGCGACTCCGATCCAGATGGTAATCACAAGAAAAGAAATATGATGAATGAGATGGATTCAACAGCTGATTACACTAGAAGAAATGTCCAACTTTAATTTATGTCTACGTAATGAAATGGTTGTGTCTGTAAAACATAATGTAGATATTTGTGATTTCCAAAAAAAAATATGAGCTTCTCCTAATACCATTAGAGTCTAAAATCATATGTATATAGTATTAAGAATTACATTTCAAATAAATCTAACTATGAACCAAAAATTGATTTGCATGAACCGCTTTATACTTCTTTAAAATCAACTTTGTATACGTGGGTCACTCACCGTAAGTGTGATCATTCATTGTCGTTTTATCCATCATGCACACATAGAGCCAAAAGTAGTCCTTCCATAAATAGTACAGATTTGGCTTTTAGCTTTGTCTACATCATTTTCTCTGTTTCATCCAGGAAGAAAAAGCCGCCATGGAAGCCAAAGGAGAAACCCCGTGGAGCTCTATTTTAGTTCCTTCTGTTCAGGAGATGGTGAAGGATAAGATGATCACGACCGTTCCTCCCAGGTATATATGTTCGGTATGATCAAGACAAAACTGAAGTCGTCGATGATTCTGGTCTCATATCCGAGATCCCAATCATCGACATGAAGCGGTTGTGTTCGTCTACCGCCGTGGACTCTGAGGTTGAGAAACTCGACTTCGCTTGCAAAGAATATGGATTTTTCCAGGCAAAATCTCAAATTAACTTCACTTTTTTACAAAATAATCTATGTTAGACCTAACAAGCCTTGTACGTTTCCATGCAAGTATCAGATTAAAAAAATTTCGTCTGATGAAATTATTATTCGGATAAAATCGCTTCTTACAACTGTTATTAATTTGGTTATGCCTTTATATGGTCCTTAATTAACAGCTTGTAAACCATGGAATAAACCCAAGTTTCTTGGACAAAATAAAGTCAGAGATTCAAGATTTCTTCAACCTTCCCATGGAAGAGAAAAAGAAGTTGTGGCAGCAACCAGCGGTGATGGAAGGGTTTGGACAAGCTTTTGTGGTTTCAGAAGATCAGAAACTCGACTGGGCAGATTTATTCTTCCTTATAATGCAACCTGTTCAATTACGCAAGCCTCACTTGTTCCCCAAGCTACCTCTCCCCCTTAGGTTTTGCATGCATCAAAAAGTGTTAACATTCTCAACTACTTCCACAAAGTTTCTCTATTTACATTTTCGTTTATGTTTTTCAGGGATACATTAGATATGTATTCCACTCAAGTAAAGAGTATAGCTAAGATCTTACTAGCGAAAATGGCGAGAGCCCTGCACATCAAACCAGAGGAGATAGAAGAAATATTTGGTGATGATATGATGCAGAGTATGAGGATGAACTACTATCCCCCGTGTCCACAACCCAATCAGGTTACCGGTCTAACTCCGCATTCCGATGCAGCAGGACTCACCATACTTTTGCAGGTGAATGAAGTTGACGGTCTCCAAATCAAGAAAAATGGCAAGTGGGTTTTTGTCAAACCTCTCCTAAATGCTTTCATTGTCAATGTTGGAGACGTTTTAGAGGTAAGCCATATTATATAGATGTTTTGAGACATTGTGGCAGCTAACCGCTAGTTATAAATAGTTTGATGATGGGTGTTGGACTGTTGGTAATGCAGATCATAACGAACGGGACATACCGAAGCATCGAGCATCGGGCAGTGGTGAACTTGGAGAAAGAGAGGCTCTCCATTGCGACATTTCATAACACGGGACTGGATAAAGAAATTGGTCCGGCGAGAACCCTTGTTCAAAGGCAAGAGGCTGCAAAGTTTAGAAGCCTGAAAACTAAAGACTACTTGAATGGCTTGTTCTCCCGTGAACTCAAAGGAAAATCTTATCTTGATGCTATGAGAATCTAAGGGAAGTGATATCTTGTTTCCCAAGAAATTCTGTCTTCTCCAACTGGTCACTGTTGTGTGCATACTCTGTTTTTCCTTCTCTCTTATGTCTTTGGTTCAAATCTGTTAAAGAAAAAATCGCCAGTGTAATAATACTTATTATGTGTTGATATTAAGAGACCATAAGCTTGTTCGTCTTCGTCCACATGCAAACATACTAACTAACAGTAATACCACACCTTATTTAGACCTTCACTTTCATTCACATGCAGTTCTTGTTTTTTCCGTTTGTTATTTCGATATGTCCTTTATTTTTATTCTTTTTATTCACTGTTTATAAACATCATGAATGACATCATATGTGTGTCCGTTTCGCTTTCCGGCCGTTTTTACACCGTCACACCACCATTCACAATCCCAATGTTAAATACACATAAACGTTGAGATCAATATTTATATTAAGGTGTAAATATTAAGATAAATTGTATAAATCAATATGTATTTCGAGGTAAATTTGAACGATAAAACAAGGGGTTGGTAAAAAAACAAAAACTAATTGACTTAGGCCTTGCAGTTTTGAAGTGGTTTTTGGATTATAGTTTTTGGTTTATGGTTTTTTAGATTTTGTATTAAATTGTTTTTGAAAAACTAAAAAAGGTCAAAAAAAGAAAAAGTCAAGTCACTTTAAAAAAGTGAAAAACCAATGAAACATAGATTTTAGATTTTCTTTAAAAATTGACAAAAACTATCAAAATCTAGATTATCTATTTTTTTTAGAAAACCCCACTTTTTCATAATCTTGATTGGTATAAAGTAGATTTTTAGAAAAAAACTAAAACCAAAAACAACTTCAAAATCTACAACCATGGTATGAATGATGTATCAATTTACCTACTTTGGGTTTGGGGTCATACCCATACCATATGTCTTTTATCATCTGTCCTTTATTTATATTTTCTTCCATATCAGTCAGTTTAAATCAATCATTTTCTTCAACTATTTAAGTCAACCCAATCAATCATTTAGGATAAATACGTATACGTTTTTCAGACCACTACCGCCTCCAAAAGAACCTTGTCCCAACTTTTGTTTCGCCCAGGAAAGAAGCCGACATGGAAGCAAAAGGGGCAGCACAGTGGAGCTCTATCCTAGTTCCTTCTGTTCAAGAGATGGTTAAGGAGAAGACGATCACGACCGTTCCTCCCAGGTATGTCCGGTCTGATCAAAACAAAACTGAAGTCGATGATGATTTTGATGTGAAAACCGAGATCCCAATCATCGATATGAAGCGTCTGTGTTCTTCAGCCACCATGGATTCTGAGGTTGAGAAACTCGACTTCGCTTGCAAAGAGTGGGGATTTTTCCAGGTAAAGTCTCCAACTTTATTAAAGCAGCCCATCGTCTTTCTTTATTAACATATTAGACGTCACATGGAGCTTATACTAGTTTTTTGCCAGATAAGTTTCATATCATTTTAAACCAAAAAAAAAAAAAGTTTCATATCATTATTTCGTAATTTACTTTTTTCCTTGACGAAATTTCTCTGCAAGAACTCGCTTCTTTTTACAAAATAACTTTTTTTTTTGTTCCAGGCAAGCCTCAGAGTTTACTTTTTTTTTGTTTTGTTTGAAGAAATTAGGCAGATAAATCGTTTCTTACAAAACAACCCCTGTTTCTTTTTCTTTTTATTTACAATGTTAAACACAAAGTGGAGCCAAACACTTTCTGTTTCAAATTTTATTATTTTGATTAATGGTTATGTCTTTATGGTTATCTACAGCTTGTAAACCATGGAACAGAACCAAGTTTCTTGGACAAAGTAAAGTCAGAGATTCAAGATTTCTTCAACCTTCCCATGGAAGAAAAGAAGAAGTTCTGGCAGCGACCAGATGAGATAGAAGGTTTCGGACAAGCTTTTGTGGTTTCAGAAGATCAGAAACTAGATTGGGCAGACTTGTTTTTCCATACAGTGCAACCTGTTGAATTACGCAAGCCTCACTTGTTCCCCAAGCTACCTCTTTCCTTTAGGTTTTGTTCTATCTCAACATTTTATTAACTAACTCCACAAAGTATTTCTCTCTATAATATTGGTTTTATGTTTCTGTAGAGATACATTGGAGACGTATTCTGCTGAAGTGCAGAGCGTAGCTAAGATCTTAATAGCGAAGATGGCAATTGCCCTAGAGACCAAACCAGAGGAACTGGAAAAGTTGTTTGATGATGTTGATTCGATTCAAAGTATGAGGATGAATTACTACCCACCATGTCCACAACCCGATCAGGTTATCGGTCTAACCCCGCATTCTGATTCGGTCGGACTCACCGTACTGATGCAAGTGAATGAAGTTGAAGGTCTCCAAATCAAGAAAGATGGGAAATGGGTTCCTGTTAAACCTATCCCAAATGCTTTCATCGTCAATATTGGAGACGTCTTAGAGGTAAAATTCAATCAAATATGCATATGGCAATAGATCATTGTAATTTAGTGATGGTTTTTTTTGGCTTAATGTAGATCATAACTAATGGGACATACAGAAGTATAGAGCATCGTGGAGTTGTGAATTCAGAGAAAGAGAGGCTCTCTATTGCAACGTTTCACAATGTGGGAATGTATAAGGAAGTTGGTCCCGCGAAAAGCCTCGTTGAAAGACAAAAGGTTGCAAGATTCAAAAGGCTGACCATGAAAGAGTATAGCGATGGTTTGTTCTCTCGTACGCTCGACGGGAAAGCTTATCTCGATGCTTTGAGAATCTAAAGAAAGCAATGCCTTGTGGCCCATTACTCTGTTTCTCCTCTGTTTTCTTGATTTATGCAATAAAAAATTCTCTATAATCTTATCTTCGTTGTCTCTCTATTTGCTTCATTTTGTTAAAGACAAAAATCTCCCGTAGAGAATGCTAGCTTCTACGTATTGCTACAATAAGACAATAAGTTTGTTAACGTTTCTTGACGTTCGTTGTTGCTCAAATATATATCTAATAATATGATCACATGATTCACACACTCTGTTATCTTAGAAGTCGATGGTTTATCGCAAAATCCAATTTTAATTTTCGACTCCTAAATTTAGTAACTTTTGTGTTGTTAGCGTGCGCTGTGAGAAGAGACTTGCTCACAAGATTCTTTAGATAAGTTAAGAAACCTCAAACGTAAGACATACATTGCACTTAACGTATTACCAATCTCTTGCTCAATCTTGTGGATAACATCAACAGTAACGAATGTAGATTTTCTTCTTAAACATGTATTTCCCTAAATTTGGATAATCAACAAAAATATAGAATAAAAATTATGGTTAAACGTTATTTTTAGTTGGTGGGCAAATATACAGAGTTTCCACAATTTTTTAAAAAGAAACAAATCTGTTGACAAAAGAAAGAATTAATTTATAGATTTGCTTGGGATCAATTAGCTCCCACGTAAGGCATGTCAATTTTCTTATATATACAATACCATATGAAGCCAAATATATTATAAGGAAAGAATTTTTTTTTAGATTTTGAGCTCTGCAATGGAGAAAAGTGTCAATGGATCATGCAGACTCATCAAGAGACTTGTGATTATACTTTCTTGTCTTTCATATTCCTTTGTTCGATCAGACTTTACAGAGACAACAAATATCAATTATGTATCAGCTTTGGGAGATCCCGGGATGAGAAACGATAACTTAAGGGTGGCTATAGAAGCTTGGAACCAATGCAACGAGGTCGGTGAAGAAGCTACAAACATGGGAAGCCCTCGAATGGCAGATTGCTTCGATATCGATAACTCTAGCTTGCCCGGTAAAATCATAATCTTGTTATGTTCTTACTTGTCTGTTTTAGGCCTTGATTCCGCATTTGTACTAACATATAGAAAAACAAACTTCATACTTATTTCAAAACATTTTTAAGTTGTTACCTTCCGGGCCGGAAAGGCAAACGAAATCGAGACATTAAACCTCAAACTGAAACTGATTAATTGTGTTCATGGGACATTTTTAGTGAAGATAATCCACAAGGTCGACGAAAGAGACAACAGGCTTGGGGTAGGAAACGGAACATACGGAGGAATAAGCGCTGGAGACAACGTAGATATCTACGCTGCACAAAAGGAGATATACTTAGGAAACAAATGTCAAGTTATGGACAAGCCAAATCCATGGCAGTTTTGGATGATAATGCTAAAGAACGGTAATACGGACACTTTAGCCGCGATTTGTCCCGAAAACGGAAAAAAGGCGAAACCATTTCCTCAGACCGGGAGGTTTCCATGTTTTGGGAAAGGATGTATGAACATGCCATCGATGCATCATGAGTACACAAGCTTTGCTGATAAAGAAGGACATATGAGTGGGAGTTTCTATGGGACTTGGGACTTGGATAATGACCAAAAAGATCCGGTTGGTAATAATTCGTATTATAAAGTGAAATGGGAGAAGAAGATTGGGGGAAATGAGAGTTGGGTTTTTCATCATTTGTTGAAGACTTCTTCTAAGTATCCATGGTTGATGCTTTATCTACGAGCTGATGCTTCTCGAGGTTTCTCTGGTGGTTATCATTACGACACTAGAGGGATGATGAAGATGGTAAGTTTCTAATCTTTTGCAACCTAACCGGTTTTACTCTGTTTCTGAAACGCAAACGCAGAAAATAGCCATTTTTCAGCGATTTGGGACTAAAATACTCTGTTTCATAATCTTTCCATGATGCACAAGACGCTGGAATCGCCTAATTTCAAAGTTAGATTCAAGCTAGAGATTCTAAAAGGAGGCGGTTCAGGGAGCCAATTTTACCTAATGGACATGGGAAGTTGCTGGAAGAACGACGGAAGAGACTGCGACGGCGACGTCACAACCGACGTTACAAGGTACAGCGAAATGATAATCAACCCGGGGTCAACCGCCGTTTGCAACCGCAACCGCCTAGGCGCTTGTCCGCCGCAACACACGTTTCCAAACGGGACTAAAGTTCACAGGACGGACAAGGAGAAGTTCCCTTACGAAGCGTATCACTATTACTGCGTTCCGGGAAACGCGCGTTTTGCGGAATCTCCGTACGAGGTTTGTGATCCGTACAGTAATCCACAGCCGCAGGAGATTCTGCAGATCTTGCCTCATCCAGTGTGGGAACAGTTTGGGTATCCGACAAAGAAAGGACAAGGTTGGATTGGAGATCCAAGAACTTGGGAACTTGATGTCGGAAAACTCTCTCAATCACTCTACTTTTACCAGGTATTTTTTTTGTAATCTATATATACCTGCATTTACATTATTACGAAAAGATTGTTAAAATTTCGAACAAAAAAAAAATGCAGGATCCAGGGACGAAACCGGTGGAGAGACATTGGTCGTCGATAGATTTAGGAACTGAAATATATATGAGCAAGAATCAAATTGCTGAATGGACTGTAACTGATTTCGACATTGTTATACCAAAAGCCGATATTTAAGTGGAATAATATTCTGTTATAAACTGCTAAACCAAACCATTTCGAAACAACGAAAACAGATTGAAATTCTTCTATAAACCGACTGGTTTTGATAATACAGTGTATGAATCCAAAAACCAAATCGATTTTTAGTGTAACCTAATAAATTCATTTTATTTCACTTTATAAGTTTTCTTAATTAAAATCAAACCAAATCTAGACTTAAGATAAAACCATAGTTTCATCAAATAAAAATAAAATGATAAACAGTTTTTATTTGGTTTCATTTTCTGTAAAACCGAAAAATAAAATAACACGAAGAATCTCAAACCGAAATCAAAACGAATTTGTAACTGCAGATTTTATCCAAAGAAAATGGTAGTCAACGCCAGTCAATAGATCGAAGAATAATATGATTGGCTAGTCAAGTGTTGTTTCATGGTCGCGAGGCAGTAGATTATTTGCTGATCGTCCCTATAGACTGAAACCACCGGAAGACGACGGTACCAACCGTTAATTAACAGCCGTCAAAAGACGTGACGAAACATTCCTCTGCGTTTCTTTTCAGTTTCCTTAAGCTCTCGATTGTGTTTGTTTAGGTAACGAGAAAAAGGGGAGAGAAAGATAAAGGTTTTTACTTTTTTTCTTCATTTTCTGGGTTTTAAGGGTTTCGCTTGCAAAGTCGAGAGCTTTTTCTTTTTGGGTTGGTTATAATGGCGGGTGATTGTGCAATTGACACCGAGAAATACTCTCTGTTGGAGGATTTTAATGTCGATGTTGAAGTCGAAAACAAAGCTTTTGAGACTTTCTCACTTTGTTTTTGGGTTTATCTCTTAGATTCCACCACATACCCTTCTACAATTATCAGACAGGTGAGTTCTCGAAAACTTTTGTTATTGAAATGTTCATCTCTTGGGTTCTGTGTTATAATCGATCTTGCATATTCATCTCTTCTTGCTTGTTGGAATTAGGGAAAAAGGTTGGAACTTTGAGTTGTTTCTTTGACATTTTTGAGTTCAGTTTTGTCTTCCCATTTTTTGTTATTCTTGTTTATTTACCGATTTTGAGGTTGATCGCTGTGATTTCATTATAGGAGTGTCTGATTGAAACAACAGCTTCTGATTAAAATAGTGGCTTTCTTCTCAGGTTCACTCTGACATGAGTGTTAGTGCACCTTTCCTTGTTCTAGATGAAAACAAGAAGATGATGCTTTTGCCATTGACTCTCCTTCACAAGGAAGCTCCTGATCCTGTTAACATATCTTCTTGGACTGAAGTTCCTAATGTTTCTACAACTGCTGAGTTTCCTCTTCAAAAATGGGTTCATGTGGGTTGTGAGGTAATAATAATTATAAGATCTCTGAGGACTCTTATTATTTTATTCAATATCTATCTTCTTGGCATTTACTGATCTCTGGTGTCTCTTAGGTTTCTAGAAACTACATGCGCCTTTATATTTGTGGAGAGATTGTAGGAGAGCAAGTCTTAACTTCCTTGATGACCAATGGTACAAATTCAGATTGCGCACGAAAGATATCGTTATTCAGTGTTGGTGGAGATGGTTATAGTGTTCAGGGTTTCATCCACTGTGCAGAAGTTTTGCCTTCTAATGTCCCGGCAAATTATCACTACACAAAGGTAGTCTCATGTCTTTGCCTTCTCCTCCTTTTCAACAAAAGACTCTTGTCCTGTTTTTCTTTATTTCGCTTCATTTCTTTGCCAGGACCCACCTTTATGGTTATCTGTTAATAAGCCATCTACATCTGGAATTGGATTAGATAAAGATGGTGTTTGGATTATCGTTAGCGGAACATTTTGTTCCTTGGATGTTGTTTTAACCAATGCTATTGGACAGCCTGTGCACAAGGATGTGAAGGTTCATTCTCTTATGCTTTCTCTAAACTTTTGTGTTTGTTTAGCTCTGGAAGTATTTCTGATAGCCCATTATTGGTTTGATGTTGCAGGTTGTGGCTTCTCTATTGTATGCTGATAGTGGGACGCCTGTTGAGAAGATGAGTGACTCGGAGGCTCCCCTTTTGGTAAGCTATGAAGGAGTTGAATTCTCTGCTGAAGATAAGCCATGCAACTTATTGAACGGATGTGCTTCTTTCAAGCTCAAATTATCTCAGGTGGTGATTATAATAAATTCTAAGCCTTTGGAACGGGATATCACATCCTCGTTAGAATTCTTGTCTCTTCTTAAAGGCATTGAAGGATTCTTGTTTTGATTTTTCTTGTAGCTTTCTTCCAAGAGTGATAAGAGGTTGTTCTGCGTCAAATTCGAAATAGCAGAAGTGAAGGCCTATTATCCTTTCCTCGAAACTGTTACCAACCAAATCCGTTGCATTTCGAGGAACCATGATTCTCTTACCCCTAAAAGGTCGAATCGCATAGATTATCCATTAGATGGAGGAGAACCAGAACTTGCATCAAGAAGTAATGGAACATCCGACATTCTACATAGCTCTTCCTCTATGAAACGGATCAGATTAGGGGAAGAAAAGGTTTCTGAGAGTGAGGTACATAATCCAATTTCTCTGAGTTACGTTTGTTTTGCTTTGTATCCATATCCCACTTACTGTTATTCTGCATTGTTGTTTCTTTCGAGTTAGATTGAGAATGGAAATGGTACGAGTATGGAATGGAGACCTCAGAACCATGAAGAAGACGAAGAAGAAGATAACTCTTCAACTGATTCCGAAAACACTGAAATTAGAGATTCGACTGCTTTCAGGAGATATACAATCCCAGACTCGATTATTTTCAAATACTGCCTTGGGAACTTAACAGAGAGAGCTCTTCTTCTGAAGGAAATCACAAATAATTCATCAGATGAAGAAGTCTCGGAATTTGCAGATCAAGTTTCTCTCTATTCTGGGTGCTCCCACCACAGGTAAAGAAATGAAATTAAACTCACACCTGCCTCAAATATGTATATTACGAAAATAAAATAGATCACTAATCTTCCAAATTTTCCAGCTATCAAATCAAAATGGCAAGACAACTGATAGCAGAAGGAACAAATGCGTGGAATCTGATCTCTCGGAACTATCAACATGTTCATTGGGACAATGTGGTAATTGAGATTGAAGAACATTTCATGAGAATAGCTAAATGCAGCAGTAGATCTCTCACTCACCAGGTCATATTTCTTTCACCAAGATCAAAGTCTTGCTCTTGTCGTCGTGATTCTGACATTAAATTGTAATCAGGATTTTGACCTTCTAAGAAGAATATGTGGATGCTATGAATACATAACGCAAGAGAATTTTGAGAAAATGTGGTGTTGGTTGTTCCCTGTTGGTTCGGCTATATCCAGGGGATTGATTAATGGAATGTGGCGCTCTGCTTCGCCTAAATGGATAGAAGGGTTTGTGACTAAAGAAGAGGCAGAACGTTCGCTTCAGAATCAAGTACCGGGAACTTTCATTCTCAGGTTCCCTACTTCAAGAAGCTGGCCACATCCTGATGCTGGTTCCTTGGTTGTGACTTATGTCGGTCATGATTTAGTTATTCATCATAGATTACTCACAATCGATCACATCTGCGAGTAAGTAAATCTCTCCATCTCCTCTCTCCCTCTCTCTGTGTGTGTCTTGTGACAATTGTTTTTGTTTTTAGTTCTAGTGAAAGGTATACAGATGCAAAACCGTTGCAAGATATGCTTTTGGCGGAACCTGAGCTATCCAGGCTTGGAAGGTGAGAGAGAGAGAGAGAGAAGAGAAAGGTTTTAGTTATTGTTGAAGCAAAGAGAGATCAAATTCATGATCTGAAATTGTTTTTTTTTGGTTTGTTGCATTTTTCAGGATCATAAGAGGCATTTGAATATCAACACACTCAACAAGATAGACAAGCATCGACTATTATTGAGGTTTATACTTTGGCTAGTAATATATACACAGGTAGATTTGCTAAGTCTCTCTAATTACTGATGATACTAACTTGTGTAAAGAAAGCTCAGTGATTTATATTAGGTGGAAACTGGAAAGGGGTTTTATTTTAAAATTTGTACTTATTTGTTTAATCTAAAATCAATTAAATACAGTTACCGACAGACAAGAAAGAAAGCAGTTACGATTTTTGCTTCTTCTGCTTAATTTTTATTTATTTATATTTTTGTGTGGCCCATTTATGCCCTAATATATTGCTTGGTCCTTAATCCCTTTAATTGGTTTTTGATTATTTATTTTTTAGTTTGTATTTAAATTTAAAAGCTTTTAAGAAAATTCAACCATGTTTTTAATCTTCTCATATTATGTATACGGACTATGGAATGAGAAAAATCTATTAAAAATTAACTGAATAGAATTGTAAACTAAGTCATAACAGCAATTACTTTGATTTACAAAAAAAAAAGTAGACGAAATTCATTTTATCAATGAAGTTGGAAACTTATGTCAATAAAAAAAATAATGATTTCACGTAATTTGATGATTTGTTAAAAAAAAAAAAAAACTCCCTAGGCCCTAGAACCTAAGTTTTGTACGGTAAAAACTTATAAAAATGGTGAGATCTAGAATAATGATATTATAATTGTCTTAAAATAAGAAAAATGGATATTCTCTAATCTCGAAAGATTTGATACGAGTTAGATGACAGACCAATAGATGGAACCCACGTGGTGACATTTCAGCTTCTGATTAGAACGATGGAGTCTCTTTTTTTCCCTCTCTCTAAGTAATTTGTATATTGAATTAAAGAAAAAACGGACACACACACACAAATCTGAAAATCTCTCTCGTCCTCCAAAGGTCGAGTTTTGAGAGCGAGTGAGAGTTCTTCTTATGTGGTTTTGTCTCGTCCACCCAAAGAAAATCATCAAAAAATAAATAAAAGGGATCGATTCACAAACTTATAAATTTCTTTGTCTTTTTTAATTTTTATTTTTCCGAAATTTTTCCATACACACATCCAATCTCTCTCGTCAGCAAAAATTAACATTGGACTCTCAGTTTCCGAAGATTCTTCTCTTTGGACTCTTAGTTTCCGAAACTTATTAACCGTCTTTTTTTGGTTTTTGGGTTTGCATAAAAGTTGTCGTCACTTGTGGATTTTGTCTGAGAAATGATGATGTCATGTCGGAATATAGACTTGGGTACGAGTGTTCTTGATCATTCTTGTAGCTCTTCTTCCACAAGTCGTCGATTCTTGTTTGGGAATTGTTCCAAGAATGTTTGTATGATTGGTGGCCGAAGCTCTGGTGGAAATTTGGTATTTCTCCGGCGAGATTTTGGTACTTGCAGAGCGGTTCCGGCTAAATCCAAGGAGAATTCTCTGGTCAATGGTAAACGATTTTCTTAAAAACTATCTGATTTTGGTTGATTGAGATTCTTTGATTTTTGAGGTTTGGTTGGTTAAGTAATTGAATGATTGGTCTTCACCTTTATGGTACATAGGAACTCAATTATTACACATTAAAGAGTCATATAACAACAGTAAAGTTCTGAGCTTAAGTTATGTTTGCTATGCAGAACATCTCTCATGAGACAGAGTCTCTGACTCTTCCAAAAAATAAAGTTTTGAGCCTTTTAGCTTTGGCTGAGAGGCAAAGAGTCTTATAAGCTGAGATACTCAAAACTAGACAATTCATAGAGAAGTCAAAAGCTTAACATACTTAAGAGTTTTCTTCAGTTTTTAAAGCTCTTTTGAGGCCTCATGAGAATAATGCTGATTGTGTAGGTATTGGTCAAGATAAAACAGTGATGCTCAATCTGAGGCAAGAGTCACGAAAGCCGATATCTTTGGAAAATCTGTTTGAGGTAGTAGCTGATGATTTGCAGAGGTTGAACGACAATCTTTTATCGGTTAGTACCTCAGGCAACATTTCTTTCTGGTCTCTTAATATAGAGTTATCCTTCTTATGTAAATGCTCTTCTTTTATAGATTGTTGGTGCTGAAAATCCGGTTTTGATATCTGCTGCTGAGCAAATCTTCAGTGCTGGTGGCAAGAGGATGAGACCGGGTTTGGTATTCCTTGTATCACGAGCCACTGCGGAATTAGCAGGCTTAAAGTAATCTAGATAACTGACATTACTATTACATTTTTGACCTCGAAACTGCGCATAATCTTTAGCAATAAAAATGATGGTTTCTAGCTGATCTTGGTGCAGGGAACTTACAGTAGAACATCGGCGTTTAGGTGAGATCATTGAGATGATTCACACCGCAAGTTTGATTCATGATGATGTGTTAGACGAAAGTGATATGCGAAGAGGTAAGACAAAAGTTTCGTTCTTTTGATCTGAATATACATTTTCATTTTCTCTGCAAAGTTTAAAGCTTTCTCTGTGTTTTTGTTAGGAAAAGAAACGGTTCACGAGCTTTTCGGAACAAGAGTAGCTGTATTAGCTGGAGATTTCATGTTTGCTCAAGCATCATGGTACTTAGCAAATCTCGAAAACCTCGAAGTCATTAAGCTCATAAGTCAGGTAAAATTCTTTTCTGAGATTAGAAGAAACTACACAATACAAAGAACATTTGGTCTGAATCTTGATTTATCTTTTTCAGGTGATCAAAGATTTTGCAAGCGGTGAGATAAAGCAAGCATCGAGTTTATTCGATTGTGATGTCGAGCTTGATGACTACTTGCTAAAGAGTTACTACAAGACAGCTTCATTAGTAGCTGCAAGCACCAAAGGAGCTGCAATTTTCAGTAAAGTCGAAAGCGAGGTCGCAGAGCAAATGTATCAGTTCGGGAAGAATCTCGGTTTATCTTTTCAAGTAGTTGATGACATTCTGGACTTCACTCAGTCAACAGAGCAGTTAGGGAAACCTGCAGCTAATGACTTAGCCAAAGGTAACATAACAGCGCCAGTGATCTTCGCGCTAGAGAATGAGCCGAGGCTAAGAGAGATCATTGAGTCTGAGTTTTGTGAGCCTGGATCGCTTGAAGAAGCGATTGAAATAGTTAGAAATCGCGGTGGGATCAAGAAAGCTCAAGAATTGGCTAAGGAGAAAGCTGAGCTTGCGTTAAAGAATCTGAATTGTCTTCCTAGAAGTGGTTTCAGATCGGCTCTTGAGGATATGGTGATGTTTAATCTTGAAAGGATTGATTAGCTTCAAAGGGTATTTGGCAGAGGAAACTGTAACACTCTTTACTTGTTTCAAACTTCAAACACAGAATTTTTTTACTGTATGTCACAAAGGAATAATAAAAAAATTCATGCTTATTATTGCAAAATAAAATTAATTCATATTTTTAGATACTTGTGAATAGAACTAGAAGCTAATTGTTTATATAAATCGATCTGTGATAAAATTATATACATCTTTGTACTGAAAAAGCGAAAACTAATGAACATTATTTTTTAAAAAGTTTTTCGATAAAATTTTAGAAATGAAGTTTGGTAATCTTGATAAGTTTGCTAATAACATTTGGAAATTTTTTTAATTATTTATTTAGTTAGATTTAAGTTTGGTTTTGATTGAATTTCTTTAGCTAAAGTAAAAATGAAACATAAATTTTCTGAAACCGAATAAATTAATAAATTGTGGTTTCAATTCGAGAATGTTTGTCTGGACCGAATTACCTAAACAAATCAAACAAATAAGAAATATTAATGCAAAAACATCTGATACTTGATGTGTCTCTCCAACCATTTCTATTCTTTTCTATCTTCATTGATTCTTTTTCAAAAAACATTAAATTAGGTTTTTTTTTTGGACAAACTATAAGATTAAATTAGCTAAAAGCATGTTTTGCTAATTATTTTGTCGAGATTCAACATAAATATGATCACTATTTCACGTGGCATTTTCTTTTGCACAAGATTATTTTTGTAGTAAAGTTGAAATTAGACAGAAAAAACATAAATCCTCTCTTATGTGTGTGAGGACTAAAGTGGAATTAAAAGATACAAATGAAATTAATTATGTTAAAAGTATAAACTAAATCAGGTAGTGGTGAACAATCGCAAAGAGCAATATCATTAAAATCAAGAAATCTTATGAAATTTATAGATTTGAATCAGTTTCTTATATACAAAAACACCCAAATAAGATTTCTTGACAGGATTCAAACTGCATTTACCACTACACACCTTCAAGGTTCTGTTTTGTTGATGAACAAAAAAGAAAGGAAGGACCTTTACATTTGTTCTTCTTCTTCTACCTCCTAAACTTTTCGGATGATCAAATGAGCTCCATGTTGTGGAAATGTAGTTGCAGCTGGGAAAGGAGCATGAGTATACGATGGAGAGAGCTCTACACTGAACCTTTGAAGTACCATTGCCAAGAAGAGTTTAGCTTGCAACATCGAAAAGTTCTGACCGATACAAGTCCGAGGGCCCGAGCTAAATGGCAAGAATGAGAGTCTTCCTTTGGTTGCACCCGCCACACCATTAACGAATCTCTCGGGCTTAAACTGTTTCACATCGTCTCCCCAAAGGTCAGGATCATGGTGCACCAAGAGCATTGGTATTGTGACCACAACTCCTTCGGGTAAAGAGAATCTCTCTAGCTTCACTATTTGTTTAGTTATCCGACATGTGAAGTAAGCTGGTGAATAGAGCCTTAGAACTTCATGGAGGATCATTGTTACCTAAAGATGATGGCCCAAATTCAAAAGAAAAGAGTAAGTTATAAAGACTTTAATAATGTGTTTTGGTAGGTTTTGAAAATGTCTACTTACGACTTTCAGGTGGCTTAACCCTTCGAAATCTGGCTCGTTGTTACCGAAGGCCTGAGAAACCTCGTCTCTCGCTTTGTTTTGCCAATCTTGATGTTGGCTTAGAGCAACAAGTGTCCAAACAAACAATGAAGAAGTGACATTTTGACCAGCTAGATAGAAAGCCTTACAGTCATCTATCAGGTCATCAAGACTCAGCCCTGAATCTGGTCCTTGTTCTTTGATGGTTTTTGTATTCGAAGCCAACATCGAGAACAACAAGTCGCTGTTTTTGTCGGTACCTCTTCCTCTTTTTATCTCCTCCTCTTTAGTCTCAATCATAGCTTTAAACATAGCCCTCATGTCCCTTTCGGTTTCTCTCAACCTCCTGTTGAACTTTGTTGGCAAGAATCTGCAGATGACAAATCCAAAAAGACATGAAAAATAGAATCAGCAAAATTAGCTTTCCACTTTTATTAAACTCAGTTGATTTTTAGACAATCTATTTACTTTGATCCAGGAATGTAGACGGCTCGAATAGCAAGGAGACCAAGATCGATCTGTTCTTGTTGGATTTCGAAGATCTTGATACCATCTTTGTAGGAATCACCAAAAGAAGCACGAGCAAGCATGTTTCTGGTTAAGTCATGACAGTGAGTCCATGAATCAAGTTCCACTGTTCCTTTTGCTGAAGCTAATCTTTCCCATTCTTCTAACATCTCTTTGCAACTCGAGTTGAATGCTGGTAGTATGCTCTGTTCATTTTTTGTTAAATATTATTATACCATTTCAAAAATCAAATCCACTTTCACACCAAAAAAATCACATAAATGGTTTAGAAATTTATTGATTTATTGCTAATTATTTGCTCATAATGTTTTTGTTAAAGATAATGAGTGCTCTGCATATATGAGGTTTCTACACTGATAATGAAATGATAAATTCTTTTTGTCGAAATAAATTGGTAATATTAGAAATTCTTGATTTGAAAAATACGATTTCACCTTTTTGTAATGTGTCTTTTTGGCTTTTTCTGTTTTTTCGCTTTTAGACTTTTATAGTTGGTGACTTGGTGGCGTGGCGTGGATTCTTTAGTTCTTTGCGGACTTTTTTTCTTTCTTTCTCTGTTTGTTCTTTTTTCTTTAAATACCTTTTTAGTTTTTTTCTTTCTTTCTTTTTTTCTTTTTTTCTCTTTCGGGGGAGTTAATAATTTTTTTGTCTAAGAGATTTAATTTAATTTTTTTCTGTTTATCTTGGAAAGAAATTAATTTTTTTAAAATAGTTAATATATGATTTTTTATATATAATTATTGTTTAAATCTCTCAGCTACCAAACAAGTGAAAAGGCGTTACTTATCTGACTTTCTTTTCGAAAAAAGTAAGAGAGAATGAAACTGACCAAAATCTAAAGAATGAGACGAAAATGACGTCCACAAAATTCACATTATGTCAGAGTTAAAAAAATCAATTATAAGAAAACAAAATATCATTATTAGAGTCAAAATGAGCATTCTATATTCTTTACTCTTTTTTTTTTTGTAAAAGAAAAACATACCTTCAAATTATCGATACGGAAAGCAGGATTAAGAATGCTTCGATGCTTGGACCATTTAGGACCTTCGTGATTAAGAAGACCACTGAGGAAAACATGATTATGTGACCCAATCTTTGGTTTCGGGAAGAGTTCGTGTTTTGACATGATCTCTCGTAGTGTCTCTGGATCCATTACTATCACGTTCGGGTACGGTCCGTACCATGTGAAACACTTCTTCCCTGTTTAAACATATACTAATTAATTATTACCATTTGTTACTTTAAATAACCAAATGAAACAAAACAAAGCACATACAACAATGATATAAAAGTTGTTTTGTTATTATCCGCTAAGAGTGTTTTCATTTTATTTTTATGTGAACTAGATTTAGACGAAACCAGGAAAGCAAAGGATATCAGATTTAGATCTTAATTATGAAAATGTGTATCATTCTAATCTGTATACACAATTAACTCTTTTATTTCCCTCTTCATAGAAATACTTTGAAAATGATTAAAAAGTCATGATGAAGAAGATGACCTACTCCTAGTCAAAATTAGAAATAATCGTTATGAATCTAACCCAAGATTTATCAAGTATATAATTGGCCGGTTCTTGTTAGATTCACATTTCTTTCAAGTAATAAAATAAACCCGTAATTAAAACAATTGATAATTAAGTTGAGGTTGATGGAATCATACCATGTTTTAGAACAGTGTGGTGGAGAAAAGGCATCATGCGAGGGAGAAAATCGGCGTCGAGAGGAAGAGGAAGAGAGTGAGCAACTTGATCCATCTGATTACTCTCTCTCATATCTCCCATCAAAATCCTATAAGAATTCCCAGAAAATCCTTGTTTCTTCAGATATTTCTCCAGTCTCTTTGGCCTTAACCAAACCCAATTCACAGCTCTCCATACCCAATTCAGTATCAAGATCAAGAATCCGATCAAGAACACTTTTCTTACTATATTAATCTCCATCATCTTGATCTATCTATGAAGAAGCTAAGGGAGGAGCTAGAAAGTAAAAGAAAAGAAAAAAAGGAGACAAAACTATAATGATGATGCTTATAATTTCATCAGTTGACTATATATGTTGGAGGCAGCTGTATATATCTATATATGCGTGAATAGAAAAAAAATACACTGTAGAAAAGAAATGTGATAAAACTAGTTTATAGAGAGACTATAGAGAGAGAGGATATATATGTAATAAATCGCTGTATGTGCAACTGGCAATGAATTTATAACAACAAGTTCTTTGGTGTATATTTCCAAAAATTTAATTTTGTCTTCCTTCCCTTACGCTACATGCATGTGGCTTTATTGCATGAGAGTATTTATCTTTTTTTTATATACATACATCTACATGATGATGCTTCCATAATTACTTTCTTGCGCATTTTTTGTTTGCGTCTTCGTATCGTAGTTATCTATAAAAAGGTAGAGAAAGGAGAGTTCGTCTCACCTTAATTAAATAAATTTCAATAACTATCGAAATCAACCTTAACATTTATGTAACTAAGACAATAATCATACGATTAAATTAAGTTTAAATTGGAGACAATAAATATGGAACCAGGTGGCGTTGTTCTTTGGAGACGATGAATAGCAATGTCAACTCTCTTACGAAACGCATGTGATATATAATATAATAATAATACAAAAGATAATGTTCGTCCAACCATATCAATTAATTTTAAGTTTAATAAATATATAAATGCAATTACGCGTATAGACTAGGGTCATTAGGCATTTACTAAATTTTCCACCTAGGACAAAATAGACCTAACGGCTACGGGCGTTGTTGGTTAATTATTAGATTGGTATATAACGTAAGCTTATTTGATTAGCTAGTAATTAATTGTTTTGTTCAACAACAAGTAATTAATAGACTAGGCCTCCAGGATTTTTTTTTTCTTTTTGTCGCGAAGCTAAAACATATCCCTTATTTATCTATCAGACGTATTCATTTACGTCCTTGTATTTTTGCTGATATTACTACCTGAAGCTTATTTTATATAGATAGAGATACGAAAAAACTTATTCTTTTTGCTAATAGTTTTTTTTTCCTAAAGAAAAATAAATAATAGTTAAAATGGATAAAAGTAAAAAAGTCTAGCCATGATTAAGGAAATAAATTGCATTATTATTCAACCAATGTGTGCGACACAATTAAAAAAACATGTTTGTAATTGTATACACATTTAGCTATTTATTAATCTCAATAATGTAACAAGAATGGTACATTTTAGCTATTAGAGAACGAACCATTCCAAGGAAAATAGTTTCAAAATTATGAGATATGACGTCAAAACCTACGTAACATGTTTGAAAAACCAACTAGAAAAGTCGGAGTCGTAGTCTCACAACCGACTTTTCTTTGTTATAACATCTAAAAAGGTGGGACGTTTCTTTATGTGTTGTTGTACTCTTAATATCCCAAATTTATGTGATTTGTACATGAAATAAGGGGATTTTGTTGTATTTATTCCAGAAAGAATATAATAATGCTTCTATGTTGCAAAAAGAAAAGTTGGTTAGTTATAGAAAACAAAGTGTTCCTAAAATCTCTGGACTTTGACATACATATTACTGTGTGAACCAATTTTTTTTCGACTTTTTATCAAAAGAAAAAGATTATAAGTTAAATATAAACAGTTTCTTCCAATAACCAAATCACTATTCATGCAAAAATTTATAACCAACTAGTATGAAATTGGACCTTTAACACACACAAGAAAAAGAGAGTATGAAATTGGAATAAGAAAGATAGAACAAGAGATCATTTTTTTAAAAAGAACATCAAAAACAACAAGATAAAAATGTTAGTAATATGGAAAAAATACCGTCTGTTACTAAAATACAAAAAATTGTTACTTTTAGAAAGTATATGGATTGAAGACTCAAAACTCCACGATATAATGGAATCTACGTTTTCTTAACATAATACACCAATTTTTAGTTTTTGGATTAACTTTTCTTTTGGTTATAACGGGAAATTGAGTTAACCTTGTAACCTATTTTTTTTGGTTGGTTAAATTTTTTTTGTTCGTTTCCAAAAGTATGTTTTTATTGTTTTTATCCTTTTGAGTGTAATGGTAATTGCGCTTGGGGCAATGACGCAGCTAATGAGGTCTTAACCGAGGCGCGTCTATTGCTGGTCGAAAACTATTTCCAAACCCATCTTGGGCCTTCGAGAATTTCTGGAAGAGCTCCCTTCGGGGTAAAGCTCTAAAAAGAAAAAAAAAAAAGTGTAATGGTAATTAGATAACAAAACTCATATCATATTTACTTGAAAAGATCAACTTTTGCGTTTTACTATAACAAATGCGATAAAACGACATAAGGTTGGCCACATGCCCACATCATAAGAGTCCAAAATGAAGATTGAAGAAGATGAGGTCACGTGAGACGGTAAGAGTTACAAAAATTAGATGAGAGTACCAAGTTTACAAATATATGGGCTCTGGTTTACAAATAAATGGGCCTTTCTTTTTAAAAAAGCCCAAGTCGGTTAATCCGTTCTCTCCGATAATACACTGCGACGTCGGCGATTTGCCAAAATCCGAAATCCTCAAATTGCTCGATTTCGTTCTTCTCTGATATTTTGGAAACTTTGAAGAGTTTCGGATCTAGTTTCGTCGCCATGGATGAGTATCAAGAGATGGAGAGATTTAGTATGGATAATGACTACGAAGGAGGTCGATGGGAAGGTGACGAGTTCGTATACGAAAAGAGGAAGGAGAAGCGGAAGCAAACCAAAAACGACGCTACTTACGGAATCTTCGCTGAGAGCGATTCGGATTCGGATGATTCTGGCGGCGGCGGCAGTCGTAGGAAGAGGCGTAAGGATCGTGATTCGGGAAGGAATGCCGACTTAACCAAGCCTGTCAATTTTGTATCTACAGGTACTGTTATGCCTAATCAAGAGATTGATAAGGATTCTAGAGAACATAATGATGAGAAAGATAGGGATAGAATCGAAGATAGTGATATGATTGATGAGGATGTTGAAGTTAGAGGTGGATTGGGTATGGGAAGCTCAGGTTTAGGGTTAGGGTTTAATGCGAATGGTTTTGATGATGAGGACAATCTCTTACCGGGTGCATTGGGGAAGAAGATAGCGGATGGGGCAAAGATGAGAGGGAAGGCAAAGATGGAGAAGAGAGGTCAAGAGGGTGGTGGTGCAAAGGGAGGAAAGAAGAATACCTTAGGAAGTGATATAGGTAAGTTTGAGAAATCTACTAAAGGTATAGGTATGAAGCTGCTTGAAAAGATGGGGTATAAGGGAGGTGGGCTTGGGAAAAATCAGCAAGGTATTGTAGCTCCTATTGAAGCGCAGTTGAGGCCGAAGAATATGGGTATGGGGTATAATGATTTCAAGGAGGCAAAGTTGCCTGATTTAAAGAAGGTTGAGGAGAAGAAGATTGTTGGGGTCAGTGTCATTGAGAATGAACAGAGTCATGGTGATAGAGGAGGGAAAAATCTTTGGAAGAAGAAGAAGGTGAGGAAGGCAGTTTATGTTACTGCAGAGGAGTTGTTGGAGAAGAAGCAGGAACAGGGCTTTGGTGGTGGTCAGACCATTATTGATATGCGAGGACCACAAGTTCGGGTTGTGACAAATTTGGAAAACTTAGATGCAGAGGAGAAAGCAAAAGAAGCAGATGTTCCAATGCCGGAGTTACAACACAACTTACGCTTGATTGTTGATCTAGTTGAGCATGAAATTCAGAAGATTGATAGAGACTTGAGGAATGAAAGAGAATCAGCCTTGAGCTTACAGCAGGAGAAGGAGATGCTTAGAAATGAGGAAGAGAAACAAAAAAGACACTTAGACAACATGGAATATATCGCAGATGAAATTAGTCGAATTGAGCTGGAAAATACGGCTGGGAATTTGACACTGGACTCACTTGCGAATCGTTTTGAGGACCTTCAAACATGCTATCCTGATGATTATAAGCTTTGTAACTTGTCCACCATTGCTTGCTCACTGGCCTTGCCTCTCTTTATTAGGATGTTTCAGGGTTGGGACCCTCTTAGGGATCCAGTGCATGGTCTCAAGGCTATATCTTCTTGGAGAAAGCTTTTGGAACTCGAGGAAGATCAAAATATCTGGGTAGTTTCAACGCCTTATAGCCAACTAGTCTCAGAGGTAGTGTTACCTGCTGTTCGAATAGCAGGCATTAATACCTGGGAACCTAGAGACCCTGAGCCGATGCTTAGATTTTTAGAGACATGGGAAAATTTGCTGCCTTCATCTGTCTTGCATACGATTTTGGATACAGTAGTTCTGCCAAAATTGTCAACTGCTGTTGAATATTGGGATCCACGAAGGGAACTTGTTGCCATCCATGTTTGGGTGCATCCTTGGTTGCCAATACTTGGTGAGAAGTTGGAGTTTCTTTATCAGATCATTCAGATGAAATTGAGTAATGTTCTTGATGCTTGGCATCCCAGTGATTCATCTGCGTACACTATTCTTTCCCCATGGAAGACTGTTTTTGATACTTCAAGCTGGGAACAGCTTATGCGCCGTTACATAGTTCCCAAACTTCAGCTGGCTTTGCAAGAGTTTCAGATAAACCCGGCAAACCAGAACTTAGAACGGTTCCATTGGGTTATGAAGTGGGCATCTGCAGTACCCATACATATAATGGCTGATTTGATGGGGAGGTTCTTCTTCCCCAAATGGCTGGATGTGTTGTACCTTTGGTTGCGTTCTAATCCGGGGTTCGAAGAGATCCACGGATGGTATTTAGGTTGGAAAGAGTTATTCCCGCAAGAGCTTTCAGCAAATGAGAGGATCCGAATTCAGTTAAAGCGTGGTTTAGATATGTTGATGGAAGCTGTTGAAGGAGTTGAAGTGTCTCAGCCACGGGCAAGGTCAAATGAGCATACACAGTATGAGCCGGCTCAGGCTCAAGCTCAGGCCAAGGCTCAGATGGATAGCACTGAGGTGCTGAGTTTGAAAGAAGTGTTGGAAGTATTTGCGCAAGAGAAGGAGTTGCTGTTCAAACCTAAACCGAATAGAATGCACAATGGTCTTCAGATATATGGGTTTGGGAATGTGAGTGTTATTATAGACTCAGTGAACCAGAAGTTGTTGGCTCAGAAAGATGGAGATTGGTATCTTGTAACTCCTGATGACTTATTAAGGATGCACAACAATACAACTGTTTCTGGAAAAAGATAGATTTCGTTTCATTTTGTATGTTTTCTGATGTATAAACCATCTTCAGTCTTATCACATTTTGTCTCTCTATCTAAAATTCATATCTTTGACTTTGACGACTTCTTATTTAGATAAAAAAACTCGAATAATATTTCTGAAGTTTACACCTTTTTTCTTGTTCTTCATAGAGTAGTAGAAAAAGGAAGTAGATAATACAACACAAGATAAAGAAACCTATACAAACATTTTGAGAGTAACACACAAGATGATTGATCGATCCATCACCAGTCGTCTGCTCCTTTAGATACACCCAGAATCACAGCTATTGTTGCAAGAATAGCCTGCAATGTTTAGACATGAATCACTTAAATTTGTTCGAGTCCCATTTGGATATATAAAGGAAAAACTTGAGAGATAAGGAGAGAGAGAGAGAGTCTAGGAAATATTACAGCGATAGTGCAGGCAATGTATCCTGGTTTCTCCCTGTAATCGATCCTTCTTCCAAACATCATGATAAACAATCCGACATACCAAGGGATTGCTCCAAGGAAAAATCCAACAATGAACCTTCAAGAAGCCAAATATTTTCTCAGGGATATAACACGAACGAGTAAGATATCGGCTTGACTTGTAGGACATGTTAAAAAAGCTAGTGTAGATAAGTGTATGTGAAGAGAGAGAGAGAATTCAGAAAACTCTGAGCTCGTGTTTGAAGGAAGAAAAAGAAGGAACTTACAGGAACCAGCCAAGACCAATTCCACAGCAAGGAAGGCGGCGTTGTCTCCCAGTGACAGGTCTTCCTTCAGCAACACCACCATGGACTGAAAATAAAAACAATTAAGAAAGAGTAAACATAAGAATAGCTGAAAGGACATCCATTAATGCTCTTGACTTGGATTTGAACAAGAAGAAGAGACAATGAGACACGACAGAAGTTACCTTACAGATTATATATAGCACAAAACCAATACAACCTATAACTATTTACTGAGCTCAAAACTTCTCATCAAGGCTTGTTCTTTTAAAATCTCAGAGGGTTATTATGTAACATAGCACAAATCAAGTTAGATTTCACATATAGATCCTTTCCCTTACATGCAACAACGAAAAAGGTTTCACCTTTCACTAGAAAACTCCTGATTATGTTACACTGTAACAACATTTTGATTAAAACAAAGAACAAACCCAAAATTAGCTTCTCTTGCTAAACAAAACACGACACAATGATAAAGTTAGAATCTTATGAAGACAATTCAATGATCACCATCAATTTTACAAAAATTTAAAACCTAAATTTCACAAATCTGCGAAAAATGAAATCAGCATATCCAAATCTTCAGGAAGTGAAGCTACCTGGAACAGTTTGATAGCCATGAGCGTAATAAGGAGCTCCGGAATCGTAAACGCCAGGTGGCGGCGAAGGTTGAGGAAACCCAGTGACCGGAGCAGAATTCTGCGGAGGAGGGTAATTGGAAACACCTTGAAAGGTACCGTATTGATGATGCTGGTTACCTTCTTCCGAAGCAAACCCTTTGCTTTTATCTTCTTCTCCGTGACCCATATCTTTCTCCGTGATCTGATCGCTCTTTCTGATTCAATCGAGAGATTGAAAATTTGCAAAGTCTCGTTGAATCAAATGAAGAAGAAGTCTTTTTTTTGGTAAAACACTTTTAATTATTTGCTGGCAGACCCGAGATAACGCGTATTTTCAAAATTGGCCCGGAGTTATTATTATATGCATTTACAACCACCGACTGCAATGTTTGACATTAATACGATTGCTATTTTTATAAATTATACTAATAAAGTTTTTTTTATTATTATTAAGAAAGATGTGGTTAGGTTATAAATATTAAATATTAAATGCATCCATCGAAGCTTCGAGTTCGTTGAAAAGATTATGAAATTAACTAATGTTCTTAATTAATCAACCATGAATATGATTTATCATCACCTTCAATCATTTTTATACAATTAGGCAATGGAAAAATAATACAGAAAATATGATTTTATCAGTAATCTGTCACTATAAGCATTTCGTTGTCCTTGTTTTTAATTTTAAACATCTTTACTTAATTTTTTTAATTTGTCAACTAACAACATCGTTGTTAAACTTTTTATTACTTTCTTTCTCTGAGTGGAAATTGTTTTCTCTTCTTCTTTCACGTATTAGTGGAGCCTTTGATTCTCAGCCTCCAAAGAAACATCAACCTTGAAAATTAAACTGAATCAAGAATTATATTAACAATATAACTTTGAACTTTCCACAAATTTGTGCACCACCATTCAAATGTTTTTTGCAGACTGTATAATTTCTTTCATGATACACATGAAACAAAAACAAAAATCTGGATTCTGATGTGGATACTCTCAATCTATGGATTTAACCATTTACAAGTAAAAAAAATTGCAAAACATGAAGAGAGTTGTTGTGTAATGAAAATAGAAGCCAACCTTTGTTTTCAACAAGCACAAATATCCTCATGAGAACAATCATCTTGGCCACAATCATCATCAATGGATCCTTGGTTACTCGAGACTGTAATGATCATTACCTTCTCATCCGGTTTAGCTTCTTCTGGTTCAATAAGATTCTTCCTGAGATCACTGAAATCCTGGTTTTCATCTTTCAAGAAGCTCGGAAGAATGGAGAAGCAAGTGAAACAAGAAAACACTAAATTGATTGCAAACAAGGAGATGCAGAAGATCACGACGATACAATTGTAAGCATCCATTCTTCTTGAAAACTGAGCATGATGGTTGTTGGTTTACAAAAACCAGAATCATTCAAATGGAGAAACCAAAAGGTATTATTCACTTTTCAATATTTGATTTGATTCTCTGGTCCCCTTACTTAGATATCGGAAGAAAGCTTAAATCTGGAATGTTTGGTGAGCTTACAAAACAACAATCTCTTATAAGAAGAAAGCGAAAAAGGATAAAAGAAAGAAAACAATATTAATTTTTTGGGTCTGCGGTGGAGAAGATTTTTCAACAGATAAAGGTGGCAAGCATGACAAAAGCATTTGTCTCTTTCTTTCTTTTTCCACCTTATTTGTTAGCGTTTCATATAAATAAGATATTATGCTTTGTTACAAAAAGTATAGTACTACACATTACTAAATTCTAAACAACTTCAAATAATAGGCAACATAAATATGAAAGGGAGAGATCATCTTCTCTATTATATTTTCATATAGAGCATATTAGAATTGCAGAGTATTTGATATTGTTATCACCTGCACATTTTCCATGAGAGAGTCGTCGCAATAGCATTGAAGAGATCATCACCATCTGTCTATATCAGTGAACGGTTCAGGGTTTGCGATTGACTCTGACATTTGGAAACAGAAGCATGACAAAAAAACATTTGTTTATAAAGATTATTTGATGTTAGCATTCTATATGTAGCTTGAGTGTAGATTTAATAAGCTATGAAGACATTTCTTTAAAGAATTTGAAGGTTTCTTGGTTTGAAGTAAACATCAAAGAGGCATAAGTACGTACAAAACATTATTTAAAAAGCATAGTTTGTGGCAATACTAGACTTGTTCATCCACTTATCTGATTCATAAATAATTTATTGCCATAAGCACACAACTTTATCATTGACTACTTGCATTATGCAATGTAGAAAGACTCAAAAAATTTGCAATCTATTATAAAGAACAATTTGTATAGACAGCTATCGAATTTGAAAGCCATAAACAACCAAATATAGAATTATGAAAACACTTTTTTATAATCGTTGTCAACTCTTCTGCTTTTGGATATCAAAACTTTGCCCAATTCGTACAAGAAGAAACCTAAAATATTGTTTTAAAGACATCTCTGCATCAAAACAAAATTTGACATTTGATCAAACAAGTTAACTCTTTTTTTTAAAAAACATGGCAAGATGATACAAGAAAACATTTTAATGAGTTTCTACAAAATACAAAATACAATGCAGAAAAGAGAATGCAGATGAGAAAGGCAGAGACATCACGTTGAAACAGAGCACCACCTGCAGCTCAGAGATGGGCAGTACTTAAGTCTCATATTCAACCATTACAGTTTTCATCGTAATCCCAAATTGAGCGAAACAATGCATATTCAAAACTCAAAAGCTTGAAAATGGTCTCAAGCAGAAAAGTCAAAAACTTTGAAATGATCTCAAGCAGTGAAATCATTGCCTTAAATGCAGTAGTTTACTAAGCAATCAACAAAATTTCTTACAGGGTTTACTACATTTATGTAATGGTTCCATCTATTATGCTGCTTGGGCCCCTAAACTAAGAACGGATCCGGTGATTGTGTGTTTTGATGTTAGATACGAGAACATAAGTTCTTTTCCTTCTAATAATCGATATTTAAGCGTTGGCTTTTCAACACCAAGCAAACTACTTTGTGTTATCTTACCACTGAGGAATGAGGATTTGCATTTTCTGACATGTGTATTTTTTTGATTTGTTGTTCATATTTTGTTTGTTCTTCTAAGTCCTTTTTCAAAAGATTTATTGAGGTTGCACAACAATACAACTGTTTCTGGAAAACGATAGATTTCATTTCATATTGTAAGTTTTCTGATGTATAAAGTATAAACCATCTTCAGTCTTGTCACATTTGGTCTCTTTGTCTTAAATTCATATCTTTGACTTCTTATTTAGATAACAAAACTCAAATAATTTTTTTGAGGTTTACACCTTTTTTCTTTTTTCTTCATAGAGTACATAAAAAAGGAAGTAGATGATTGAGAGTAACCCCACAAGATGATTGATGCATCACCATTCGTCTGTTCCTTTAGATACACCCAGAATCACAGCGATTGTTGTAAGAATAGCCTGCAATGTTAAGACACGAATCAATTATCAATTAAATTTGTTCAAGTAACATTTGGATATAAAGGGGAAAACGTGAGAGATAAGGAGAGAGAGTGTACACATGAAACACAAAAATATCTGGATTCTGATGCATAAGATGTGATACTCTCTCTGAATCTCAACCATTAACAAGTAGGAATGATCAACAGAAAAAAATTGCAAAACATGAAGAGAGTTGTGTAATGAAAATAGAAGCCAACCTTTGTTTAATTCATGAGAGCAATCTTGGCCACAATCATCATCATCAGTGGAGTCAGAGAATCCTTGGTTACTCGAGACTGTAATGATCATCACCTTCTCATCTGGTTTAGCTTCTTCTGGTTCAATAAGATGTGATACTCTCTCTGAATCTATGGATTTAACCATTTACAAGTAGGAATGATCACAAGAAACAATTGCAAAAACATGAAGAGAATTGTGTAATGAAAATAGAAGCCAACCTTTGTTTCAACTTTCAACAAGCACAAATATCATCATGAGAGCAACCATCTTGGCCACAATCATCATCAATGGATCCTTGGTTACTCGAGACTGTAATGATCATTACCTTGTCATCCGGTTTAGCTTCTTCTGGTTCAATAAGATTCTTCCTGAGATCACTGAAATCCTGGTTTTCATCTTTCAAGAAGATCTGAAGAATAGAGAAGCAAGTGAAACAAGAAAACACTAAATTGATTGCAAACAAGGAGATGCAGAAGATCACGACGATACAATTGTAAGCATCCATTCTTCTTGGAAACTGAGCATGATCGTTGTTGGTTTACAAAAACCAGAATCATTCAAATGGAGATATCAAAAGTAATAATATTCACTTTTCAAGATATGTGTAATATTGATTTTGATTCTCTGGTCCCCTACAACACAGATATAAGAAGAAAGCTTAAATCTGGAATGTTTGGAGAGCTTACAAAACAACATATTAATATTTGGGTCTGCGGTGGAGAAGATTTTTCAACAGATAAAGGTGGCAAGCATGACAAAAGCATTTGTTTGTTTCTTTCCTTTACCACCATATTTGTTAGCTCTTCATGTAAATAAGATATTATGCTTTGTTAAAAATAAGTACACATTACTAAATCCTAAACAACTTCAAATAATAGGCAGCATAATATGAAAAGGAGAGATCATCTTCTACTATATTTTCTTATAGAGAATTGCGTTAACTAATATTCCAGAGTATTTGATATCATTATCACCTGCACATTTTCTATCAGAGACTGGTCGCAGTAGCATCTGAAGAGATCATCACCATCTGTCTATATCAGTGAACGGTTCAGGCTTTGCGACTGACTCTGAGGTTTGAAACAGAAGCATGACAAAAAAAACATATGTTTATAAAGATTATCTGATGTTAGCATTCTATATGCATGTTGAGTGTGGATTACTAACACATTAAGACATTTCTTTAAAGAATTTGAAGGTTTCTTGATTTGAAGTAAACATCAAAAAGGCATTACTACGTACAAAACTTGATTTAAAAAGAATAGTTTGTGGCTATCCGAAGTAGTAAACTAGACTTGTTCTTCCACTTATCTGACTCATAAATAATTTATCGCCATAAGCACACAACTTTATCATTGAATACTTGCATTATGCAATCTAGAAAGACTCGGTTTTGCAATCTATTATAAAGAACAATTTGTATAGACAGCTATCGAATTTGAAAGCCATGAACAACCAAATATAGAATTACGAAAACACTTTTTTATAATTGTTGTCAACTCTTCTGCTTTTGGATATCAAAACTTTGCCCAATTCGTACATCAAGAAACCTAAAATATTGTTTTAAAGACATCTCTGCATCAAAACACAATTTGACATTTGATCAAACAAGTCAACTCTTTTTTTAAACATGGCAAGATGATACGAGAACATGTCAATGAGTTCTACAAAATACAAAAACAATGCTGAAAAGAGAATTCAGATGAGTAAGGCAGAGACATCACGTTGAAGCAAAGTACCACCAGCAGCTGAGAGCTGGGCAGTACTTAGTCTCATATTCAGCCATTACAGTTTTCATCATAATTCTAAATTGAGCTAAACAATACAAATTCAAAGCTTGAAAATGGTCTCAAGCTGTAAAGTCAAAAACTTTGAAATGATCTCAAGCAGTAAAATCATCGCCTTAAATGCACAAGTTTAGTAAGCAATCTACAAAATTTCTTACAGGGTTCACAACATTTATGCAGTGTAGGTTTGATATATGACGCTTTGAAAAATCATTATGATTCTTCAAACTCATGCATAAAGGTTAGATATTGAAACAGAAATCTTTCGAGAAAACTGAAAGACGGAAAGATAGAACGATAAAAAGTGACAATGTTGCTTTTACTCATAAAATACAGATATACCAGGATGTCAATACACGTCTGAAATGCCTACTTTCCTTTCAGCCATTTCGTCGAACACTTGATATGCATTTTCCACAGAGAAGAGATGATGATGACGTGGGGCAGTTTCAAGAATTCCTTTTTTGACTGGGGTAATTTAACACTTTTATTAATAAGGATACACTGTTCATACTAGTTTTGTTGTCTCTGTACTGTTTATCATATGATCCCTACAGTTTCGTTTATTATAATATGACCCTTAAAGTATTTCTATATAACATAATCATCCTTTAGTTTGGTTCATTTACAAATATTCCTTTTTTACTTCTGTTTCTTAAATGTGTACCCGTGGCAATCACAAACTTTGAACTCATTACAAACGGTTCATATACATACACATATACTTTGGACAAAAAAATGACAAAAAGCTCGAAACTCTTTTACACACACAAAACCTATCCGTAGATGAACCACACATTCAGACGTAACAATAATCTATATTACCAGTAAAAGGCCGCGTAAACAACGAAGACAGAAGTAAAAGGCACCTATACTTAGAAAAAACCGCCATGGCCACCGGTTTAAGCTTCTTTAAGCTCTCGTTCCTTCTCAGCCTCCTCTCCGGCGGATCAGACCTATTAGCTCCCGATGCCGAATCCGGAGTCGCCCAAATCGGGAAGTTCCCGCCGTCGTGTAACCGAATCGAATGCCCGAGCTACGAGCTGGTTCACTCTGGAAATGGATACGAAATTCGCCGGTACAACACCACCGTCTGGGTTTCCACTGAACCGATTCCAGATATCTCTCTCGTTGATGCTACAAGAACCGCTTTTTTCCAGTAAGTGCAAGTTGTGAAATTACGGTTTTAATCGGATAAAGATTGGATTTTTAATATTTTGTTGTGGTCAGATTGTTTGCATACATTCAGGGGAAGAACGAGTATCATCAGAAGATAGAAATGACTGCTCCGGTTATCTCTCAAGTCTCACCAAGCGATGGTCCCTTCTGTGAATCTTCCTTCACTGTATCTTTCTACGTTCCCAAACAGAACCAGCCTGATCCAGCTCCGGCGGAGAATCTCCGCATCCAGAAATGGAACCCTAGGTACGTGGCCGTGAGACAGTTCAGTGGATTCGTCTCCGATGATAGCATTGGAGAAGAAGCGGCGGCGCTAGACTCGAGCCTCAAAGGTACGGCTTGGGCTAATGCAATAGAGAAAAGCAAAGAAGACGGTGGTGTTGGGTCGGATTCAGCTTACACGGTGGCTCAGTATAACTCACCCTTCGAGTTCACGGGTCGGGTCAATGAGATTTGGTTACCGTTCGAGCTCGATGTTTAAGCTTTGTTTAGTGAAACCCTTTTTATATACATTTGAATAAAATAAGAGGTTAATCTGTAAAAGTGCAAACCTTTTTTCCGATTCAAATTCTGCAGAAACAGAGATAAAAAACAGGGGAATTTTTGATGAAATGAGATTGAACATTTGCCCTGATACCAAAGACAGAGATGATTAAAGACAAAAAAAATCTCAGGGCACTCGAGTTAAGTATCCCTAAAGAGATCTCTAAACATATTTAAAAATCAGGGAGGTTCAAAAACAGAATCCTCTCTAGTCTCTTCTACTTACTACCAGTAACTGTAAGTTCTATCCTGATCCTGACCATTGTTAAATTCTGGGTTAGTCTCGTAATTTACATACATACTCTGATCGTAATAATCATGGGACGGATACGGTGCTGGTGATGGACTTGGATATGGTGATGTTGATGAGTCCAGCACGACCGTGTTGTTGTGATTTGTTTCTTGCTCCACGAAATACCGGGTTTCGGGTTTGGTGCCTGAGAACATTCTGCAAGCGACGGTGTTATGTGGCGATGGCTCTACGTTGTGGTATAAGTTGTTGAAGATGGCGAAAGGAGAAGAAGGCTCTACGACGTGGCAAACATCTGTGTAGTCTATGGTGCTGAAAGAGTCTCTGGTTGATTCTGTGGTGAAAGAAGCTTCGTCTGAGCTTGTGAAGAGAGACCATTCGCTTGATGATGACTCTGTGTTCTTGTGTTCCGCTCTCGGTTTGAAGTGGTTAACCGGTTTCCTCTGTTCCTTCATCTCGTTTCTTGGTTGCGAATGATGAACCGGAGCTTTTCCGTTGTGTTCTCCTCTTTGAGGACGCGGATACGATCTGCAAAAATTGTATTTTCAGACTCCATCTCCCTCGAATGCAGAAAAACCATACAAGTTCGAAACCGGTATTTTATTTTCTTACCTCATGTAGAACAACATATAAGCTCCTTCTGACATAACTTGAGTCATTGGTACTCGATGAATCTGCAGACAACGAAATTTTCATATGTTCATAAACCGTTTGGCTTGTCGCATTAAGGAAGATGAGGATGAAAAACTAGTTTACCTCGGAATCATCGATTCTGTACCAATTCCCTCTCAAATCTTTGACATAGGAAATGTAATGACCCGAGAAAGATGCATTGAGAGTATCCAAGTGAACTATGACGGCGTAAAGCATATAAAGTGGAGGAACGTCTCCGGTTCTTGTCATGAAAGGAATCATGTCCAGCATTTCAGGAAAACTTATACATTTGTTTATTTTCCCGTATCTTCCTTCCTGCATACACAGTTTTAAAAGTATTTTCAAGTTTTTTTATAAAGACAACATTAACCAAAGAGTAAAAATCTGTAGTCATCATAACAAGTAATTGATACCTGGAATCGCTTAAGAACAATTGTGAGAATGTTTGGTGCTTCATGAATGCTCAATTCTTTCCTCGCTCTAACATATCCAGCGCACCTTTTTCAACACATTTTGCACAAAATTACAATTTGAGTTTCAATACCACAAAGGACAAGTAATTTGGTGTTTGGATCTAACCTGCTACATCGATACATGTTTTCTCCGTCGAGATCTTCCGGTCTCGTAAACTGAGTCAAGGCATCTTGAAGAGATTCTACCCAACCATATATCTCTAATGTGAGATCCATTATATTCTCGTATCTTTCTGATTCATGATCACACCTCAAGCATTTAACCTGGTTTTCCAGGAAAGACGGTGTCAAAAACAATGAATATGTGTAAAGTCAAAGTAGAGATAGATCAAAGTCAAAGGAGAATTAAACACCTTTGAGCGGAGACGTCCACCAAACATATGTTGAACTAAGGTTGTCTCTTGCAGCCTTGGATCCACTTTAGTCTCACCTCCAAGTCTCTCCAAACATATGGATTGCATAGAGGCAACTAAAAGCCTACATCAAAATCAAAAGAATATGGTAATTTCATGAGAAATCGACATAAACAGAGAAATATAATCACATTAAGTAGAAAGGATCCACATATATCTGAAAGGACTATGAAGAAAAACCTTAAGAACTCATGAGCATCTTCTTGACTCCCATCACCAATCTGACAATTTATACTACGCATGTGTGAGAGAATTCTGCTAGCAGAAAGTGGACCTCCGGATTCTCTTAGCATCATTACATGTTGCTCAAGTTCACACATAAGGCACCAATCTTTCCCAGAACCTATAGTGAAAGAATAACATAGTTTAGTCAGACGTAGTTAACTAAATCTGCAAAAATTTATGCTAAGAGATTAATTGGGAAAAAGCATTACATGATCTTGAATGTGATCGTCGAAGCAAATAAGCAACAAGTGGTTTTGTACATGTTAAGGACTGCAAGACAGCGTTTGCATAGCAACTGGGGAAGAAAGATGATAGTAAATTTAGAAAGCATATACACCGGTAAGGACAATTATACAAAATGGATCTTCCTATTACAAAAGCAATTCTTTTTTCTACAGTTAAACAGAATGAAAAGAAGTAATTGAGACAATACCTGTTTCCACAATTTACAAGGCCCCTAGGTGATAAGTCAAACACTTCACACTGAAAGAATTTAAGAAATTCCTCGTATGGAAAAAGCATCTGAGACATAAGAGTTATTGACTCAGAAAAGTAGGAAACAAAAGATACAAAATTGAATTAGTAAAGAGACGATAATATCACCAGGGAACTAACTTTCAGGTTCTTATGTCGATCTTCATGCTTTGTAGAATTTCTTAAACCCATCATCTTCATTATTCCCATCGTTGAGGAGATGCCATTGCTTTCTTCAGCGATGCCAGTATCCTTAGACCTAACAGTCTCTGGATTATAGATACAAACATGAGACACTCAACAAAAGAATTCTAAGGTCGAAGCAAAAGATCAGAGACGCTCACTTGATACTGCAGCGAGTTGCCCCTTCTTACTTGTCTCTGTGCATGACTGTTCGCCAGATTTGTTAACAACTGTTTTGGGCAGTGTAGCAGTTCTGGTTCCTATTTAATTCAATCCACATTAGAAGATGCACATATCAAACTGAATAAGCCTCAACTAGAGAAACTTTTATTAGCTTATGTTATGAATAGGCCTCACCGTTTGCAGGAAATTGTGTGTTTGGACAACCAAAAGAGCTTCTTACTCCCAAATTGTTTTCGTGTTTGTGACTTTCCTGCATACCACTTACAAAAGGTTGTCCATTCATTTGCACACAAGAGCTGTCAACAGAATGCCTTCTAGGATTTGTTTCCGCAGCATAACTGTTGCTTCTCGACTGCAAGCAAAATACCAGGTCTAAATTCAAGCACAGTGTTGACTTTTGACAAGAAAGCACAACAGCTTTACTTCTGTTGTTTAATACAGGGAGAAAATTAGTTCAAGAACTGCTTACCTTATGTTTAGTGTGACCCTTCTTGTTATCGCCACCAGCACAACCAGCTTCACCACGAGAAACTTCTTCAGAAGAATCAAACACAGCACTGTCTCTTCTAGATGATTCTCGGTTGGACTTGGAAGAATTATGTTTTCCTACGCTTTTCCTCCCTTGCGTGTTGATTTGTGGCGTAATATCAATCTGAGAGATACCCAAGCTTGCAACATCAACAGAGCTTTTTGAAGTCTTTCCCTTTGATGCCTGTGTAGTTTTGTTACTATACATTGTAGAATCCATGCCATGGTCATACAACACAGAATCTTTCTCGAAGGAATTCCTCTCAGATGAAGAAGAGCAAGTCTCCAGTGGGACACATTCATCTTTATGAGCTATCCTCCAGTGAATTATTTGGCACTTCCCAGAGCTACAAGCATTAAAAATCAAGACATTTATGGGTCAAAATGTCTGCAACTTTCATCCGCAAGAAAGTATCATCTATAAAGCTAAAAGTGGTAGAAAGAAAAACTAAGAAACGTATCTGAAATAAAAATGATGTGGAAACATACCAGTATCTAACAGATTTGCATCTCGAGCAACGTGTCTTAGCAGGACCAAAACACCTTGCACATACATGTAACTCATTATTATTGACAGGGGCCACAACTGGGACCCCACATGTAGCAGTCACGGAATCAGATCTCTGCACGGCTACATTCTCACTCACACCAGCGTCAAACTCTGCTCTTACAGCAGCACTCGCAGCAGAAACAGTCTTGGTCTTGGTTCTTTGAGCCCTATTCTCAGTAGCCACACTCTCAAATCTTACAGCCCTATTCGCATTAACCAGGGTCTCAGCTCTTAAAGCTTCTTCAGCTGCCATCTGAGCCAGCAAGTTAGCCCTTCCTCTTTTTTCAGAAATGTCACTCCATTTTCCTAATAATATGTAAGCTACCACAGGAAGTACAACCAAAACCAGGAACAATATTGGTATGTCCGCTCCCCTTGGTTCGAGCATGTCCCCAGACACGCATTCATGACCCGATTACAGCTCCTGAAAATCCCTTCAAACTACATAAATTCAGATACCATAATCACACTCCTGATATGTGCCAAGATCTATTTTCAGGTCCAGCTTGTGAAGCTACTGAATTACTGGAAGATGGATAGCCCTGCAATTAGAAATACCAATAGAATGAGTTCAGTTTTTACTCTCATTGTTCCATCATATAATAAACTAATACACAGATACAATAAAACTCAAGCTGTTTTTTTCAAGGAAAGCCCAATTGAATCTAGTCTAGGTTCATACTTTTTTTACAAAAGCAACAAGAAATATCTCTTTAAGCTCTCAAATCTAACAAGCCCCCAAAACTGGATAAAGCATCTCACTGACGAACCTATGTCGGCTAAATCCTCGATTCAAAGCAAAGTACTCGGAGATGAGTCCGAAAGATCCCAAATTTCAGACAGAAAAACAAATCCTTTTCCAAGGAACTGGTGAAAAACGCTCGCGATCCAACTACTAAACCCCAAATCCGTACAGACCTAAGCACATTATTCTACAGAGCAGCTCAAAAAGTTTACTCCAAAAAACTTCTCTAACCATAAAATCTGAGGTTAGTGAAAGCCTCCATTGCTCTCGAATCAAAGATTCCAGTACCCACAAACCCTTATTACAGAGTAGCTCAAGAACAAATTTTGACCACGATTAAAAACTAGTAAGACACAAGTCGTAAGAAAAAGGAAAGAGTCGAGCTTTAAGAATAAGAAATTTGGGGCATACCTTATTTAGCGAGCTGAATGAATGCAAAAGGAAGAAAAAACCCTAATTTTCTTGAGCCTTATCTTTTAGCTTCTCGTCTTGTTGAGCTCGGAAAAAGATGCTTTGATTCCTCGAATGGGTAAGAAGACACAAACAGTCTCTTTGTCTCTCTCTCTCTTTCTTCTTTCTAAAACACACTACTTTCTCTCTCCTCGTCCCGTGTTGCTTATGCTCTTCGTTTTCATACTCTGTCTCTCTCCGTCCTTCAGGATGCTGTTAAAATCAAATAAAAAAACTAATTAACCATAAAATAATAGACAGTAAACAATTAATATAATTTGAGGACAATGAGACAATACGGCTAATTTTGGGTAATAACCAAAATTTAGGTAGACATTTAATAAATTCCGTTTATCACCCGTAATTGATAAAATTATTTAATGTAGGTGATTATAACAGAAAGGAATTATATTACACCATAAAAATTAAACTAGTCTCATTGTCCTCAAATACTATGTCACATTAACAGTAGAATGTTTATGGGATTTTACCCTTGATACCTTTTTGACAGGAACATGTAAGTTTTAAAAAGTATGAAAATGACTGTTGACAAAATCTGTAACTATATCCGGTGGTAATAATGAAAATCGTCTAATAATTCATCTTACCTTTTCACTATTTTTATTTAAAACGTCACGTAGAATATCAGTAAAAATAATTCGAAAGCAATTATAAAAATCAGAAAGGTACTACTAAATAAGAAATCTGTTATTATCAAATCAAAAACGAATGGCAAAATACATTTTCTTTTATCAAATACAAAATACATTTTCTTACAAACAAATAGTAACAAATACTAGAAAAAAAGTTTTTAGAAGATTTTTTAAAACAATTTAGTAAGCAAGTTGATGAATAAATCAGTCAAGCTCATCGACGAACGTGGCATGATCTCGTAATAGACATTCGTCACGTGGCGTTTAGCTATTTGATCAAAACATGTCAGAAAAAGTGGGTCCCGCATTTTGTACGATTCATCTCAAAAGGTGATATCGAGTCTCACATCTCCAATCCTGACCGTTGGATTTAGACGACTTTCAATGAAAACTTTAGGTGGGTCCCGTGTTCTTAGGGTTGTACTGTCACCACCTTTCAGTTTCAGTGAACGCTGCACGAATTTTAACTTCAATTAGATGACTATTTACATTTCGATCCATAACTATTATATAATTCTATTTTAAGACACTTAAGTTTTTAAATTGCCAATCTTTCGCTCGTTAGAATTGTGAGGAGACGACTCCTGCTTCAATGGAGGAAGCTCACCAGCAAGAGTCGAGATCCGATGACTTAAGTCAACGGAGGAGCTACTGGAGATGGAGAAAGCAGGATTTTTTCCCGGAATTCTCTTTTCAGAGCTTCTCTACCTACAAATCAGCTCTCTCCGCCACTTGTCCTCGCCTCGCCGATCGTCTTCTCTCGCGTTCTTCCGACGCGTACGAGCTCGATGCAGCACGCCGCGAAAGCGAGAACCCAATGCGTCGTTGTCTCACGTGGTGGGACTTGCTCTGGCTTAGCTTTGGCTCTGTTGTTGGGTCTGGTGTGTTCGTGATCACGGGTCAGGAGGCTCGAAATGGAGCTGGTCCTGCCGTTGTTCTCTCTTACGCTATCTCTGGTGTCTCTGCTTTGCTCTCAGTTCTCTGTTATGCTGAGTTTGGAGTTGAGATTCCTGTCGCTGGAGGTTCTTTCTCTTATCTTAGGGTTGAATTGGGGGATTTTATTGCCTTTATTGCTGCTGGGAATATTCTTCTTGAGGCTATGGTTGGTGCTGCTGGATTAGGGAGGTCATGGTCTTCGTATCTAGCTAGTTTGGTCAAGAATGATTCTGATTATTTTCGGATTAAAGTCGATTCCTTTGCTAAAGGGTTTGATCTTTTGGATCCGGTTGCTGTTGCAGTGCTTTTAGTTGCTAATGGTATTGCCATGACTGGAACAAAGAGGACTTCTTGGTTGAATTTGATTACTTCCATGGTCACCGTTTGTATTATTGTGTTTATCGTCGTTGTGGGGTTTACTCATTCAAAAACCTCCAATTTGGTTCCTTTTTTCCCTTATGGGGCGAAAGGTGTGGTGCAATCTGCTGCAGTTGTCTACTGGTCATACACTGGGTTCGATATGGTGGCTAACATGGCTGAAGAAACCGAGAAACCTTCGAGAGATATACCAATTGGTTTGGTTGGTTCTATGTCTATGATCACCGTGGTTTACTGTTTGATGGCTTTGGCGTTGACTATGATGGTAAAATACACTGAAATTGATGCGAATGCAGCTTATTCTGTTGCTTTTACACAGATTGGGATGAAATGGGCTAAGTACTTGGTTGGTATATGCGCTTTAAAGGGCATGACCACAAGCCTGCTTGTTGGATCTCTTGGTCAAGCTCGGTACACCACTCAGATTGCTCGGTCTCATATGATTCCTCCATGGTTTGCTTTGGTTCATCCCAAAACAGGAACCCCTATTAATGCTACTCTCCTTGTAACCATACTCAGCGCAATAATCTCCTTTTTCACCAGCTTAGATGTTCTATCAAGCGTTTTCTCCTTCGCCACCCTCTTCATTTTCATGCTCGTGGCAGTAGCATTGCTTGTGAGACGTTACTACGTGAAGGATGTGACTCCTGAGACCGGTTTGTTGAAGTTTCTTGGTTTTCTGTTTCTGATCATTGCTTCTTCCATTGGAGTATCAGCGTTATGGAATGCAGGCGTTGGAGGATGGATCGCTTATGCAGTGACTGGAGTTTTATGGTTTATAGGCACTTTAGGATTGGCATTGCTTCCGAAATACCGTGTCCCTAAGGTTTGGGGAGTCCCGCTAGTTCCGTGGTTGCCATCGTTTTCAATCGCCATGAATCTTTTCCTTATCGGATCACTCGGTTATGTAGCATTCTTGAGATTCATCATCTGCACCATGGTGATGCTTTTGTACTACCTTTTCGTTGGTCTTCATGCAACCTATGATGTAGCACATCAGCCACTGGAAGAAGCAAAGTTTGAGGGAGAGAGATAAAAGAATCGATCGCAACACTTCACCACGGTTGGTAAATTGTATAAATTCCCATGTTTTCTTATGTAATCTCACTATTCTTGTATTAAATAATACTTAATTGTATCTTTTCACATCCATTATTTTTGTGTTTTCTCATTCTTTTCATTTTTCAATGTTGAAAGCTTGTTGAACTCTTTTGTATTTGTTTCTATCTTGGAAATAGGAATAAAATAAGGTGTTCTCACACCTTTATTTTGCTACTTTGAGTTCTCGTTTTTAGATTGTGCCTGTCCTTTTCGAAATTTCTAGAATTATTACGATCATAGCTTCTAATGAATCATGATCAAAGTTCTTCTTATCAAATGTCTCATCATCACACAATTTATTGGTAGAGAAAATAATCATTGTTCATTATGACCGAGCTACCGGTAACCCGAATGTACGACCCGGTTGACTTAACCCAAATTTGAAAAACAACCCAATAACTCAAGCCCAAGAGCCCATAACCCGATTTCTAATAGCGGTGCTTCACACAGTTATATTAAGGAGAAGCCGAGGTATAAAACCAAAGCGTAAAAATCATAACGAGAAATTTCCTTTTTCCTGTGATTTTTTGCCCAGAAGAAGAAGAAGAAGGTCGAGGAGGAAGAAGAAACAGGCGTCATGGGAGAACGGAAGGTGCTAAACAAGTATTATCCACCGGACTTCGATCCTTCGAAGCTTCAGCGGCTCCGGCGACCGAAGAACCAGCAGATCAAGGTTCGTATGATGCTTCCGATGAGTGTTCGATGCAGTACCTGCGGAAACTATATCTACAAGGGAACCAAGTTCAATTCCCGTAAAGAAGACGTCATTGGCGAGGTAATTCAATCTATTGATTTTGGTTTTATAATGTAATTGCTTTCTTCGGATGCTTTTGGGTAATATGTGTTCCTCTTAGCTTATAGTGTTGATGCGGATTATTAGGAGTGTCGTCTAATTTTTTTAGGGTTTCAGTTTTCGAGATTATTATCATCAGTTGTTGAATTGAAACTATTTTCGAAAACGATTCCAGATTTGGGGTTTTAGGGTTTCGAGAAATTGATCTGTTATGATAGAGAAGCTATCTTCTACTTCCTGTATAACTGAGTACCGTTACCTGGACGGCTCTTGAACCCTAGATATTGCTGATTTCGTTTTTGACCAAGAAGATGCCTTTCCATAATCTAGTTCAAACTGCTTGAATAGTTATTCTTCGTGGTGTTGTTTTTTGTGGCTTTTGTTCTAACCAAATTGCTTCTGGCTTTCTTTTGATTTGCAGACGTATCTCGGAATTCAAATATTCAGATTCTACTTCAAGTGCACCAAGTGCTCTGCAGAGCTGACTATGAAGACGGATCCACAAAATTCTGATTACATTGTCGAATCTGGGGCATCTCGTAATTATGAACCTTGGCGTGCAGAAGATGAGGTAAGGACTTTAGACATGTAGCTTTGAGGATTGTGTTTTTCCTGTGTGATATTGACGTATGCTTTTCTAGTTTACTAATTTACTATGTTTTTCTATTGTACAGGAGGTTGATAAGGATAAACAGAAAAGAGATGCCGAGGAGATGGGGGATGCGATGAAGTCCTTGGAGAACAGAACTTTGGATTCTAAAAGAGAAATGGACATTATAGCTGCACTTGATGAAATGAAATCAATGAAGGTATGACACAGATGCCTTTTGAATCTTAATGTTCAACTCTTAAGATGTTAATCTTTTTCATGCTTCGGTTACATGCTGGCATAAGTGCTTCTGTACTGATTTTCTTTTATTTTGATTTTTTGCAGTCTAGACATGCTACTGTGAGTGTAGATGCAATGTTGGAGGCCTTGCAAAGAACAGGCGCTGAGAAGGTATGCTCATGTTACTTGTTCATATATGTGGCGATTTGATATTGTCTTCACAGAATGCTGTTTTTAAGTTAAATAAGAAACAAAAATTCCAGCTTTTTACAAAAGTTGTCTGAACCATTGTTATGTTAAGTTATGTCGCTGACTGATGCAATATGGTTATTTTCTTTTTATTTTGACAGGTAAAACGTATAGAAGAAGAAGATGAAGCAGTTATAAAGTCGATATTTGGTGTAAGTGTTCATATCATTCTTGCGTAAATATTGGTTCTCCACATGACATCTAGCTTTGTTAAACTTCTTTCATATTTAGTGTTTCATCTGAAATGCAGAAACAGAAAGAAGTTATTAGGAGAATTGCAGATGAAGAAATTGATGATGATGATTATGATAGCGACGATTCTCCCAGCCTTCAGAAGGAGAAGAAAGGATCATCTTCAGATCTTTCAAAGGTTCCTCCATCAAAACATATATCTTTCAGATTCCCCTCATCTTATCATCATGTATCAGATTTTTTGGAATCAGGACTAACTATTAATTCTTTTAACTTTGATACAGAAGAGAAAGGCATCAGAAGAAAGTCCAAGCAACCCCACAGATATTTTGACTAGTTCTTCTACAGGTGGGTTTTCAATCTTTCTTTTCAAGTTTATCGACTTTGATTTCCTTTTTTTCGGTTGAATAACTTTTGACGGGTTTCTCCATTTTCGATCAGAAAATCCAAAGGAGCCCAAGAAACGAGCTACCAGCAAACAACCCTTCAAATCCGTTCACATAACAGTCATCAAGAAGCAATCTCAACCAACTTCTTCGACGACTCCAGCTCCTGCAAAACCAGAGGAGAAGAAGGGTGGCGATGCAGCTAACACCAGTTTAGCATCTTTATTCCAGAATTATGGTAGTGATGAAGACGAAGAGTGATTGTTTTTGTTCTCAACAAGTTCGCACTTTCACAGATCTCATATCACTGTTTTAGAATTCTAGCCATCTTTGTACTGTTCATATATGTGAGATCTTTCAGAATTTTTAGTTGAAAGTACAATGCATATTTCCAGAAATTTGTTCATGAAATTGTTTTTGCAGATAATAAACTGCAATTGATTTGGATTGATAGTTAGCTTCTGATGAAGCGGACCATTACAAAATCCTCCAGGTAAATACAGCAAAATGCAATGGTGAGCACACCATTTCTTGAATCACACTCCACACAATCCGTATCTCACTTTTGCCCTTTCTTCCTCCACAACTCACCAAACATCTTCATCCCAGAGCTCTTCCTCTTCCCACTTCCCAGTCCATCATCAGAATCATCAGCCATTCCCGGTGGTTCCATGAACCCAGCTGATGGGTCAAACAACCCACCTGCAAAATACTTCTCAGTTGACCCAGATCGATCCCGACCATTCATCTCAAACTCTCCAGAAAGAACTGCAGCTGCTGCATCCGCTGCTTTCCTCCACTGCTCGGTTTGAACCCTAAGCTTCTTCATCTCAGCCTCCAAAGCGTCTTTTGCTTCTTCCATGGACTCAAGCTTCTCCTTCAGGTGAGCCGTCTTTGCTCTGCTTTCTTCTAACTCTTCCCCAATCCTACTCACCTTTGTAGCCATCTCATCTTCATTAGCTTTCACATTGGACACCTCTGAAGCTGAATCGCTCAACTGATTCTTCAAGCTCTCGTTTTCTTTGCCTAGTGATTCATGTTCTTTCTCCATGTCATAGAGTCGAGCTTTCAGCATCTTTATCTCATCTTCCTTTGCAACCAATTTCTCAGCTTCTTCATTGCCGCTTCTCAGTTCTTCTTCTTCTACTGCAATCTTCTCAACAGGAACCTCGAACACATCAGTCTCTTTCTGCAAATCACCAGGGATTTCGTCTCTAGCCGGCTGGTTTGGTTTCTTGGACTTCTTATGAAGCTCATCTTGAGCTTGTTTCTTGACAGCTTCAGCATTAGCCAACTGCTCCTTGAGCAATCTCAGTTCCTCTTGCGCTTGTCCTAACTGCGACTCTAGATCCGATATTCGGCCCCCAAGTTTCTTCTGACCAAGCGGATCACTGTGAGGTCCACCGCTTCTAGGAGATCTACGGTCAACACCGGGCTTAAAACTCCGGTCCGTAGTGATCAGACGGTTGGGATGATTCGATTCAGAAGTAGACGACGATGACCTTAGCCTTGGGGCTTGCCTCTGAGACAACTCTGAAACTCTAGAGAAATACAAACAACAACAAAATTCTTAGCCACATCATTACTCATGTGAGAGAATGGAGATTATTGCTTAGTCAAAAAATTTTACCTTGGTCGTGGCATTTTGATTTTGTGTGGAGGATATAACACGAAGGTTTATGGAGTACTTATATAAATCTGAAACATAAACAAAATCAGTTGTCATTTATTATTGCAACAACCAACCAAAGCCATTGGACTCATGTCGGAAAATTCCGGAGAACTGAGATATGATTATAATCACGCGCCGCCAAAAGCGCGTGTGTATGAGTGAGAACAAAGTGACAGTAATCTTCAAACTTTCACCAAAATGAGGGAAAGAAGAAAACAAAACCAGAAACAGAGCATTTTCAAAGCTGGGTAAATTAGAAAACTTCATTTATATGTTCGTTTAAACTTTTCTAAGCAAGGATCCAACTAAAAAGAATTAAAACTTGCCTTACAGAAGAAGATGAGGTCTACTTTGCATTTGAAATCCAACAAGTGATTAAAGAGAATCTATAAGAAATGGTCAAGAGAGTGTGAGTGCATACGAAAAAGAAAGATTTGCGTTGGCTGATTGTGAGTTAATAATAGGAACAAGAACATAAAACCAGAAGAATTACCCAAAAATGAGCACAAAAGAAGAGAGAGAGTTGTAATGTAACGCATGTACCTTTTCGAAACAGACAGCTTTATTTGAAGACACTCTCACAATCCAAGAAGCCTCTACTAAAGAGAGAGAGAGAAAGAAATGGTTTTTATTTTTGAAGATTTGAAATAAAGCTGATCAAATTTAAAATCGAGGGACCATTGGGTAGGAGAAGGGCAAAAGTATAATTTTAAGTCTTGTAATAACGTCCACATATACACATGTAACCATGTTGTATATAAAAAGTCCGCATGTTTCTTTTTTTTATTGCAAACCTTTTTTTTGGGGTCAAAATATATATTGCAAACCATCTATATAAAATGATGTGAAAATGTAATTTTAATACAAGAGTGAATGTGAATTTCCCTATGTTATTTCTCAAATTAATAAGCATCATGTAAATTTTGTAGTTTTTGTGAGTATTCCCTAGATATATCAGTATATGTGCCTTTAATGAACAAATATAAAAATCATTGAAGTACAATTCAAAAGATCAGTAAGTAACAATATATGAGAATGTAATAATGTATACTATAAAGTTCAGGAATTAACACTAAAACCATCAATGTAGGATATATGATTTTATGTATATTTATTTTGTATATCCAGACAAATGCATATAAATGTGACATAATTAGTTTCTATAGTTTATCATAAATACACACACATGTATTTACCTAAATACATATCAATATTTCTGACACTCTTGTTTCTTTTTGTCGGTTTTGTACATATTTCAATTTACAAACCTTTATTTTATTATACACCTTCTCTAATTTCGACGTTTCTTTTTGTGATCTCCAACACGTCGAGAAACCAATTTGATGTTTCTTAAAGGAAAAATAATGAAAACGAGATTTCAAAATATATAAGTTTATATAACGAGCACTGAATCGCCGTTTAATATATTGATGGCATGGGTGTCCATATCAGTAAACAATTATTGTTAATTTATGTAGTATTTTTTAGCTAAATTGTCTATTTAATATTGTCACCAACTAATTTGGATTTCATGTTTTGGTCAATGTCATTAGTTACTACTATAGTTGTTGTACATCAATCAGTACATGGCTCTATCATTTGTTCAAATAATGCTTTCCGATATCACTCACCTTAAAATTCAGTTTCACGTACTTAAAAAATAGAGAAAAAAAAATAGTAGTACACTCCTGTTTAATGAAAATTGATTTTTAGTTTTTATGTACTCTATTTTAGTTAAAGTTAATAACATATTAAATTTTTTAAAACATTAGTGGAGGGTATATGATAAAAATAATCAATATTCATGAAACAAAGAGGATATAAAAAAACATAAATATAATTGTTTAATATGATAATTTCCCGTTTCGAACTACATGGGTTGATCAAAAATTAGTAATGCGACTTTCATAAATAATAGTACACACATTTACTTTTAGAGAAAACATATTTTTATTAGTTGTTGGAAATTAAATGTAAATGGACGCTCTAAAGTAAGAAAAAGGTGAAGTGTGTACTTATTAATATTCAAGAATCAAAGACAAAGGCATGTGAGTGGAGGAACTCTTAAGTAAATCCCTAAAAGGCTAAAAACCCTTAAACCCCAAAAGATGACCACCACTCTCACTCACACTTCAATTTATGTTCTCTCTTCTCATTTCATATCAAAGAGACCAAAGCATGTGTATCTTCATTTTTGTCGTCCTTTCTTGACATTTCCTCAACTACTAACTAACTATACTTTTACTCCTTTAGCAAATCCCCCAATCATCTATTCATCACAAACTCTTCCCAACTATAGCTTTCATTGATAAATACATGAATTGCTAAAATGGCAAAATCACTCCTCATTTATGCAAGGTTTTACCAATAATGAAATCTCACGGAATCACGATTTATACTCCATTGTTTTTAATTATATTCTTCATTTCATTCTTGTGCAATGTTACCATAACCAAACAACCAACCTTCTGTATAAGGAAATGAAAATCGTTTTGGTTTTTCCTATTGGCACATGTATGAAATGATCAACATACACCCTGAAAACTAACTAACAATCTAAAAAAACCATTCACTCACACTAACATAATATAAGCAAAGACTATATAACAACTTTGAAGCTTTCCTTTTTAACCTTTGGGAACTCTATTGCCATGTAACTTCCCTGGAAGTCTCACCGCCACTATCATCAGACATATCAGATCTTGTATAGCTAATTCCTGCTCCTTGAAGGTAATGGTTACTATCTTGTTCTATGGCATTGTAATGACTGTTGTTACAACTGTCTGGAACCATGTTTTGTGATGCAAGGTTAACGTTTTGATTGGAGGAAGATTCGCCAACCATTTGCTGGCGTTCAGCAAGGACAGCGATTGCACAAGCTAGCCCACCTGATGGAGATGATGATGACGGAATCGATGGTTCCTCATTATGATCTTTTTCTGAAATATCATCAGGTGATGTGTTTCTCTGAATTCCTGGTTCCTGATAAAGAAAGAAAAGAGTTAGGCTTATCGTATTCAGAAAAATACTATATACTTAAGAGTTTACTTATCGAACAAATTACCTGCATCGAGAGCCATATTGCTTCCATGACCATTATATCTTCAAGATCAAAGTCAAACTGACCGTCCCTGAAGAGTTTTCCAGATAACCACATAATTAGTCACCTGATATGAACCACTCAGATTCAAAGCTCTAACATGTTTTACCGTTGTGCAAATAAATTTAGACAGAAAAGGTATGATGTGAAAATGTAATACAATAACTGACTAATAAGAGACAACTTAAGTTCTCGAAGTATCAAAAAGAGAAAGGACTACTACAATGAAAGTTAACAGCTATATCGAGAAAATGATTGGTTCATACAACCTCATGGCAAGGACCAACATCTATAGTCATTTAGATCCATTTCTAGGAAAAATGCAAACCTTGTAACCTGAGGGTGCGATGGAAGACATGAGTCTTGAGATAAAACAATTTCCGCATCATCCTCTGCATAAAAATATGATTGAGATTGCGAACCAAGAAAAACAAAAATGGAAAGATACATGTTGAAACCGAGAGAAGAACTAACCTGCTGCAGAGCCATATTCTGTATCAAGAGTCGCTGCACTAGTGCTAGAACTAGAAGAAAACGATTCCAGACGTTTCTGCATTCTTTCTTCATCTTCTTCAACTTCCTTCTGCCTCATCCTTATTTTGGCTTCTATAACTTGCTGCTCTTCCTTCATAACACACACATACAGAGAACAATATGGGCAGAATCAGCCAGTAATTCCATCATATACTCTTTTAGAAAATACTGTTTAAGTCTGGCTTACAATTTGTTCAATGCTCTTCTCCTCTTTAGTTTTCCCTCCACGATACTCGACAGCATAATTGGATGTTTTGCAAAACGGGCATCTTACATTTGTTAAGGAGGACGCAAAATTAGAAAAATTCCATATGTAGAGAAGACCAAAAGCTTAATGCAAAAAAAGATACTGAGTAGGTTGAGCTGAATTAGGACTCTTCATCCGCAGAAAGCACTCTGTATAAAACCAAAAAACACAAAGTCCATGACTACACCGGATAAGAAACATTCTATAGTGAAGAGATGACTAACGAATACATTTCTTTACCTGTACAAATGCTTTTCATACAACATCTTGACCTATTAAGGCTCGGATAATACTAGAAAACACAATAACAAGAACAAAAAATTGCATGAGAGTTGGTCAATTTCATCTTATTGAATGAGGAATGAAGCAAGAAAGGAAAGACTTTTATGAAGCAAAAACAAACCAGAAAGCAAATAGGACATTCTTCAAGATCATGATGGGAGGAGGTTTCTTCAAGACCAGGATAACAAGGAGCAAGCTTAGAGTCTAAGATAAGTCTCTTAAGCTTTTTAACGTCGACATCTTTGCTCATGTATAAACCTTGTTGTGGTTTAGTGTATCTTTCGTCCACAATCTGTCTCTTCCTTCCCAGCTTATTACCCATTTCGTCTCTTTAATGCTCTATGCCTTCAAATTAAGATCATAGAGAGACATAATAAGAACACACATTCACAAATAGACATCAATTTTACTTTCTACAATTCACAAACGCAATTAAGAGCTTGTAGCAATCCAAAAAAGTTTCCTTTTACCGAAACTAACAAACAAAGATCAAAACCCTAAATTCCAACCGTTGATAAGAATCGAAGCAACGTATCTATTCAAACAGAACAAAATTTGCAAACCCTTGAATATAGTGAGTAATAAAGATAAAGGGTCAAAGAAGAAACCTTCGAGAAAAAATGGAGTAGAGAATTTGGAGGCAAAGAGAGAGAACGACTTAGATAACGAACGGTAAGAGAAGACAAAGATGAGAACTTTTCCTCTGTGAGAGAGAGAGATACAGTAATGTTGTTGAGTGTCTACGTATAATCGCAATTCGCAAAGATTCAAAAAGACAAGTTTCGTTATCTGAAAGATTTGTATGTTCTGCTTGATTACCTTTTCTCCGATTCTTTTTTGTTTGACGGAAAATTTAGCGAAAGATCCGACGAAGAAGAAAGAAACGGTGGAGTTGGTCGGATACGAAACAAATGAATCGTCACCTCTTTTGTTTTCACTCTTCCTCTACTTTATCCTCACGCGCCCCTCTCGCGCGTTACTTTCTCCACGCTTCTTTTTATTTTATTTTATTATCTTTTAAAAAGTTTGTTTCTATGAAAATGGGTAAAACTATCCTACAGAAATTAAACAGTAATAATAATAATAATTTCTGTAATAAATTAAAAAAATATGTTACATATACTTTTATTGATGAAAACAATAATATTCCAAAAAGTGGATGATATTTTCTTATATACATTAATGCATAAAGCAAAAAAAGAAGTTCACATTCTGAGTAAGGATCACTCGTGTTTTACATAGGCCTGAGATAATAAGATTAAACCCAATGGGCCTTAATAAACCAAATTATGAAAAAAGGAATTAAATAAAACAAATTATTACTCCAGTCAATTGTCTGACCAAAGATTATACAATTCGCCGACCGGAGGCATCTCCCTGAAAAAACTATCGAACTCCGTCGTCTCTACACCTCCTTCTGCTTCTTTTCCTACGCCGCGAAACCGCTGTGATGATTCTTTTCCACCGTAGCCTTGGCCGGAGAATTCAAAAGGACCGTCGGCGACGACTGCGTTTTTACCGGTGAGTTCTTGAACAACTGTCTTGAAGCTCCGAGCATCTGTCTGAACGTACTGTGTGTTAATGAAAACGACCTTCATCGGCTCAGATCTTACTCCTGCAGACATACTTTTGGTTATATGAATTTTTGTAGACAGTGATTTTTTTCTTTTGGTTTGCTCTGTTGAGTAGTTTACCTTTTGAATCTCTCCGATGTTTCTTGTATTTATATGTGTAGATAAATATATGGGGATATATATATACACGAAAACAAAAAAAAATCTAGAAACATTGAACTATAATATATAGGGAGATTGACACAAATAGCCCCAAAAAAGTTGTTTTTTTCCAAAAATAGCACCTCATTTGAAAAGTTCCACAAATAGCACCATAAACTTCAATTAAACTTAATGAAAATATAAAATAAAAAATAAAAAAGAGAGCAAACACTAATCTAATATTAAATTGAATCAAAATTGTTTTTAAATAGTGGAAATATATACCCTAATTTGGAAATAGGGAACCCAAATATAATACCACAAACTAATATTAAAAGAAAAAAATCTCTTTTAAATGGTGGAAATATATACCCTAAATTGGAAATAGGGAACCCAAATATAATACCATAAACTAATATTAAAATGAATCAAAATCTCTTTTAAATGGTGGAAATATATACCCTAAATTGGAAATAGAGAACCCAAATATAATATTTTAAATTTATTTCTAATTTATTTTGTTGTATAGCTTTTATATAAAAATTGTGGTATTATTGAAAAAAAAACTAGTGATAAAATTTTTAGAACAAAAACACTAATAGTAAGCTAACTAGTGCTATTTTTGGAAGTTTATGGAGTGTGTGCTATTATTGTCAATAAAACTTGTTTTAGGGCTATTTTTAGGAATTTCTCTAATATATATTTGTGGGGAAGACTGAACTTTGTCATTTTAGATTTTTTAAATATTTTTAGAAACATTGATTATCATGGGGACTCCTTGTGAACTATGGATAAGAGCAATTTTTTTTATTCCTATAGCATTTATATGTTCTAATATATATTGTTGTGGTATTCGAAAGAATTATTATTGTACAAGTCGAATGATAATCTCTTACTAATAAAAGGTGTTGTTTGAAGCTTCTCAGCCTATCCACATCAGCAAAGGCAAAAGCATTCTAAAATTTTGCCACGTCAGCCAAACTACAAAATTTTGTAACGAAAGAAAGCCACGTCAGCACTCCTTCTAAAGTAATTACGTTTCAGTGCCCATTCCAACATAAAAAAGAGAAATAAAATCCTTCACATTTACGACCTAGGTTAATCTCTTCGTCTCCTCTTTGCAAAATCTCATGATCATGTGTACATTTATTTACCCAAATAAATGCACTCCACGTTCTAACCCCTCTACTCCTATCTTAATCGTTTCGTTTCAGCTCTATCTATAAATAGATCGACAAATGACGATGAAGAATCACAGTCAAGCTTTACAAAAGCCGGCGAGAAACAGCGAGTAAGCCGTTGGTCGAGTTGTTGGTAGTGAGACAATGGTTGTAGAAACACTCATGGAGGTTATCCTCGCGATCATGGTTTTGGGTCTCTAGGTTGGCCATAAATCGTTTTTCAAACGGATCTAAAGGTTGGCTACTGCACTAGATAGTAAGTATACGCTTGATTATGTTCAGTGTCTTTCCTCTTCGATTTCTGTCATTATTCTTCTTAATACTTTTCTGTTCTTTTAATTGCAGGCTGCAGATGAGTGTGCATTCTTATATTTACAAACGAGGAATGTGTGATTGAGAGGTATGTGTGAACGATCATCAATCCAAATGAAAATTCTATGGACTTTTAGTTTCCTGTTATATATTGAGCGAAGCTTAGTAGCGATATATATTGTTCCATGAACTCTAATAAGACCTTTGAGTATTATAGCTTTAGTTGTTGGTGTTTGTTTGAACTACACGAAGACTAATTAAAATAAAGAATATTATCACAAATATAGTGCTTGTGAGTTGTGAGGTAAAAGGACTTCAGTATAATTGTTAACAATTTCAATCTTTACCAATATATGTAGAGCATGGATAAGTACAATTAATTGGCTCTGACTCGGACGTACGTCTTTGATAAGTGCGCAGTACCCGTTTTCACTGTCTTTTGCGGTGTCACAGCTTAAGAGTTCGTGATGTATTTTTTCCCTGTATGTATATCTTCTCAATTCATTATATTTTCGATTAAGAAAAAAAGTTTGTAAGCCAAGCAAGAATGTGGTAATGGGTATACGGTTCTTGAATTGCCAAATATCCAAAAATATATATATGACCTACTAAAGACATGATCGATCAAATGTTTGAAGAAGTTCTAAAGAAGCTAGGGTAGTTTTCATAATAATTTATATATATTCTAACATAATTTTATAAAGTTTTGAAATAAGACTTTTTGTATTTACGGTGTACAATGACTTATTTATCTCCCTCATCCCACCTATAATTTATCAATAATTTTCATATTTTTTGGTACAATGTTATGAATTATATTTCTAAAACTTATATTTTAGTCATATTTTTTGCGTAAAGACTTATTTTTAATTCCTAAAACTTTTACAAATGAAAACAAACTAATAATATATGAGAAGTTGCCTACATATATTCATCCACCGTTTAAATTTTAGTTTAATCAATGAAAACATTATAATTCAGAAACAATTGTCAAACATATCAGCAAAACAAAACATTTTAAAACCACTCCGCGTAGCGGGGGTATGACCTAGTTTTATTCTAGAAATTGCTTACGTATGGAGTTACGATCATATGCTTTCATGAATAAAGACTGATTATATACTGATGATATCAGGGAGTGGCTCACGTTTTCCACTTACTAAAGAAATTAGGCTCAACTAATTACGGGTTACATTATAAAAACTTTATTAGAGTTTGTAACGGCGGGGTCAACTGAAACTGGAGATTGTTACTTATTTCAAGAATTTCTATACACATGTGGGGTTTATTTTCTTGCTACGTTTCACCAATATTTTTAATTCATAATCGATAGACAAATCTGATAGTTTCTTTTGTACACAAGTTTGATAGATGTTTAGCACTTTCTATAGAGGACTCGAAAAATAATAATTATTTTGAGGTTCTTTGACTATAAAAGAAAATTATTTATGGTCTTTTTCAATTATTGTATTGGAATTTGACGTGATTCTTGTACGGGTGAGACAGGTTTGACCGTTAAACATTCAAGCAGCCTTGACGGACCAAATAATAAAATGGACTTTTGTTATTATTATGTGACCGTTATTAATATCGAAGAATCATATTATATACCGTTCAATGGGTCAAAGCACGCCTTATTTGATGGAATATTGGAATCACATCACCTCACGTGAAACCAGCCTTTAGATGCATACATATGCATAACCGGTTTTGATATATCTATAGAATCCTATACGAAAAACGAAAAATTGGAATCTATTTACTCAGTAATAAAAAGATGATTCCATAGCATTGTCCCAATTGATTTATATTTATTTTTATTTATATCATTGTATGTATATATGTACAGGATGTTTCGATTTTTTTTATTATATATTCTTTGATATATGTATATAAGTTTGTGTGTTTTAAAATTATATGCAACTAAAAGTAACTGTGATCAGAGTCTAGTAGTTAAATTTATTAACTGTAATATATATAGTAGTGTTTTTCTTTATTGCGTTGATGTAATTTGTGCATGATTTTAAGAGTATTTGATACAACTAATCTCACAAGATCCAGAACCCAAAGACAAATAAAATATATGAATTCTTTTCTCGTAGTATGAAGATTTTAGAAAGAAATTCTTTTTTTACCCAAAATTGGTATAACAAGAATCACATTTTTTTAGCAGATTTCTTAGCATAGTTCCTTAAGATATATTTCTTTAAATAGACCAAATCATATCTTTAAAAGCATTAATTAAAAAAAAATACATTTGTTTGTTATTTCAAATATTCAAAAAAGAGAGAAAGACATAGAAGCATGCAGTACCAAAAGAAGAAGATGGAGTGCATTGATTTTGTGTTTATGGCTTTTTGTTTGCCTCTCTTGTTCAACGCCGTCACAACAAGTCGCCCGATCACTGGACCAAAAGTATTCGACGTTCGAAGATATGGTGCTAAAGGTGACGGTAAAACGGATAACACCAATGTAAATGACATTTTCTGCTTTCTTTAACTAAATATTTTTTTTTTTTTTGCTAATCTTTAACTAAATATTCTTTCTCAATTTCTTCATCTATTGTATTCCCCAAAGAATGTCGATTGATTCAATTAAAAAACGTAGGAATAAACCTTTTTCACAAAAATTAACGGGCTATTTACGTGTTTTTAGTATATTGGATTAAAAACCATTTCAATTTAACAACATGTTTTCTCTATTTAGTATAATGAAATAATAATTTTTATTTTTTTGAAATAATTTTTATTTATTCGAAGGGTGTATGTTCTTTTGTGTGTGTGCGTGACCAAAAAGTTTTGAATCTTATAAATTACATAGAGTTTTTGTCTTATAAATAATCTACCTTGTTTGGTAACGTATCATATAAGGCGTTCACAAATGCATGGAAAGATGCATGCACATGGAATGGACCAAGCAAAATGTATATACCGATAGGAAGATTCTATCTTGGTGGTGTAACGTTTGGAGGACCATGTAACGGTAAGATCTCGTTTGTCATCGATGGAACTTTGTTGGCTCCTCCGAACAACGACGACATTAAAAAGGAAACGTGGATCAACTTCCGCTACATCGACTATCTCACGGTCTCCGGGGGTGGCACCGTCGACGGCCAAGGAAAAAGGTCTTGGTCACTAAATGACTGTCACAAGAACAATAATTGTCCTACACTTGCTATAGTACGTACGCTTTCTTGAACTTTCTTTCTATGTCTTTCATATATAAAACATCTTGAAGAATAAAATTGATTTTTAATCATATTTTCATGGTGTTTGGATACCATTTGCAGAACATGGGGTTCGATTTCGTAAAAAAGTCAAGAATGAATGGGATAACATCACTCAACAGCAAAGCAGGACACTTAAATTTCTTCTCCGTTGACCACTTCGACATTACCGGAGTCAACCTGAAAGCTCCCGGCAATAGTCCCAACACTGACGGGATCAAAATAGCTTTATCAAGTAACATGCAAATCTCAAACACTCACATCAGCACCGGAGACGATTGTATCGCAATGCTCTCTGGAAACACAAATTTTGATATCTATAATGTCACGTGCGGACCAGGACATGGGATTAGTATTGGAAGCTTAGGGAAAAACAAAGACGAGAAGAATGTTAAGGGTTTAACGGTTAGAGATTCGGTCTTCACTGGTACGACCAACGGTATACGGATCAAGACATGGGAATCTTCAGCTTCAACCATCGTAATTTCCAATCTCGTGTATAAGAATCTACAGATGATAGATGTTGAAAGTCCTATCAACATTGATCAGAAGTATTGTCCTTACCCGCCCTGCAATAAATTGGTAACTTACTATGCAAGAACAAACTTCTCTCTTCTTAAAATCTTAATCGACTTTAATTAACAGGTTACATCATGTTTTTTGCAGGGAGATTCTCACATTCAGATCCAAAACGTGACATTAAAGAACATTTGGGGAACGTCAAGGAACAAAGTGGCTGTGAAATTTCAATGTAGCAAAAGCTTTCCTTGCAAAGATGTTCAATTAATTGACATTAACTTAACGCACAATGGAGTCGACGGCCCCGCAATTGCGTTGTGTGATAACGTTGAAGGATCTGCTACTGGCAGGATGGTTCCTCCGCATTGTATAAATTGATCCAGTCCAAACATGTTTTTTTTTTTTTTTTTTAAGATATAAATAACATTAATTGTCATTTTTTTTTTATGTATTTGATATCTTCGTGATTGGTGTGTATGCTTCTCTTTGATAATTATGGTGAGATCCAGAAGGCAGAAAGTAGATTTAACTAGAAAAATAATTTTCAAAATAATCTTCATGTATGGTCTGCTCTGTTTAATAGTACTATTACTCTTGAGAAAGGAAAAAAGGATGTCCTATTGTGATAAACAGATAGACTAATGAGTGGCGTTGCTTTTCACATTTTCTACAAAAGCTCCAAGATCCTTGCACTGGCTCGTAACTCTTATCAATTTTAGATCAGAATTTCATTACTACAAATTATTATGATATATATAATCTTAATTCAGACAACCTAAAAGGAAGTGGTGTTCAAAGAGACGGAGACTACATAGGACAATCGTTGATTTGGTGTAGCTAATGAAACCGCTGAATGCCTTCGCGTGCTTCAACCTCTCCGAAAAGAGTATCGGTTTTAGATACTAGATTTAAGGAGCTTCAAGACAGATGTTCGGTCGGGCATGCTCGGTATTGCACCCTTTACTTGGACACAAAGAGAGGCAGCTGCAGCTGCAGACACCGGAAGAAAGAAGATAGAGAACCAAAAGTGAGACAAAACTAATCTGAATTATGCGTTAAGAAACCAGATATTTTGGAGTTTGTCACTAATGATTACCAGCAAATCTCAAGCATTCCTCATGTGACTTGCCCTCTACCATAGCCACTGCAAATGCTGCTGTGAAAGTATCCCCAGCTCCTGTAGTATCGACCACTTGTGCAGCGGGTATTATAGACTGCTGGATTGGTTTTTCCCCTTCTATGAATAGTGCAGATCCTTTGGACCCGAGTTTCACTAGGACTTGCTTAACTCCCTGAGGAAAACATAGCTTAAACCTTATAAACCCAAAAGAGCCACTAAACCAGCATTTTCAAAGAGTTCAGTTGCAGCAAGGATTAGCCAAAATTCGGAGTCTTATGTATTAGTAATGTGCAAAAAAGGGACTTACCAACTTATGGCACTTTGCAACAGCTTGGCTAATCTGTTCAAAAGTTTCAGTTGGCATTCCGGTCAAGCGACTGAGCTCAGTTTCATTCGGACTCAAGATGTCAACGGAATCCAATAGCTCATTCGGTATTGGCGTATCCATTCCTCCAACATCAAGGATGACCGGAACACCTGCTTTCTTCACAGCCTGTAAAACACCCACCAGCAACCTAAGTTTCTTCGAGAAATAGCTGTCCCATCAAGATGATCCAAGCATATGATCCTATTCCTAAAACTACACCAACTCTCACTGAAGTAACTCAAAATTGAAATTTTGAAAAAAGTAAAAAAATTGACCTTAGCAACTTGAATATTGATGGAATCTGGGATCTCCCTTTGAAGCAGCACAATACCAGCATTCCTCACAATCTCAAGATCATCATCAGTCATCTTCTCAGGCCAAGCTTTCATATTTGCACCACCAACGATAATGATCGAATTCTGACCGTCGGATTGAAGCATCACCACCGCGTGTCCCGTCGGCTCATCATTCACCGATCTCACGTAATCCAAGTGAACACCACAGCCATCGCCCAACGCCTCAGCTATAAGCTTCCCGTGGGCGTCCTCTCCCAAACGACCAACGAAGTAAGTCGGATAAAGCAGCTTCGCTCCACACGCAGCCTGATTCGCGCCTTTTCCGCCGGCGAGGGTTTGCCCTGTCTTGGCCGAAATCGTTTCGCCTTCCTTGGGTAATCTCTCGATCTCCACATAGATATCGGCGTTAGCAGATCCCACAACCACCAGAGGCGGCGCGTGTGCTGATTTAGCATTCCGATTTGCCGATGGATCGACGGAGAGTGAGAGAACACGGAGGGATCTTCGGGAAAGAGGGCGGGAAAATCGAGATTGGGTTTGATTTGGAATCACAGTGGTGATCTGAAGATGCGGTCGATTGAATTCGATGTTTGGATTAAAATTGATCGATTGAGAAAGTGAAATCCCTTTCATCATCATCATCGTTATATGCTTTTTGGTCGATATTCAACGATTGATTTTTGACTTTTGTGAAATAACTCTGTTATGTCAGAAACTCGGAACCAAGAACTAAACATATCTTTTGTCCAATAATTAAAAAAAAAAGAACTAAACATATCAAACCCAAAAAAAAAACATGTCAAAGAAAAATGTCATGTAAATTAACAGAATATACATGTTTGTTTGCTAATAATTACTATTAAATTTTTAATATTGATTATGAATAAAGTAAGTTAAAAAAAATATGTTTAAGTTTGCTCACTTCACTCAACCAAGTTTCGTGAAATATATAGAGTAATTTTTTAACCAAAATAACTAAATGATTAAAACCATTTTTTCTCTCATATCTCAACAATCTTCTCAAAAAAATATTAATATTGTGTTCTTGTGTTTTTAAATCAAACAATATCTTAAATATATGTAGGAAATTAATTTCTCTCTTTATTAAACCTCTTTTCAAATTCATAATCTTTTACTCTGAAGACTTATGTTCTTGATTGGATATAGTATGTTTAGCTTTAGAAACTTATCTATTTTCTTAACAGTCTGTAGACTTTTTTGTTCTTTAACACCTGAAAGTCTGTAGACTTATGTTCTTGTATGTTCTTTTCAAATCTTTTATCCATTTAACTTGTTTTTTTTATCGTCCGGCTTAGTTTGCTGGATTTTGTGACCGGCCGAGGTCCGGTATCACAGTCAGTTTAACCGTTAATACGACTTTTCTGTTGTCGTGTTTTTGCCGTCAACATAACTTTTTCGTTGTCGTGTTCTTGCCGTCCGGTATAGTTTCCGGCTTCCATCTCCGGTGTAGCTACGGTATCTCTATTACCATAGCCTTTTGTTAGTTGCTTTTCGTTGTCGTAGATCGCTTTCTTGCGATTCTATTTCTGATAGATCTAAGTTGAAGATGCACCATCTTTTGATGGATCGATCAATTTAGTATATCTAATTTGCGGCAAAAGGTTATTTGAATAAATGAGTTTCGTAAAGCAAATATCAAATAGAGAAAGATGATGAATTTTTTGGGGTTTCGACCATGTCCTTTTGGTGGACGGTGTGAATTCAGCTTCCATGAGAAATCTCCGGTAGCTTTCTCTGGCGGTCCAATGGTTTCACTAGTTTTCCGGCGGATTCTCGAAGTGCTCATCATCGTTCCGGTTATCGTCATCCTACGAACAAGATGTAGACACGTGGCTTTCCTCCTTCAATGGGTTATCTTGTTTTGTTTGGGTTGAAGTGTCTGGTGACACGTGGACTTAAAGAATACTTGCTTTATGTGCTGGCTCGTAATGTTTATAATTTTGTTATCAAGCTTTTAGTAATGAAGTTCAGGTTTTATCACTTTTTAGTTCTAAGTTTGGCGGTTGGATGGGTCACAGTTTGAAGATTTCCATGATGTCTTCAAAAGATTCTACTACTAATCTATGTTCTGCTGATACGATGGTGTGCAAGAAGCTGTCATGACATATGCATAAGATGGAAGCTATAAGATCAGACTCGAAACTTGGTTTTCGTTTCTCTGTTCTTATTGGAGAGTCATGATGTTTTGCTTTAACCAAATGCTACCATGTTAGAGCCTTCTCTTTAGTAGCTGAATGTTGTACCCTTCTCTGTATTTCTATGTTTGTAAAGTTAGGTATGTGTTGTATCTCTTGTACTTGTACTTGCCTCTCCAAAATGGATTCCCATTGATGGATGATGCGTTTGTCTAATATATATAAATCACTTTCTGAAAGAAAAAAAAAAAAAACTTATCGTCAACCTCTATTTTCAAGTTTTTTCATTTCACTCAAATTTTCTGAAACAAAAACACCATTCTTCTTAAGATAATCAATCGATTTAACTCATTCATCTTTCAAGTTGCGGTAGTTTTCTACAACCTCATCGAATAATATATCCAATCCATACTTCATAGTAAATTCAGTTTTATATTCGCTACTGTATTCTTAAACCTGTGAATTAGTTGTAAAATTAAACCGAAATGAACATCCACTGATTTAAACTTGTTAAAATAGCTACATAAAAGTGTAAGTTGCTGACCAGAACAAGAAAACAAATCATCTTTTAAGTGTCCACCGTCAAAAGCATGCTGACGCAGGCAGTGGCCTAAGCAACTAACGAGAATCTTTTTTTCTTTGAAAGCAACTAACGAAAATCTTTTTATTATTTATACGTAGATTAATTAGCCTACAACTCTCATTTCTCACAAAAATGTTCTTGGGGAAAATAATAATAAATTGTCCAAAGTAAATAAAATTATTTGTATTAAACAAAAAAATATTTGAACATTACCAAAAAAAACTGAATAAACTGAACAAGAACCTAAAAATAATTTTATTCACAAAACTCACTCTCACAGTATATTACGAGTAACACCCAAGGAAAATGATGTAATCAAGTGCGCCAAAGGGAAAGAAAGAAAACAATCCGACTTGTAGTATACAAACAACGAACAACAACTATTACTCACTCCGTATTTTAATAATTGTCGTTTTAGAATTTTTATTTTTTTGAATTGGATGTCGTTTTCAAATTTCTATGCAAAATTTATTACTTTTTAATGTTTTATGACATCATAAAACATTAAAAAGTAAGAAATTTTGCATTGAAATTTGAAAACGACATCTAATTTTTAAAAAAATAAAATCCTAAAACGACAATTATTAAAATACGGAGGGAGTATTAATTTAATACAACTTTTTGACTCTAAGAGCAAGCAAAATGCGATTCAACAACTATTATTATTATTTTTATTATTTTTTTATTTTTTAATTATTAATATATATTAATCAATCCCAATTGGGCAAAACCCCTATAAATTACCAAGCATGTTTTCTCTTCATGACACATTCAGACTCAAAACAACGAACGAGAGTAAGAAAAAGGTCTTAGTGAGCTTAATCAAGAACAACAATGGCAGAGGAGGTGATTCTTCTGGATTTCTGGGCAAGTATGTTTGGCATGAGGACAAGAATTGCTCTGTCGGAGAAAAGAGTCAAATACGATTACAGAAAAGAAGATTTATGGAATAAGAGCTCCTTGCTCCTCGAGATGAACCCGGTTCATAAGAAAATCCCGGTTCTTATCCACAATGGTAAACCGGTTTGTGAATCTCTCATTCAGATCGAGTACATAGACGAGACTTGGCCTGACAAAAACTCTCTCCTTCCCTCCGATCCTTACAAGAGAGCTCATGCCAAATTCTGGGCCGACTTCATCGACAAAAAGGTAGAAATTCTACGGTTTGGTTTCGGTTAAAGTATTTTGGATTGGTTTGGTTCGGTTTTGTCCGCTAGAGTCTCTTGTGTGTAACTTTTTTTACCAATGGATCAGGTGAATGTTACGGCGAGGAGGATTTGGGCGGCCAAAGGTGAGGAACAAGAAGCAGCCAAGGAGTTCATCGAAATACTCAAGACGCTAGAGTCCGAGCTTGGAGACAAAAAATACTTTGGAGACGAAACGTTCGGGTATGTGGATATAGCTCTCATTGGATTCTATAGCTGGTTTGGAGTATACGAGAAGTTTGGGAATATCAGTATCGAATCAGAGTGTTCGAAATTGATTGCGTGGGCCAAAAGGTGTTTGGAGAGAGAGAGCGTCGCTAATGCCTTGCCTGAGTCAGAGAAGGTCGCTACGTTCGTTTCCGACTGTAGGAAGAAACTTGGGTTGGAGTAAATCTCTTCTTTGTTATGTTCTATGTTCTGTGATTACTTTGTTCTATTTTCTTTGAGGTCTATGTATGCATAATAATACCAAGTTGTGAGATTATATTTCCATGTATTTGTATCCCGTTTATGTAAACTCGAGTTCAATAAACTTCGTTGTGTTGTTTATTCAATGGAGAATTGTTGGTACAGTACATTCTGGTGCCATAAACGGCACTTGCTTAAATATGATAAAGATTAAATTCGTTGATTCAAAGAATAACCGCACATGTGAACAAGATTTGATGATCGTGATTCAAAGAATACCGATAATCAAAAATATGATTTAACTTATTTAAATAAGCAAGGAGAAGTGCTAGACCTACCGAAAAGAAGAAGATAAAAATGAAACAAATTAACTAATTGAAACTAAACCCATTAACAAACACCGAGTGAGAACTTTTTAACCAGATACATCTAAAAATCGTCAGATAGTGTTTTGCCCAAAGATACGTCATTTAATCATTTGAATTTTGAAGTATTGGAAAAAAATTGGAAAACTTTTATAGGGTACTATATAGTATATACCATGCAAACTCATTCTACACCGTTTATTTTATTTTTGTCGTTTGATTTGCTTGTTCTTTAATTTATCAGATCCACAAAAAATACAAGAATGAGGACAATGGGAAATGGATGCCAAGTAGGTAAGTACATATAATGATATATGTATATTGATTAATTTGATTCTGTTTCAGACAGCTAAAATTTGATTGCTTTTTTTTTTTTTTTTTGTGTGTCATCCTCAAAGTAACTAAGAGCATGATTATAGGTAGGCTCTTAGAGCATCTTTATCGGCAGTTCCTTAACATAAATCTTAGGGATTATATAATTAAAATTAAATGAGAAATGAGAGTTAAACTTAAGGAACGTTCCTTAGTTAAGGAATGTTTATTCACCTAAGAGACGTGCACGTGTCATTCAAAGAGGAGTGGGGCTTGATAAAAACAAGAGTAATGAAAAAATTTGCCCGTTTGCGAAGAAAGACATAATCCAATTGGTGGTTTCAGGGATTGAATCTTGTTCTTGGATTACGAATTTGGTTCTTGAGATCACGGCGGCGAAACATACCGGGAAATAGGCGTGTCCTTCGGTGCCGATGACGATTTGGGGTTTAAATTCACGGAGGATTTTGTAGGATTCGAAAGTGGATTGAATTAAGCGGAGAGGGAATTTGAGGAAAGAGGTGAAACAGAGGAATGGTCGGGACGATGATGATCCGACGATGGAGATGGCTGAGAAATCGAATCCGGTGGAAGGAACCTTCGTGCTCTCCATACTGTTTGGGAATCCGATGAAGAGGATCCGAGCAAGTATCTTGATTTGTGGGTACTGAATTTGTGCTTGACACTCATCTGATTTAGAATTGAGATAGGATCTAGTATCTTGATTTGGGTCTTTCTTCTTTGTTTCAGATAGAGGATTGTTGAAGACCATGGAGGAAGAGTTTTCTCGTCCACCGATTAATGTGAGAATATGATAAAGGTTTCTCTTTTCCTCAATTGTGTTGGAGTGATTATGCTTTGATATGTCTCATGATTGTGATCATGTTTCTCTTGAAACTCTCAGTTGTGTATCAGTGTTACTCAATCTATAATCATGTTATCTAGTGAATATTTTTGCTTTTGACTTAGGATGTTCTTAGATTTGTGGTCATGGATTCGTTAAAGAGTCCAACATTGATTCCTCAGTTAAAGGATGAATTTTTCTCTCTGTTCGTATGTTTAGCTTGGTCTAGAGTAATGAGTCTTATAGAGACATCTTATGGTTAGATTTGGTCCAATTATATAGTTTAATCATGGGCTGCTGTGTAGCTGCTGTCAAAAGATGGCTTCTTGGAGTCTTTGGCTAGTATGATCTTGACTAACCTATGGCTTTTTCATATTCTTGGAGTTTTTGGTCTGCTGGAATGTTTTTTTTACTGAGCTTTGCCCATGAAATGGCTAAAAGATTTTATATTTGATCTTGTTAGCTCAGTTAAAATTTTTGGTGAGATTATTGATTACTGGGTTGCTATTTTACTGCATATTTAGCCTCTAATCTGTGCTGATGTGATGGGATTATTGCGTACAGTTGAATGCCTTGCAATGCTCAGCTATATGTAATCTTTGGCTTGCCTGTGCGTGTCTTATAACAGCATGATGATCTTCCTAGTGATGCAAAAGGTGACAGAAGACCAACTTCTGGTACTTCTCCCCAAATTATCTCACCTTTCCTTTTCCTCATTCCATAACCTTTAAAAGAATTGCTAAGTCTTATGAACTTGATTACTTGCTTTGAAATGTTTGAAGAGAGAGGATCGTGGAGAAGTTCAAGAGATCAGAGTAACCGAAGTGGTGGAGATGATGACAAATCACAGCATCGTAAAGATGAAGATAAAAGCTCGTGGCGACATGACAAATCACTAACAATGTCTTAAAAAAACTTGTGGTGATAAGAATGCGAGTGAAATCATGTCTATGGTGCTTGGAGATTTGTTCAAGTGCTCTGTTTTGTGTGAATGGCAAAACATAATCAGTTAATGGCTTTGTATCTCATTATGTTTTAATTTTTTTTAATTTGCAACAATTATTAAATTTTCTATAATTATAAATTTTATTTTTATATTAATATTTATTTTTCTAAGAACCACATGTTAAGAGCCTACCATTAATCACACAAAAATCTTAACTCAAAAATACTATCTCTTAACAATCACTTTTACAAATAAATTACTTAAATATTGCTAAGATTAATTTCTAAGAGACCACCTATAATCATGCTCTTAGAAATAACTCTTAGCAATATTTAAGTAATTTATTTGTAAAAGTGATTGTTAAGAGATAGTATTTTTGAGTTAAGATTTTTGTGTGATTAATGGTAGGCTCTTAACATGTGGTTCTTAAATATTAAATTTTTGAAAATTATTTTAGTGTAAATGTATGGAATTGGTTTATGAAAAAAGTTTAAGTGTATGAAATTTGTGTTTAAGTTAAAGAGATATGAATATAATTTTAGTTAAAACTCATAAACCATAAAAAATTTATTCATCTCTTTGCCTTCAGTTTACATATCAAAGACAAATGTCCTCCATCTTTTAAATCAAATCTATATTATCTCTGTTACATCAACACAAAAACTCAAAATTGCATTTTGTTTACTCGAAGAACAAGCACTTTTACTAATGTTTGTCAAGTTCCAAAACGTTGTCACCGCAGAGCCGGCCAAGATCTTCTTGTGTGAGCAGACTCCCCATGCTTCACCTATTCTTGTTTTCATTCTTTCAACTGCACACATGAAACTCAAACGCACCAATTTGGGTTTATCACATTCTCATTGTCTCGTGAGGTAGGTTCATTAGCTGCATCAAAACATACCAAAACCAAAACCTTAAAGCCAAATAACAAAACTCCATAAAAATCCAAATAAACCAATATGATCAAACAAAGCATACATGACAAGATTCTTTGAAGCGTAGAACGTGCTTCCTTCCACGCAGGCCGTCCCATAGGCTGTAAACAGAGCACAGAAATTAAAAATTATTAACATCACTCTGAGACCAACCGTCGTAAGAGACGAGCAAGCTGTAAGAAGAGAAGGAAATGTGAAAACGGAAGTCCACAAAGGAGAAGAACCATCATGCTTATGCTTAGTGTATAAATGCAGATATCCTCCATCTCTCTATTACATCAATTCGATATTTTAAATTGCACACAAAGTACATACACTAGAGTTTCTTTGATCCTTGGCACTTCACTAGATGTTACATTGAGAGATTGTTGAGAAATGTGAGAAAAATATAAAACTTTCAATTATTACCGTAAAGGGAGACAAAACCCTGAAACAATCTAAAGCTGGAATCAACGATTTGCTTAACAGAACCGTGGATGATTGAAGACAAAGTAGGTCCAGCACCAAGAGTGCTTCCATGGAAACAGAGCAAACTCTTCCTCCATGGTCTTCAACAATCCTCTTATCTGAAACAAAGAAGAAATACCCAAATCAAGATACTAGATCCTATCTCAATTCTAAATCAGATGAGTGTCAAGCACAAATTCAGTACCCACAAATCAAGATACTTGCTCGGATCCTCTTCATCGGATTCCCAAACAGTATGGAGAGCACGAAGGTTCCTTCCACCGGATTCGATTTCTCAGCCATCTCCACCGTCGGATCATCATCGTCCCGACCATTCCTCTGTTTCACCTCTTTCCTCAAATTCCCTCTCCACTTAATTCAATCCACTTTCGAATCCTACAAAATCCTCCGTGAATTTAAACCCCAAATCGTCGTCGGCACCGGAGGACACGCCTCTTTCCCGGTATGTTTCGCTGCCGTGATCTCAAGAACCAAATTCGTAATCCAAGAACAAGATTCAATCCCTGGAACCACCAATTGGATTCTCTCTTTCTTCTCCGACACAATCTGGCAAATTTTTTCATTACTCATGTTTTATCAAGCCCCACTCCTCTTTGAATGACACGTGCCCGTCTCTTAGGTGAATAAACGTTTGTTAGTTTAAAACAAGCTTTCTCATTTATTTTAATTCAACAATAGAGTTAAGATTTGTCTAAGAACCCCCCTATAATCCTGCTCTAACAGAGCCCCGACCAAAGAAAAGTATAACCAATACAAAGTTGGAAAAAATAGAGTACGATGACGTAAGCAGTGGCATAATCAATTCAACTGTGAATCATGTGGTCATTGGTCAATGTCTTGAATCGGAAAAACATTAATAAATGAGTAGTTCGACTAAAATAATTTTATACTACCGTTACCAATCTCTAGGTAAGCATCTGATTTTAAAAATTCTGAAATATTTTGTTTGAAACCAAAAAAAAGAAGTATTAGAAAGAAACTTTACACAAGAAGAACTCAGCATGAATTTTATCATATTAAATACAAACCTCTTGATATACTCATATTCAATAACACAAAGTATTGAAACTAAATTAATCTCTGACTTTTAAAGTAAAGCTAATGAAAAGAAAATGTTCAATCAAAAGTTTATTATCTCTTCATATTAAAATGCTTTAATGGGATTTAATTAGATATTAGTGTAATGGGCACATTAATGCATTTCTGACTTTAGCGGCAAGCAAAATACGATTTCTTTTGTAGTTTGAGTTTCTCCTCTATAAATTTACCAAAATTAACCTTGTTCTCTTCACCATATACTTAGACACAAAACAAAACAAAAAAAATTATCTTCGTGAGCTTAAATCAAGAACAACAATGGCAGACGAGGTGATTCTTCTTGATTTCTGGCCGAGCATGTTTGGAATGAGGACGAGGATTGCTCTAGAAGAGAAAAATGTCAAATTCGATTACAGAGAACAAGATCTATGGAACAAAAGCCCGATTCTCTTTGAGATGAATCCGGTTCATAAGAAAATACCGGTTCTCATCCACAATGGTAAACCGGTCTGTGAATCTCTCATCCAGGTGGAATACATCGACGAAGTTTGGCCTAGCAAAACCCCACTTCTTCCTTCTGACCCTTACCAAAGAGCTCATGCCAAATTTTGGGGAGATTTCATCGACAAGAAGGTAATCAATCTTTCAAAAATAGCTTAAAAATAGAAGATTGCTTAGTCAAGACATCGACATTAATGTTTTCGTATAATGTGATTAGGTGTATGGTTCAGCGAGGTTGATTTGGGGAGCGAAAGGTGAAGAGCATGAGGCGGGGAAGAAGGAGTTCATCGAGATACTCAAGACACTAGAGTCTGAGGTTGGAGACAAAACTTACTTTGGAGGTGAAACGTTTGGATATGTTGATATAGCTCTCATTGGATTTTACAGCTGGTTTGAAGCATATGAGAAGTTCGGGAATTTTAGCATTGAAGTGGAGTGTCCAAAACTGATTGCTTGGGCTAAACGGTGTGTGAAGAGAGAGAGTGTTGCTAAGTCTCTTCCTGGTTCGGAGAAAATCACTAAGTTCGTTCCTGAGCTAAAGAAAAAACTTGGGATCGAATAGATCTTTCTCTACGCTGATATGTTTTTATGTTTCTGTTTGTGTTGCTGTTTTGCTCTATTTTCTGTTCTGTTTCTCCCCTGTTTCGGAAATCCTTAAGTTAATGTCATAACAATAATACAAATATGTACTTGAAAATGGTTCGGGGGTTTAGCATGGGTAGTACAGTATGTTGCATTTGCTTTAATGGTTCTCCTTAGTCCTTACTATATCAAAATTCAAAACAAAGCATCAAAGAAATTGAACTGAATTGAAAAAGAACAAAAAAAAACAAACAAACAGACTACAGCCTTGATTTTCTTAAAATATATTTTGGCAAAATGCCAAATCTGAAAAACCAAAACGAATGACAATTAATTTGTTATCTTTGTATGTTAAGACCAAATTAACTAATTTCAAACATTGGACTGAATCTTTTATAATATTGCCAGCCGAATACTTTAGGTCCAATACAGAATGAGCTTTTCGGCCCATAATCTAAAAATCAATGTAATTCTCCGGAGGTTAGCGGCTGATAGTCTATTTACCGAGTTTTAATGGGCATTTTAAAGTTTGGTATACTACTATGTTCGATTGATCCAATAGTCGGAATTGAATCTGGAGGAAAACAAGTTTACGCTGTACCCCTAACTCCTAAGTACTACTAACCATCCGACTACCGCTGCTCGAGTGTGTCGGTTATGTTTCTGTTTTTTAGTTTTGCCCTTTTTAGGTTTATATGTTTCTGATGATTAACGAAGTTGTTGAGTGTGGTGGACTGTGGAGCGCGTTTGTTGTGTTGTGTTTGTGCTGTGCGTTAGGAGTATCGGATTCAATGGTTTTTGGTTTTCTAATAAACAAATATCGTCAGTGCATTAGGAAGGGGACTCAAAAATCATAACCTTCTATGTTACCTAGAGGGTTATATCGAGCCTCTTCCACGCATAGTCTGATTTGAAACCATATTACATATTTGTAACAAAGACAATTTAAACGTGGTTCGAAAAAACATTAAGTAATTCAGCCTCTTTGGTGATGAAACTTGTAAATCAAAATACAAATCGTACCTGGTATCGCAAATCTCAAGTTAGTTGTCTACGAAGAGGATAATATTATTAGCTGTCAAACTTGTTTATTTAGAAAACCATTAATATTATTAGGTGTTCAAACAATTAAAACGACTAAACGTATTATTTAAATTTAATTATAAACGTGTAATTTAACAGTACCATAAATGATAAATAATGTATCCGATGGACACATTTTGTTGTTCGTTCAAGTGCGAGTGCCACGTTACAAATATAAATATCATATGTTAGAGCATCTCCAAAGGGAGGTTGTCTCAAATTTTTAGATGAGTTCTCTTGATTATTTTGATCAAAAATAATTCAAAACTGAGTAAACAAAAGAGAATCGCTTCTCTTAAGAGAAATTTGAGATTTTCAGAGAACCGCACACGTGTCATTTATTGGTTGGAGGAAGCATTTTACCAAAAGGAAAAAAAAAAACTCTCATTATTTTTTGTTCTTTTCTCTCTCTCGACAGAAACAAGAAAACGCAGAAGTCTCTCTCTCGATGGCGATAAAATTTTCCGACGAATCGACGCCGTTTCCGTGAGTTTCCGATGATTGTTGACGAATTTGTCATAGATTGTTAGATTTAGGGTTCATAGTTTCGGGAAATCACATTATTGTTTTTTTTTTGCCATTTGAATCGAATTGGAGGTTTTGTTTCACTTATTAGGCATGATTGAGCAAAAATCTGGAAATATATTTTTTGATTTTGGTAGATAGTTTCGGATTTTGCACAATTAGTTTGAGTATCATGAAGCATTCTCGGATGTTGCTTGATTTCAGTATTCAGACATGAAATTTGATATATTTATCTCTGTTTTGAATCATTAAAATCACTCTATTAGTGTTTATATCTGTTACTTTCATTGGATAAATTTGTGAGTTGAATGTTAATGTCTTTCTAATTGTTTTCTCTTTCTCTCTGTTTTTTGTTGAGTGTCAATGGGAAAACTGCAAGTCCAGAAGGCTATTGGAGAAGGTAAGTGGAGATGGCAAGGATCTGCAAAAGGAGAAGGCTTCTGAGATTTGATTAAAGGTAAATGCTCCATCTTTTGTTATTGCATTGATTGTTTGTTTAATAAATGCATTTTCTGATAAATGCTTGAGTAGATTATGTATAGTGTTAAGTAGAGAGTAGCTAACTGAACATCATAGTTATTGTTAGTGTGTGATAAATGCTTGAATACGACTGATTGCATAAGTGCTAAGTAGAGAGTAAGTAAACTGAACATCATAGTTGCATAAATGCTTTGTGTTTTAAGTTTATTTACCATCCAATTGATTGCTTAAATAAGAATCTTTTTCTTTTAAACTGTTTTTTTTGTAATCTCTGTTTCATACTTTGTATGTTCTGTTTTCAATGCTTTGAATGTTATCTGTTTAAATGTCATTGTAGAGAGTTAATAATCTGCGTAATAGAGTGTATATTCTCTGTTTTCAATCTCTTGTGTGTGTGTCTATCACAGTATTTCTGTTCAGGAATCACGTTTCTAGAGCATCTCCATTTCTTTCCATCTGTTCTCTTGCACCTCCATGGCTCCAGATCAGCCGAGTTGTTGCTTGTGCTTGAAGCAATCCCCAGCTGCAATGAGCCTCCTTTTGCCACTGCCACTGTTACTGTCATCCACATAGACCACGGCAGATTCTTGTATTCAGCATAAGTACTAAATATTCCACTCCTATGCATCCACTAAGAGGTAACACTTCTAGTAATAACTTGACATTCTAATACCATCTTAATGGATTTTAGTTGCATCAAACATGATAACAAGAGAACAAGAACACATGAAGCCAAGAGAAGCGTTTAAGTGAAAGGCTAGGGAGATTTTACCATTCGGATTAGTGTTTGATGGGTGATTCTTGGTAAAAGGTGTGAGAAGCTCGGGAGGAACAGGAACAGAAGCCATCATGTATTTTTAATAAAAAAAAAATTTCCTAGGAGAACCTCACTAGAGAACTTACCATTGGAGTATGAAAAATTAAAAAAAAAAACAAAAGTTCTCATCTCAAATTTTCAACAAATTTATAATTAAAAAATTGAGAGAGCTTCATGGAGACAACTCCCCATTGGAGATGCTCTTAGTACTATCTACCATGCGTTTTTCTCTTCTTTAAACGTCATTTTTTAGTACTGTGTTATGGTACGGTACGCGCTAGTCAAGCTTTATGGAAATAAAAAAAAAAACACTTCCCCAAGAAAAAAGTCTAAAAAATCCCAATAATAAGACAGTGATATCTCCTTCCGAATCAAGATATTCGTTGACAGCTAGGGAAATCACATTTCGATACAATAGAGATAAGAGGGTACGTTAAAAAAAGAATTTAAAATTATTAATCATGGCGTAAACGTGAACAATACAATAATCCACATATTCTATAAGGAAATTAAAAACAATAGGTCATATGCTACGTGGCTTACTCTATAAATTCCCACAAAAACCTCAACCTCTATCATCCTCATCTACGTTTCAATAAACACAAGAGTTGAAAATATAAAATTGATCAGAACTAAACCGGATCTGAAGAATGGCGGACGAAGTGATTCTTCTTGATTACTGGCCAAGCATGTTCGGGATGAGGACGAAGATGGCTTTGGCTGAGAAAGGAGTCAAGTATGAGTACAAGGAAACAGATCCATGGGTTAAGACTCCTTTGCTCATAGAGATGAACCCCATTCACAAGAAGATTCCGGTTCTCATCCACAACGGTAAACCGATTTGTGAGTCTCTTATTCAGCTGGAGTACATCGATGAGGTTTGGTCCGATGCATACACAATCCTTCCCTCTGATCCTTACCAGAAGTCTCAAGCTAGATTCTGGGCTGATTTCATCGACAAAAAGGTAAACAACTCACTTTTTTTTGTTATAATAAAAAGTTGTATAGTTTTTAATTTGAGATCCGGAATAGTAGTTAGGGTTTTAGATGAAGATTTGTTGGCGTTCTTGATCGTAAATGATATCTCATATTGGTTTAAAATGAAGAAAAATAACTAAAATACAATGGGCAAAATTACATTATAGAAAGTAAACTTTAACTACATTTTGGTTTTGTTATTGATTTTGCGTTTCCATTTGCCAGTATATGAGTGTTAGTTTTTTTGAAATATAATACTTTTGTAACATGCAAACGCCAAAAACAGAAAAGGATTGTGCTTAAAAGGTGTTTAAAGTTGTAGGTTCGTTTCTTAAAGAAAACAAAAACACACAAAAATGAAAACATACAATCGAGTTCTACAATATCAAAAGGCTCACGTATTTTCAATGGTTTATGACTTTGATGGTTTTTGTTTGGTTCAGTTTTACGATCCATCATGGAAGGTATGGGCAACAATGGGCGAAGAACATGCTGCAGCGAAGAAGGAATTGTTGGAACATTTCAAGACACTTGAAACAGAGCTCGGAGACAAACCTTATTATGGTGGTGAAGTATTTGGATACGTAGACATTGCATTGATGGGATACTACAGCTGGTTCAAGGCCATGGAGAAATTTGGTGAATTCAGTATCGAAACAGAGTTTCCTAAATTGACTACGTGGACCAAGAGGTGTTTGGAAAGAGAGAGTGTGGTTAAGGCATTGGCTGATTCTGATAGAATCATTGAGTATGTTAATGTCATGAGGAAGCAATTTGGAGCAGAGTAGATCATTTGGTGTTTTGTAATGTCGACCCAAACAAAATAAAATGGTTTGGGTATCAAGAAGACTGTTATATTCTGTGTTTTTTTTTATGTTTCATTTCATGTGAGATTTGTAATTGTTGGTTGTATTGTTTTGTTGAAAGTATGATTAACCATAATAAAAAATGTTTACTGTACCTTTTTTGTTTATCGACGACATTGCACTCAATTTGAATAAACCGGATTAGCTTCAGTATATAACCATCCGGTTTAATAGAGGAGTCGTTTCAGCTAACGAACCTACATATCAATTCAGAGGACTTGTTCTTCCTGATATCAATTATATCAACATCATCTGACATGACATCTCATAACCAATGATTGATCCATTTTCATTTACAACATGTAGTTGGGCTTAATTAGGCCATGAATGGTTGTTAGTTTTTAAATGGTTTTTAGATTGTAGTTTTTGGTTTTTAGTTTTTGGTTTTTGATTTTTGGGTTTTTAGTTTTTGAATAGATTTTAATTCTTTTTTAAAACTTGAATGGTGATTTTAGTTTTTGGTTGTTTTATTTTTTAATTACAAAGAGAAAAAAGAAAAAGTGAACTAATCGTGAGTTTTTTTTTTAAATCTCAAATTATGTGGATTCTAGTTTTTGCTAAGAATTGTAAAGAAAATGTAAAAACTAGTTTCCCTATTTTTTAGGGAATCTATTTTGTTTAAAATCTTGAATGGAGAAAAAATGGGTTTTTGAAAAACAAAATCCAAAAACTAGTGTAGAATCTACTACCATTCAAGGCCTTAATGATTAACTTACTACTTCTGTTGTTTATAATGGAAATATTTAAGTAATCAATAACAAACCAAACCAGTAAAATACGGAATTCTTATGTCTTTCATGATTTATCGTTAATTGTGGAGATTATGAATCAATACAGATTATAAAATAATTGACCACGAGATTGAGAACACTTATCATAATTATCTTAGATTTTTTTACCTGGTAGCGTAAAGATATGATTTGATTGATTCTAACACTTAAACCAAACCTTTAATATGCGTTGCTAAGCTGTCCCTTATCAAATTCATCACTCATACTCCTATTGTTTGACAAAGGCGATGGAATTCATAATTATTTAAGGGTAAATTAGGAAAAAGTCTCCTATTCTTTAGTTCCTCTACTATTTATTTGAGGGTACATTAGGAAAAAGTCTCCTATATATTGTTTGACAAAGGCGTTTAATTAGTTTCATAATTAAGAAAGAAAAAACTATCATCGTTATTTCCGTCACTAAATTAGTAACCTGAATTTTCGATGACTTTACTATCACGTGGAGCTCGGAGGAACTCAATAAATACTGTACAATTAAGTTCATAAACTGATTTATACTTGTCCCAATATACGATTATGAATATTTTTCCAAAACAATGAAAGTACACATTGCCTTGCCTGCATATATATATACATCGTACAGTAGATACCACTATATATTGTTGTTGAGTTTTTATAAGCTTTGTAATGATTTTGGATGAATTAAAGAAACACATCTTTAGGAATATCATATTTACGAAATCACTTTTAAGTTTTAATCTTCTTAAAATATTTATAATACCACAAGATTTGAAAATATTTTTAACAAATCATAATCTGAATCATATATGAAATTTTGCAGCCAAAGAGCATTCATTTGATCCACCAGAAAGTAATAATTGATCAAATTTCATATTTGATCCGCCAAGACCCAAGAGCATTTATGCATGATCCACCAAAGAGTCATAGTGGATTATAATATTGGCTTTTTTTAAAATCAACTAATCTACTATTAAGGGAAAACGTACGTAGCCACACTATTACTCTATACATTTATTATCTACGAAGAAACAAGTTCAGCTTCTTGTATCTATTCTCGATCATGAGATTGGATTAGCTCAAAGTTAGTTTTAGTATCCTATTGTGTAGTGGAGTGATCAATTTTTTACTTTTTTTTTTTTAGTGGAGTTATCAATTTCGAAGGCTTTAAATGTTTTTTTGCTGGGGAAATGTGAGGAGTGTCATGAATATCGAAATTAAATGCATTCACCAACCCTATCGATCCAACACTTCCCTTTATTTAATGTCACACATTAAAATCATATCCACTTGTTTATAACCACATTTTCTCTCAGAATCCATAAAAAGAGAGATAGAGAAAGATAAATAAAAACAAAACTGAAGAAGCTAGAAGATGGAGAAAAGTAATGATCATGACAAGGCTAGCCACGGCGGCTCCGGTGGTGGTGCCACGGAGAAGTGGGAGGAGACTAGTCCTGGAATCCGAACCGCCGAGACAATGCTCCGGTTAGCTCCGGTGGGGCTTTGTGTTGCAGCGCTTGTTGTCATGCTTAAGGACTCCGAGTCTAATGAGTTCGGTTCAATTTCTTACTCCAATCTCACAGCTTTTAGGTACGTATCTTCTCCATACATATATATTAACTGTTCATCTTCAAGATTTAGAGTTACATCTTCTTGCATACTATTTACAATTAGGGTTTGTGTGTTATGATATGGTGTACCGAAGTTTCACATGAAACACACAAAAGAAAACAGAAGTTGTAGTTTCAAGAAACTGACTATAATTATGTGCATACATATTACACATGTACAGTGTATTAGCCTATCTATGTTTATACATACAGTAGTATTTCCCCAAAATTTGTAATCAGAATCCCAATATTTACAGAATTATTTAATTAACCTGGACCGTTAAACCAAACAAATTTAATTTTGCTAACCACACACTAGAGCTTTTTTGGCCCGTTTCTACTTTCTAAATTATTTTTTGGTTTACCAGATTGATTATGACCGGTTATTGAACTTCTCAACATTTTCCTTAATTTTTGGCCCCTAATTTTCGTCCTTCTCATGAAACATGCGGCTCTGATGAGTTAAATACAGATGGAGAATTTTTACTTTTGTCTAACTAGGGCTCCAAAATGCTAGGCACAGACACGTATTAGTAGTCAAGCTACATTTGTTGGTTATTGAAAGTTAGCTTATAGTATAGGACTATAGGGTTTGATTAATAATGATACTGTTATACTTTAAATATATTTTTTTAAATATTGTTAATCGGTAATGGTAATAATGTGTAATTACAATTAGGTACTTGGTGCACGCAAATGGAATATGTGCAGGCTACTCTCTTCTATCAGCAGCCATTGCAGCGATGCCTCGTTCTTCTTCGACAATGCCTCGTGTTTGGACCTTCTTTTGTCTCGACCAGGTTTAATGTTCAAAACATTCGGTTATAAATGATCCGCTATAAGTACAAATATCAATTTCATAATGTTTAATTGTCTCAGCTTCTGACCTACCTGGTTCTTGCTGCTGGAGCTGTGTCAGCTGAAGTTCTATACTTAGCTTACAATGGAGACTCAGCCATTACTTGGAGCGACGCATGTAGCTCATACGGCAGTTTCTGCCATAGAGCCACTGCTTCTGTTATAATCACATTCTTCGTGGTTTGCTTCTACATCCTTCTCTCACTAATCTCCTCTTATAAGCTCTTTACTCGCTTTGATCCTCCTTCCATTGTTGACTCCGACAAGACCCTCGAAGTCGCTGTCTTCGGAAGTTAGATCCTCCATTTGCTTTTCAAGTACATCTAATTTGTTAAGTTTCACATGTTGTCTTTTTAACTTTGGTCGGGAGAAAGAATGCTTTTGTGTTTCCTCTTGTTTTCATTGCTTTATTCCTACTACGACTGGTCTAACTAAATTAAGGGTATAATAAACAAGAGAATCATATAACGGGAGCTAAATTATCCTCAAAACAACGGTTAAAAGCACAGCTTGTCTTGAATATTGATCTAAAGCAAGCCAACGTCGTTAATTCAGGATTATGATAAACAGCCAAAAAAAAAGGGAGGATGAAACATACTTGGAAACAAGAGTATATAAGATTATTATTAGATAAGATTCAATACTATCACCTTTGTTTAGGCAGTCTTTAACTTTTACTTACTACACAAACTTTTACTTTAAATTCAAAGAAACACAAAAGTTTATAGAACAGAGATTATAGAAACTTCTTTATTTGTACTGCAAAAGAAGGAAACCCAAGCTAAAGATCCCTAACCAAGTGTTGTTCAAGCTTATATGCTTCACCACACCGATATATATCGATTTCTGTATGAAATCAAGAAAATCTGCAATTGTACCCTTTTGTTTTTATTGCAAGTAAACTAATCTTACTTTTTCCCATGGCTGCTGATAAAAGAGTGGCGTTTCAAGAGCTTCTGGGAAGGAGTTCGGTGATCATCCTACAAACAAAACAGTTGAAACAAAGTTGGTGTTAGTGTCAGATCATCTTCAGAAGGAAGAAAATAGAGTAAAGGATATGCAAGTTGGCGCAAACCTTGCACAGAGATGCAGCTGATTCTGATTCCATTGTCTGGTTTTGAGGGTTTTCAAGCGACTGGAACGAATCAAGGGCATCAAGAGTTAGTTGCCACCCACACACTGCCTCAGCGAAACTTGAAGAACCCGAGCTGTTGCTGCTACATCCAGCAGCAGCCACATTTTCATTAACCCAAGGACAGTAACAGTTATGATACTTTATTGGATCAAACTCCACAATATCATCATTGCTGTCTCCGTTTGGTGGCCCTGGAAAATGAAACAGCATATGCTTATACCAACATATTACACTTTTTATAAGTGATGAAGTTTGGATAAGTAGGTACTTTATCAACCATAAGACGAAATCTACAGACCTTGGTCATTGGCAGTATAACTTGATCCGGGGAGTGCAAAGCCAGCGTTGAGCGGAGACTCCCAAGTCTGGGTCACTTCTTCTTTAGATGCTTCATAACCAGAACACACGATCGCATTGCAAGACAAAGATGGATGAACACTGTCATCGTTGATCAACACATTTATGTTACTCATCTTTTCACCACTTTCAACTGATTCAGCCTTCAATGAATCAACTATTTTAGAACCACTATCCGCCCTTACAACAGACTGAGACACCCTATCTTGACTATCCCCAAGCCTACCTTCTCGATCCATTTCTGCAGGAACAAAATCATCAGTAAGGCCTTGGTCTGGTGCGAATTCACCGCTTTGTCCTAGATTCTCTATTACTTCTGCAACTGGTTCCATGTCTCCCACAACGCTATCTCCCCTATGAACTGAAACGTCAGCTCCGTGTA